TGTGTTAGTGTATGGATCTCTCTGACATTGTACCACAAGGTTCCATATCACAAAGGAAATGCTTGGATTGATTTTGGGGGTAATTGCCTCAAAATTTTAGGAATTAGGTGCCAAAAAAGGGGCAAAAACAAGCATTTTTCTAGTTTCATGACAATAACTTGTGTGGAAGTCTATGGATCTTTCTGAAATTGTACTACAAGGTTCAATTTTTCGAAGGGAAAGCTGGAATTGAGTTTAGGGGTAATTGACCAAAACGTTTAGGAATAAGGGGCCAAAAATAAGCATTTTTCTAGTTTCCAGACAATAACTTGTGTTCAAGTGTATGGATCTCTCTGAAATTGAAATGCAAGGTTCCATATCACAAAGGAAATGCTTGGATTGATTTTGGTGGTAATTGACTCAAAATTTTAGGAATTAGGGGCCAAAAAAGGGGAAAAATACAAGGATTTTTCTAGTTTCATGACAATAACTCGTGTGTAAGTGTATGGATCTTTCTGAAATTGTACTACAAGGTTCCATATCACAAAGGGAAGGCTGGGATTGGATTTTGGGGGTAATTGCCTCAAAATTTTAGGAATTAGGGGCCAAAAAGGGGCAAAAAACAAGCATTTTTCTGGTTTCAGTACAATAACTTAAGTATAAGTGTAAGTGTATGGATCTTTATGAAATTGTACTACAAGGTTCCATATCACAAAGGGAAAGCTGGGTTTGATTTTGGGGGTAATTGCCCTAAATGTTTTGGAATTTGGGGCCAAAAAAGTGTAGTTTCTAGACAATAACTTGTGTTCAAGTGTATGGATCTCCCTAAAATTGTACTGCAAGGTACCATACCACAAAGGGAAGGCTGGGATTGAATTTGGGGGTGATGAATCATAAGGGGGTTCAAAAAATTGGGAGGGGCGGATTTTTTTTTTCTTTAAAATTTTCCATTTTAAATTGGTTATTTCTGATTTATATATAAAAGCAAATAATAATGATATGGTTTGAATAGGTAAATTAAAATTTTTTAAGTTCATTGACCACATTCATTCTGTGTCAGAAACCTATGCTGTGTCAAATATTTAATCACAATCAAAATTCAGTGCTGTATCAAGCTTGAATGTTGTGTCCATACTTGCCCCAACTGTTCAGGGTTCGACCTCTGCGGTCGTATCAAGCTGCGCCCAGCGGAGCATTTTATTTGAATTGGTGAGGACGTACATGTATATCCAAATAATAACACTCACCTCAATACTAATCTCTGCCTTTTATTGATGGGCAAAGCAAGTAATAAAGAAAAGATTTTTTAGTCTATGAAATCCGTATATGATGCTTCAACTTTGGTATCGATAATGATTCTGTTTTTAAAATTCTGAATTTGATTGTCATATTATGTGTTGAAGAGCAGTGTGTCCCAAACTCTGTCTGACCAACAAAATGTCAGACAAAAATTCATTCGGTCAGACAGAAATTTTCAGATTTTTTAGTGGGTTAGTTGGAAATATAGTAGAAAAGGTCAAATTTCTCTTTCGGTCAGACACACTCTAAAACAGTTTGGCACAGACTGGAAGAGATGGATAAAAGATTTAAAGGAATGTAGGTATGAACTGTGATTAATGATGAATCAAGTGTACACATTGATGGAGATACAGTGATTAAAGGAGACTCAAGTGTACACATTGATCGAGATACTGTAATTAAGGGTGACTAAAGTGTACACATTGATGGAGATACAGTGATTAAGGGAGACTCAAGTGTACACATTGATCGAGATACTGTAATTAAGGGTGACTCAAGTGTACACATTGATGGAGATACTGTGATTAATGACGACTAAAGTGTACACATTGATGGATCATGGAGATACTGTGATTAATAGTGAATCAAGTGTACACATTGATCGAGATCTGTGATTAATGACGACTAAAGTGTACACATTGATCGAGCATGCGCAGTCACCTGATGCACTGATTTTCAGATGTCAGCTTTGGCACTGTTTGTTTCTACTTATCTGTTTACGAAGTGATTGGGCATGTTGGGAGACTAGCCAAAATGATCTTTTGAAAATGAAACTTAATAGATTGAAATTGTTTAGTGGACAAAGGGTCTGACATGATAGGTCCATTAGGAAAGTCTTTTCATGTATAGAAACTTCTATACAAGTTCCTAAAAAACAAAATCCTAAAAAAAATTTAGAATTAGAAATAGCACAAATTAAAAGACATCTTAATGATCAACAATGTAGCTAGATTATTTTATGACACCTTGTAATTTAAGTTTTGATTTATTGTTTTGTAGGGATTATATGACAAGATACCAGGACCTACAAAATTACCAATGTTAGTCCAGTCTATGTCCAATAGTAATATATCTATAGAGGTAAGCACATATCTATTGGGCATCACAGGGGTCATGTTGTGGTTGGTCAATGTTGCCAAATTGGGTCAATATGCACAATTCTCCATTGTTTACTGTTTTAAGGGGTTTTTTTTCTAAAATCAAATTGAAGGCATTTCCTGTCACAATTTATCTGGCATACACAGACCTCAATGGCTTAATAAACAAATTGTCAAGCTGATTGCTCATCAACTCAATTATGTATATGACCCTCTGAGAACAATTGAATATAAATACAGCTTACACTTAGTAAGTTACAGCTTACACTCAGTAAGTTACAGCTTACACTCAGTAAGTTACAGCTTACACTCAGTAAGTTACAGCTTACACTCAGCAAGTTACAGCTTACACTCAGCAAGTTACAGCTTACACTCAGCAAGTTACAGCTTACACTCAGCAAGTTACAGCTTACACTCAGTAAGTTACAGCTTACACTCAGTAAGGAAATGTCTTGGTTATTTGTGTTGTTAATTGCTGTCTCATTGACATGTTTACACAACATCTTATGTTCATTTCAGGAGACATATTTACCCAACTTCTCCTTATGTTCTTTACAGGAGACACATTGACATGTTTACCCAACCTCTCCTTATGTTTATTTCAAGAGACACATTGACATATTTGCCCAACATCTCCTTATGTCCATTTCAGGAAACACATTGATTTGTGTACCCAACATCTCTTTATGTTCATTTCAGGAGACACATTGACATATTTACCCAACAGCATCTTAAGTTCATTTCAGGAGACACATTGACATGTTTACCCAACATCATCTTAAGTTCATTTCAAGAGACACATTGACATTTTTACCCAACATCTCCTTATGTTTATTTCAAGAGACACATTGACATGTTTGCCCAACATCTCCTTATGTCCATTTCAGCAGCCACATTGACATGCGTACCCAACATCTCTTTATGTTCATTTCAGGAGACATTGAAATGTGTACCAAACATCTTATGTTCATTTCAGGAGACACATTGACATATTTACCCAACATCATCTTAAGTTCATTTCAGAAGACACATTGACATGTTTACCCAACATCTCCTTATGTTTATTTCAAGAGACACATTGACATGTTTGTCCAACATCTCCTTATGTTCATTTCAGGAGACACATTGACATGTGTATCCAAAACTCCTTATGTTCATTTCAGGAGACATTGACATGTGTACCCAAAATCTCCTTATGCTCATTTCAGGAGACACATTGACATGTTAACCCAACATCTTATGTTCATTTCAGGAGACACAATGACATGTCAACCCAACATTTTATGTTCATTTCAAGAGACACATTGACATGTGTAATCAACATCTCCTTATGTTCATTTCAGGAGACACATTGATATGTTTACCCAACATCTCCTTATGTTTATTTAAGGAGACACATTGACATGTTTACCCAACATCATCTTATGTTCATTTTAGGAGACACATTGACATTTTTACCCAACATCTTCTTATGTTTATTTCAGGAGACACATTCACATGTGTAATCAACATCTTCTTATGTTCATTTTCAGGAGACACATTGATATGTTAACACAACATCTCCTTATGTTCATTTTAGGAGACACATTGACATGTTTACCCAACATCTACTTATCTAAATGTTCATTTCAGGAGACAGCTGATTTACAGGGATGTCAGTAGACACTTTAGACTGGGACGTCAGTAGACAGTTGCGACAAGAGATGTATTAAGCACTGACCTCAATAGACAGACTGACATGAGAACAAGCATTTGAGAAAACTAAAACCAGTTTTTAGTGTTTCCTGCAGCTTTTGAAAAGGGCAGGGTAATTTTTTTCTCAGAGGGCACTCTTGGCGCGATTGGTTACACTTTAAGGGTACCCTTTGCGTGGAGGACTACATGCTTAGGGCACTCTTTGCATAGATATAAAGGCACTGTTATGGATAGGGATTTAATCATGTTAATTGAAACATACCATTATTTCATATTTATTGGTAATAAATAAATATATGTATATTAGTGAATTAATTTAATTCTGTTTGTAATAAAAGTAACACTTCTAGACTCAGCTAATAGAATCTTTATCTATATAGTGCAACTGCCTCTTTTCAATCAATAACTCCAGTTATAAACTTTAATACTGGATCACTAAGGCTGATTGTCTAAGGATGTGTTGTGAAAGTGGACTTTGCATGACCAAGAGCATATATGCATTGCAATGCATTGCTTTTTAGCTGCACAAACAAATTAGTGCCAAACACCTTTTGGATCTCGCATGTTTATACCAATCAAAACTACCTTGGCTTATAATTGTATAAAAAAATATTCCAGGCTATTTCAGGATTTTTAAAATGCAAGACTTACTATACACATTTTGTGATCTAATTCTGTGTTTTTTTGTTTTTTTTTAATTGAAACGTTGTTGGTTTTTCGTACAAATCGAAAGTATTTATCAGCTATAAATTTTTAATTTTATTAAGATAACAACAGTATGAAAGCCGTCGTAAATTCACATCTAATCCAACGTCTCAGCCGACCGAGTAGTATAAATAGAAAATATAAACAAACAGCTGATTGTTTACGTAATCAGTGGTAATGTTCATACCATGCATCGTAAAATTATAACTAAAACGATTGGCTGGTTCCCTTTTAAATTTGTACCTGTACAAATTGATGTTGTCCTTCAATCATGAACCTTTTTTTGTACTCTGTCCCTTCAAAACTGTTCAAACATAAATACGAAATACAAAAAAATGTTGGCTGTTTTTTTTTTTTATTATTTCGTCTTAAGGGAAATAACTCCAAATGGTCTTACTAAAAGATGAATTGCAGAACCGATATTAAATTACGGCGGGGTGTTATAAAATACGAAGGAAAAGGGGCATGGCACCAAATTTTTTCCTAAAAAGGGCAGGGTGTCGAGAAAATACAGCAGGTCGCCATACCACATCAAAACCTCCTGTAGGAAACACTAGTTTTAACTTTGCCCTTCTTGTATAATTGTTGTTTCTTTTATAGATAAGAACACTGTCATCTGTTTTATTAAGAAGATTATTTACAAATGAATTTGAAGAAGTATGGCCAAAATTGTCACCAGAGCTTCAAACAGCTGTCAAAGAAAAATTAATGTCTGCTATCACAGAGGAGTTAACTCCCCCTGTCAGACGGAAGGTGTGTGATGCAACAGCAGAATTGGCTAGAAATATGATTGGTAAGTTTCTGCTGTAAACAGTATCTTATAGCTGTTTTGGTCCCACTACATGTATAACAAAGATGCAGCGAGAAGGCTTTAACTTTGACATATCAACTTCTACTGCAATTGTTGTTCAAGTTAGTAATTAGATTAGTTTAATGGAAACCAGTTAAATATTGCGATCAAGTTAGAATTACAGGAACCATTTTTGATGATGAATGATGCATTAATTAGCACATCTTATTTCCAAAGGGCATTTTTTTATCTGATGCCCCCTATCAATCATAGTCTAATTTTAGCACCACTGGCCTGAAAAATAAGCCAGTGGCAGCTTTAGTTGAGTGCAGTCAGACTAGGTTACAATCATTTTTCTGACACATTTATGATCCTCTTACAATTTTTATACCCCACCTACGATAGTAGTAGGGGCATTATGTTATCTGGTCTGTGCTTCCGTTTGTCCATCCGTCCGTCTGTCCATCTGTCCTGCTTCAGGTTAAAGTTTTTGGTCAAGGTAATATTTGACGAAGTTGAAGCCCAATCAACTTGAAACTTAGTACACATGTTACTTATGATATGATCTTTCTTATTTTAATACCAAATTAGAGTTTTGACCCAAATTTCACAGTCCACTGAACATAGAAAATGATAGTGCGAGTGGGGCATCCGTGTACTATGGACACATTCTTGTTTTTATTGCTAACCCCAACTGAACCCATAACTAAAAATTTGTAAGGGGTTCCGCGGAACCCTATGTCTCACCTGCGATTACTGCTGTCAGTGTAAAAATGTAATGTCAATTTAAAAAAGTGATTCCATTTATCAGTAAAATGCAAACTTTTTCTTTAGATGCTATTTCTTGGTCTTGAAGAATAGCTTCTGTTTAAGCTATACACGGTTTACAAATTTATCAGGTAAAAAAAATTTAATCCCAGACTGTCTGTAAATGTGAACTGTAAAAAACTGAGTCCATCTATCAGAAAAGTAATGAATATGAAAAAAAAAAAAAAATTTCAAAAGTTTGCTTCAGACATGTTCTCTTAATCATAAAAAAGCTGCCAAAGTTTCATAAAATTCTATGAAGATTTGACAAAGTAATTATTAAAGAGTAACAAACTTTAACACCAGACTGTATCTACTTGTTAACAGTAAAAAAAACTCGATTCCATTTATCAGTAAAATAAGGAAAAATGACAATAAATATTTCCAAATTTTGCTCTGGATACTGTTTTTTGGTCATAAACAAACATCTGCCCAAATTCCATTAAATTCCATGAAGGTATGACAAAGTTATTGATGACTGGAAAACTTTAACCACAGACTGAATCTGAATGATAACTATAAAAAAACTAAGACCATATATCAGTAAAATACGGAAAAATGAAAATGAATATTTTCCAAATTAGCTCAGGATACTGTATGTTGATCATAAACAAGCTTCTATCCAAATTTAATAAAATTCCATGAAGGTTAACGTTTGATAAAGTTAATGATGTCTAAAAAATTCAACCACAGGCTGAACTTAAATGTCGACTCTGACGGAATCTAGGATCGCTATGTCTCGCTTTCGCGACATAAATGTCACAGGATCGACAAAAATGAAACATTTTACTCCAAAAAATCTTGAGTTATGTCTCATTGTAGCCATAAGTAGGAAATACAATAAAAAATCTTATTTTTTTTGTTGAAAAAATCTGATCAACCAGCTGCCAGCAAAATTTTGGTTAGTGCATTTTTGATTTTTTATGAAAAATAAAAGTTGAAGACATCTCCACACTTGTCCACCACAGTTATAAAAAAAAATCCACAGAAAAACCAATTTAATAAATAATACAAAGGACTCATTGATAAATGTCATTAGTTAATGATACATTTGTTATTATTTTTCGGAATATAGTTGATGACACCAAATTGCCTTCGAAAATAGAAGTGAAATTGAGGGAATAGTATATGAGCTGCGTTGGATAGAAATCAACCTTATGCAAATGAATATCAATACATCTGTTAACTACATTTGGGTGGAAAAAATCTCAATGCAAAGTCTGAAACTGTTTGAAAATTGAGTTGATATATGAACCCTACAAAACAGACCTAAATTCATCTTTTATTTCGTATTTGAATGTTCTCAAATCAATCAAAGTCTCATATGTGTACATGTATACATGCACTTGCATAAGGTCAATTTCTAACCAATGCAGCTCATATTAATTACTTCAACTTCCATCAAGCTTTCATAACTAAAATGGAAAATACGGCAGATCGAGTTTTGACCCTTTTTAAAGGCAGTGCTTTAATGCCTTTCTAGTTGCCGGGTTTATCCTTCCTTCCGCGATATCCAACTTATCTACGTGGGGGGTCGTTAGGCTCCAAGTAGATCCGGAAATGTTGAATTCTCTCCTCTTCTAATTGTGATATAAAATGATTTTTGTTTCATTTCATTTACATTGGGAAATAGAGAAACGATCGTTGTGTTTTGTTAGTTTTAAAAACTTTTGATATATTTGTATTTTGCATTATAAGCAGTCAACCGATTGACAAACTAGAATTATTTGAATTCCGTGTGGAAAGAGCTCGGGTTAATTTCGAGTGTTATCTGCAATCTAGATGTTTATAAATCATTTCAGTCGTTGATATGATAATTAAAGGTCGACTGAACATGAATTATATTATACAATTTAAAGCGCATTTCTGTTTATGCACGTGAACCCGTCTAACGTTATTGCTTTTTCGCAATTATAAAAAGTATCAAATTATCGTTCCTGAATAGGTGGCGCCGTGGTAGCCGATCCTGTTCCTCAACTTCTGGTTTCTGCACTGTGCAACTATTTCAGTTACATTTTTAATTAACGATGCCAAGTACTTGTTGTTGTGTACCTGGATGTCATTTAAGAGGAGGACATGCATTTCAAAATGACTTAAAAAGAAGGAAAAGTTGGATCAACGCCATGGCCCATACGCAGATTGGACGAGAACACGATGAAATCGTGGAGTCCATCTCAATCAGCTGTTGTTTGCAAGGCACATTTTACTGAAAAAGACTACGTGCAGGAAACTATTCATGGTAAAACTCTATTTTCTTTTTGAAATATATAATTATATATGTAATCGCCATGCGAATAAACCAAAGTCTGTTTACAACCGCAATTATCGTTTTAGAATAAAAGGGGGTGGTTAATTCAAGACGTCATAATTTTTTGGATTACGATTCAATGTGATCTGTTTGAGATTTTTTGGTGATTGCTACAATTATAATGATTTCTTACAAGAGGTATATCATACTGAGAATTATTTTAGCAGTAATTAGTAATGTAGTAATGACAGGAATGCATAAGCTATGCCTCATAGACTTTCTTGAAAAATATCAATGACAATGTTAACAGGAACAAAACAATGACATGCTCTCATCTATGTTATAGTTATTTAGGTACAGACAATGTACGTTTGTTGCATAAGCCTCTCATTGTTTGTCCTTTGGATTTACATAACATACATTGAATCAGGCAAACATAGTTTTATCCAGATTGTAATGAATAAATCTAGTTAATATTTCGCCAGGTAATACAAAGTATACATTGCTAATGGAAGTTCATTTAATTATCAAAAAACTAATGTTTTATAACCTTTTTTAGGGCGCAAACCCACCATTCAGAGACTTAAGTCTACTGCCATTCCCAGCCTATTTTCCTGGACCAAGCAAGAGACTGAATCGTCCGCAAAAAGAAAAACAGGGCAGTTTCCTGTTAAATCAAAAGAACTAAACTTGATGAATATTGTAGTAGAAATCTAGAGGAAAGTTTTGATTGTAAAGTTGGTTTTCCTGAAGAAGTCATTCATACTGCAGAAAGGATTTATGACTGTCCACCACCAACTGCCGAGCTAATGTTGAGCTTCACAGATGGAATTATGCAAACACCATCAATGCCTATGTTTTCAGCAGTGAATTTTGAAATGAAGACACGTGACACAGCCATGCATTTTTATACCGGTTTAGAGTTGTATACTAAATTTTTATTTGTTTTGACCACACTTGGTCCAGCAGCACATTGTTTGAGATACATATATTTTCAAATTGATAGAGTGTCAGTTGAAAATCAGTTTTTTTATGACTTTGATGAAATTGAGGCATTATACAACCAACTTTGAACTTTCTAGATTCTAGATTGAATCTAGTGTTAAGAATATTGTGTATACATGGATTGTTTTTATGTCTAAACAGTGGTGTGAGGCTAACACTTGGCCATCTAGTGGTTTAGTCAGGTATTTTTCACCATCCAACTTCAAATTAAAGTTTCCTACGACTTGGATTATTATTGACAGCACAGAATATCCCGTGATAAAACCTAAAGCTCCTAAAGCTCAGGCAACCTTTTCATCATATAAAAACAGAAACACTGAAAATACTTGTATGTTCAACACCTGGTGGTTTAGTCAACTATGTCTCTAATGCATATGTTGGTTCTACCAGTGACTATGAAATAGTTGAAAGATGTAGAATAGTTCAATTATGTGATCCAGGTGACAGTGTGATGGCAGACAAAGGTTTAAATGTGCAAGATTTGTTTGCTAACTTTTTTCAAAAAAAGAAACAGAATTAGTTCCAAAACTCTTATACGGGATAGAAAAGTCTCCAATTAACATGTGCACATAGAGCGAATTATTGGACCTGTCAAAACATACAAAATTCTAATAAATCCTATGAATGGAACTGAAACAAAACTTTCATCTGAAATAACATTTAGTTGTACTATGTTGTGTAATTTTAGAACTTGTATTGTGCCAAAGGATGCATAAATAAAAGTGACGCAATGAATTTTGTTCTGATATATATATATATATTTATAATTACATGTACATGCACATGTAAATTGTAATGCATATAAAAATAAGGAGATGTGATATGATATTCAGTGAGTTTATCGAACTAAAGTGCATAAGAAATGGGTTTAAGCAGTTACAGGTGTTACTGTCACCGTACAATCTCCAACAATGAGAAAAACTTGTACCGTGTAAAACATTTCAGAGATCTTACCACTAAGTTTTGTTGTCTCACCTTGACTTTGGTGAATTGTTTATATCTGTTGATGTAAATGTAAAAAAGAAGATGTGGTATGATTGCCAATGAGACAACTCTCCACAAGAGACCAAATGACACAGAAATTAACAGCTATAGGTCACAGTACGGCCTTTAACAATGAACAAAGCCCATACCGCACAGTCAGAGCTCTATAAAAGGCCCCGAAATGACAATGTAAAACAATTTAAACAAGAAAACTAACGGCCTAATTTATGTACAAAAAATGAACGAATATAACAATTATGCAACACATAAACAAACAACAACCACTGAATTACAGGCTCCTGACTTGGGACAGGCACATACATGTACATACAGAATGTGTCGGGGTTAAACATGTTAGCGGGATCCCAACCCTCCCCCTAACCTGGGACAGTGGTGTAACAGTACAATATAAGAACGAACTATAAAAATCAGTTGAAAGAGGCTTAACTCATCAGATGGATAAATACAAATACAAGTGGACGTGGTCAGGTAGTTGTACATCCAAACAACAAAAAGACACTAAGTACAGATCTGAGAGTACTCAAAGTTACTGACAGCTACATGTAGTTCAAAGCCACTAACAACTGATAAAAAAATCTTGCATCTAAGACTAAATTATCAATCCGTAAGCTCCCTTTAGAATTTTATAAATTTTAGATTTTACATTTCTGATTTATGGGGTTTTATTCATTAAAAAAGGGAGGATTTTCCAGTTTTTGTCGAGCCTGCGACTTTTGTCGCAGAAAGCTCGACATAGAGATAGTGATGTGGCGGCGGCGTTAGCTAACTTCTTAAAAGCTTTATATTTTTGAAGGTGGAAGACCTGGATGCTTCATACTTTGTATATGGATGCCTCATGTTACGAAGTTTCCGTCAGCCACATGTCCAATGTCCTTGACCTCATTTTCATGATTCAGTGACTACTTGAAAAAAAAGTTAACATTTTTTGTAATGTTAAATTCTCTCTTATTATAAGTAGTAGGATAACTATATTTGGTATGTGCGTACCTTGCAAGGTCATCATGCCCGTCAGACAGTTTTCACTTGATCTCGACCTCATTTCATGGATCAGTGAACAAGGTTAAGTTTTGGTGGTCAAGTCCATATCTCAGATACTATAAGCAGTAGGTCAAGTATATTCGGTGTATGGAAGGACTGTAAGGCGTACATGTCCAACTGGCAGGTGTCATCTGACCTTGACCTCATTTTCATGGTTCAGTGGTTATAGTTAAGTTTTTGTGTTTTGGTCTGTTTTTCTTATACTGTATGCAATAGGTCTACTATATTTGGTGTATGGAATGATTGTAAGGTGTACATGTCTAGCTGGCAGGTGTCATTTGACCTTGACCTCATTTTCATGGTTCAGTGGTCAAAGTTAAGATTTTGAGTTTTGGTCTTTTTTTCTAATACTATATGCAATAGGTCAACTATATTTGGTGTATGGAAATATTTTATGATCTATATGTCAGTCGCGCAGGTTTTATTTGACCTTGACCTCATTTTCACAGTTCATTGCTCAGTGTTAAGTTTTTGTGTTTTGGTCTGTTTTTCTTAAACTATAAGCAATAGGTCAACTATATTTGTTGTATGGAAGAATTGTTAGCTGTACATGCCTGCCTAGCATGGTTCATCTGACCTTGACCTCATTTTCATGGTTCATTGGTCAATGTTTAGTTTTCTTGGTTAATGTTAAGTTTATGTGACAGTTGTAATAAAGCTTTATATTAAGGACTATCAACATAATATCAGTGATTAGTAAAGAAGGCGAGACATTTCAGCGTGTGCACTCTTGTTGGACAACAACTCAAATATGCTTTAAGCAGTTCGCATCAAACTTTGGTGAATTATTTATAGCTATTGATGTAATCTCCCTATAGATTTTCATAAATTTCAAATATGACATTGAGAAGAAATTGAACTTTATTTGTTTATAGTCTGGCAACAGATTTATTAAGTATTGCGCAACAGCACAGTGTATTGCACAACAGCAAGAAATCTTTAATTGAATATAAATTCAATTCATATAACCGATTTCAAGTTCTTTGACTACATTTATTCAGAAACTATAATATGTCAAATATTTAATTACAATCCAAATTCAGACCTGTATCAAGCTTGAATATTGTGTCCATTTTTGCCCCAACTGTTCAGGGTTGGACCTCTGCGGGTGTATCCAGCTGCGCTCAGCGAATCAGTTTATTTCTTAATTAAGAACTCCTTTTTTCATTCATAAATTACTTTAAACTTGGAAATATAATTTTGCTTGGAGTTATAGTTTCTTAAAAAAGTATTGTCATTGAAAGAGTTGACATGTTGCAATGTACATTTATTCTACATAGTTCTATGGTACCAAATCAAAAGTTTATATAAAAGAAAGAAGTCAAAGGTTTCCCATCATAGTTAAGTTACATACTTTTTTTTGTACCTGAGGTCGTTGAATATAGATCATTATATAAATAAGGAGATGTGTTATGATTGCCAATGAAACAACTATCATCCATACTTAACAGTAACAAACCACATTTGCAGAGTTGAATAAAATACAGTTGATAACATTTACTTATTACTAAAAAGAAAATGCCTAACTATTTTAAACAGTATTTGAATATCAATTATATGGTCATTTTTATAAACTTCCTGTTACAAAACTTTGAATTTTTCGAAAAACTAAGGATTTTCTTATCCAAGGAATAGATTACCTTAGCCCCATTTGGCACAACTTTTTGGAATTTTGGGTCCTCAATGCTCTTCAACTTTGTACTTGTTTGACTTTATAACTATTTTGATCTGAGCGTCACTGATCAGTCTTATGTAGACGAAACGCGCGTCTGGCGTATTAAATTATAATCCTGGTACCTTTGATAACTAATTTGACTATAAACATAGATAAAAAAGGTACAAACTGGACATAATGCACTAGTTCATAAACAAGTGAGAACAATCACCTTCATATAGTGCTCAGAATATGACATTCATATGACTTGTTCAATATCATTAGAGAACTCTAAATCTTAAATACTGAAAGCCACCTCTGATAAGTACACTGTACTATGCAAGATAATGATATAACTGGACTAAAAATACACACAACCTGTAATTAACTGCCTTTACAGCGCTTTCGCGCTTTGATTAACTTGGAAAATTGCAAAGCTTGAGCGGGGGCATTCCTGTCCTCAAACACAGTCTTCTGTTAAAAAAAATATAGGACTTTTTGTTTTTGATACTGGTTTTATTACAGTAAAAGTACCAAATTCCTCTTCCTACTCACCTTATATTTCGCAGTAGTATCGAATACAATTGGGCTTTCATCATATTTTAATTCCCAGATAAAGCTAGTATCAAAAGTCCTATCATATATATGAGTCAGGCTTGTGCATGAGAGAAAGGGGAGCAATACAGACTGATTGGGAGTCATAAGTTATTTAATCCTTTTCCTTCTCTTTCTCTCATAGATGATGAAGAAAACATGAATTGGCCAGAAGTCCTGAAGTTTATGTTTGAAAGTGCAAGTTCTCCAGATTCAGGTTTACGGGAAAGTGCTCTTCATATTTTCAAGTAAGTAAAAAAACAACATGAACTATCTAACTAAATATATGTTTATTATGTAAATTTTAGTATTTTTACATGTGAATTAAGATACAAGTGTTTTATTTATTATTTTGAAAACTATTACACGCATATTATACACATGGACAGAAACTGTCAACAGCAAACATTATAATGAATGCTAGATGAACTAAACAGATCCTAATTGATTAGAATTGAATTTTCTAAAAAGTACTGAATTCAACTTTTAAGAAAACATGTCTAAAATGACTAATTGTAATGTACCAAGCATTTAGTTATGTACAGAATATCTATATATTACAGAAATGTACCTGGAATATTTGGTAAGCAGCAGAGCCACTATATGGATGTGATTAAACAGATGTTAAGTCGATGTTTAGCTGACAGAGATAACCCACAAGTTTGGTTTGAAGCCATCAAAGCCTCCACAGCTTTCCTTGTAGCTAACGACAAAAATAATCATCTATTACATCACTTTAAAGATCTACTGCCTCCTATGATACAGGTCAGTTGATAACCACAGCTTTCCTTGTAACTAACCATAAAAAAAATCATCTATTACATCACTTTAAAGATCTACTGCCTCCTATGATACAGGTCAGTTGATAACCTCAGCTTTCCTTGTAGCTTATCATAAAAATAATCATCTATTACATCACTTTAAAGATCTACTGCCTCCTATGATACAGGTCAGTTGACAACCTCAGCTTTCCTTGTAGCTTACCATAAAAATAATCATCTATTACATCACTTTAAAGATCTACTGCCTCCTATGATACAGGTCAGTTGATAACCTCAGCTTTCCTTGTAGCTTATCATAAAAATAATCATCTATTACATCACTTTAAAGATCTACTGCCTCCTATGATACAGGTCAGTTGACAACCTCAGCTTTCCTTGTAGCTTACCATAAAAATAATCATCTATTACATCACTTTAAAGATCTACTGCCTCCTATGATACTTGGCTTCAGGTTGTATACATTATACTCTGCATTATACTTAACATCCAATAACATTTAAGTATAATGTATACAAGCTGAGGCCACGCCCCTCTATTAATTGCAGATGTCAATCTTAATTACAATGCATTAGCAAACATTTATTCAAGCAAAGCAAACAAGCCAACAAAACCTTTAAACTACAAGCATTAGGAAAATAGCTCTAATAAAAAAACATTTCTTAAATAGTCATGACAGTGCTAGATGTTTAGTTGGTAGTTTCTGGCCTTTTATATAAAATATTTATTGTAAAAAAGGAACATTACAGTGCCACGAGGGAACAAGCACTTTCTCTTTTAAGCCTCACCACTTTCTCCCTATCAGTTTAAAAAAAGTCACTTCTCCCTATAATTCTGAAGTAGTGCGAGTTCTGTATATGTATGATTTTTAAGAATGTCTAGATTTCAGGGCATGGAAAGAAATATCTTTTCTAGGTCAGTAAAAAAGTATTTCACAGTAGAGTATGAAGGTATCTGTCTTTTTTTTAGGGTATGAATGAAAGTTTGTCAGTGGATGATGACAGTTTGATGAAATGTTTGATAGAATTGGCAGAGAATGTTCCAAAATACCTGAGACCGCAAATGGATAATATAATACCATTTTGTCTGAAGGTAAATAGAATTATAAATCTTAATATTGACCTTTAATTTTCATGATTCACTAAAATACAAACAATGACCTACACTGCTATTGCTGTTTTGTAGACTGCCAAGCAACAATAGATGCAGCAATATTAATAGGATTTATGCCAATTAGACAGTAACACATGACACAAAAAACCAAAATTGAACCTCTATAGTCAACATGGTCCCCAACAAAAAGAGGGATCTGTACAGTAGGTCAAGCTAAAAATATTGTGTTTAGATGTAACAGACTCTTCCTCTACAATCAACTAGAAGTTCCTCAAATGAAGAAAAACATTAAAATACCATGTACAAAAATGCTCAAAGTACTTAATAGGCTGATATGAAATCATGCCTTCCTTCAATTTAATGTCTATACTTTTAAGACATTTAGTCATGTATTTTGCTATTTTTGAATAATAAAAGGTACGTGTACTAAATAGATATTTGAGCATTTTCCAACTGCTTATGTTTTCAAAGAAAATATCTAAATGAAAATAAGAAGATATGGTATGATTGCCAATGAGACAACTCTCCAACAGAAACCTAATGACGTAGAAGTAAGTAACTATAGCTTACCGTACAGCTTTCAACAATGAGCAAAACCCATAACCCACAGCAAGCTATAAAAGGCCTGAAATGACAAATGTAAAACACTTCAAATGAAAACACTAACAGCCTGATTTATATACAGAACAATATACTAATTACTAAAAGCAAATATGATATACAGCAACAAGCTACAACCACTGAGTAACAGTTTCATGACTTGGGACCATCTTCGCTAGCCAAGGGTTACGATCCACTTCCCTCCTCTCCACCCTTGGCAGATTAAGCCAACATTTGTGATAACAATGTTGCGCCATCTATCGGTAGATTAAATTCACGCCCATTCCTAATACATTATTCTTGACCAATGGTAGCACTTGAACTCTTCAATTTGGAGGTAAAAACACGGTAGCGTCTAGATTCTACGCACTTGGTAAAGCAGGAAACGAAAATATACGTTGACATTAATGCATTTGTGCAAGAAACATACACAGGAACTTCTATTAGTTGATTAAAAACATTCAAATTGTCACTAAATATAGTCGTATGTTTAGGGATGTAAAGACTTGTTGCGCAATAAGCACGTGGCAATTGTTTACATACACTTTCTACATTTCCACGTGATCATGTTACAGGCCCTTTTTGATTGGATGCAGTGAGTTTCGACTGCAACCAATGAAAATCATTACCTTGTGTCTCCGAAATTCTATCTCAATCCGCCAAGGGTGGAGAGGAGGGAAGTGGATCGTAACCCTTGGCTAGCGAAGATGGACTTGGGACAGGCACAGACAGAATGTGGCTGGGTTAAACATGTTAGTGGGCACTCAACTCTCCCACTAACCTGTGACAGTTTCATTAGAAAACACAATTTTTATTGTTTTGAACAAATATATTGATAATTTTAACAGGTTATTTCTGATGCTAATTTGTCGGACAGTATGAGACAGTTAGGAATGGAAGCTATTGTGACATTATCTGAAACAGCTCCTGCCATGGTTAGAAAGTTTGGAAAGTACATGCCTCTTTTAGGTAAATGTCTGTCCAAATCAGGAAATTTGAAAAAAGGACTGAATTTATATGCTTGCTGTCAATTGGGACTGGTCCCATCATTTTGATTATACTTAATACTTCTTTTCAAACAAACAATAAAGCACATGAAACAAAACTTGGCAGTTGTAAAATACTAAATGTCTAGGCCTTAACAGATATGACACTCTGCAAAATACAATAGGCTTTTCAGGTAGGTAGAAAATAATAGCCAAATAATTTGGCTCACGTTTAAACCAAACATCGATTTCTTTTGAAGAATATTTTTCAAGCAAGTGTTATTATTTTATTGTCTATATGTTTTAATGTATGCAGTGAAGGACTTTATTTACATTTGGGAACTGCTAAGTTTTTCACTGGTGGAAATTTGGATGTCCAAAAAAGTTTATTTTTGGCTGACAGGAAAGTTCTGGTGGTAATTTGGACGTTAAAAAAGTAGATTTATTGGTCATCAGAAGTTAAAAAGTACATGTATTGGTCATCAGAAGTTAAAAAGTAGATACATTGGTCATCAGAAGTTAAAAAGTAGATATATCGGTCATCAGAAGTTAAAAAGTACATGTATTGGTCATCAGAAGTTAAAAAGTAGATATATTGTGCGTTGGCCAAATTTCTTACGAGAGGTCTAGTTGTTAAGGTCACTGCATAAGGGAAAATATTGGCGAATTAGTGTAAGGGAAGACAATAATTCAATAGCAGTACATTTATGAAGATTTTGATAATATAAAGGATTTTCTTTTACAAGAGAGTTCACATACACTTGTTTTATAGGAAAACTTGGCCATTCAAGTATATAAAACATATTCAACTTTTTTTTTTAATCTGAAGTTTCATATGACTTTAATATGTTTTGAGAAACAATTTTGTAAAGTATAACCTCAGTATGCACAGCTATTCAGGGAATAAGCTTTAAAATTTCACTCCAGGGGCCCAACTGACAAAATGTAAAAAAATTGTATTGACCCATGGATTTTTCTAGCATTCCACAGGGTCCGGTATTCGGACCCATTCCCAATGGCAAAAACCCTACATTTTTCCCAATTTTGGGAACAAAATTTATTTTCATCTTTATTATTCATGACAGCGATGTCCATTCTTTTCAACCGCTAGCTTTATTCCGAAAATGGCCAACAAGTAATGTGTAAATCCGAGTAAAACATTTCTACATGTAACTGACGAAAAACAACTTCGACAAACAATGGCTGACATAAACCGGAAATATAGACAATTACAATACCGGATCAGATTCCGGGAGCGGACACGGCTAATTCCGGGTTTGCCGATCAAATACAATATATAAATTTTAAAAAATCTAGACAGATGAAAAAGGACGGCTATGAAATATAAACACTAGAATTAAAAACCAATAGGTCTATGAAAAAGAAAGAAGAAACAGAAAATGTTTTAATACAGAAACTCAAAATTTTTTTTTGTTCACAAATTTTCATGTCAAAATCCAATAAAATGTAACATTACTTTTCTTATTCACTAAAACATGTTGATATAAGTTGTTTTTATAATGCTAACAAATAACTACAGATCAATGAATTAATTTTTTCTTCTCAATTTTGAAGGGCCAGTCAAAATCTGGAAGAGCATTAGTGAATAAAAAGAAGTGTTAGCCTGCTTGGCCTGTTAAAATACATCTTATTTCTATCCCTGAATTATTTATATTATATTAACCATATTAACTGTTGCTGTCTTTGAAGATAAAAAAAGGGGGAAAAGTTTTATCACATGTGTGCTTTAAAAACTACAATATTTTAATGCTAGATAAACTTGAGTTCCTTATTGTTAAGTTGAGAAAAGAAAGAATGAACAGAAAATAAAATTATAAACAACAAAAAAAGATAATTCTCAATGAACTTAACACACTAAAACTCACATCTGGTATATTAGTAGTTTTCCCAATTTCATTGTAAATCGCGTAAAAAAATTCCCAAAACTGGCCAGGTCCTTTTTCCCAAAATACCCAGATAAACCCCTGTGACCATACGGGAATATTCTGTAAAAAGTTAGGTGCCCAGCCAAATTTTCAGTAGCATTGAATACTGTGCCCCTGTAAAGCTTATTCTCTGCTATTTGGGAGTCCTGTTCACTCTAATGTTGTGTCAAATATAAACTATTTAGAATTGAGGTTTGATAAACCCCACAACTTACAATAGCATTATATTACAGTACCACAAGTTCTAGCATTGATGGTAGATCTAGAGGAGGAAGAAGATTGGTCTATTCAAGATGAACCAGAAGAAGAAGACACTGAAAGGTAAGAGGGCAATATATATGTAACTATAGAGTTATGTTAGAATGGTGACACTGAAAGGTTAGAGGGCAATGTATGGGTAAATATAGAGTTGTATGTTAGAATGGTGACACTGAAAGGTTAGAGGGCAATGTATAGGTAAATATAGAGTTGTATGTTAAAATAGTCTTACTGAAAGGTTAGAGGGCAATGTATGGGTAAATATAGAGTTGTATGTTAGAATGGTCACACTGAAAGGTTAGAGGGCAATATATATGTAACTATAGAATTGTATGTTAGAATGGTCACACTGAAAGGTTAGAGGGCAAGATGTAGGTAAATATAGAGTTGTATGTAAGAATGGTTTTACTGAAAGGTTAGAGGGCAATATATAGGTAAATATAGTTGTTTATTATACCTCAGTATGTTTTTTCTATATAAAAAAGAATGAAATATTTGTGCTATTTCATTCCACAGACTTTTTTCCAGTCAATAGTTTTAAAGACTATTACCCCGGTCAATAGTTTTATAGGCATATTTCCCGTACTTTGTCATACTAATTTTTCATTGGACAACAATGACGTCATTGACTATTCTGTTTGGGTTTGTGCACTTGGCAACGTTAAACGCTGAAATATCATAAACGGTAAAATCTGTATGACAGTGTGTCTTATCATAATTTCAAATTAACATTTTACCCACCAGAAGCAATAAAAAAAAATAAAAGAAATCTGCGTGACATATTTTAAGATCTAAAACATAACAAATGTATGGTATGGGTCTGTCGTCGTCTTCATAATCTGCGATTGCTTTGGTGTACGGTAAAATATTTAAGCTAGCGTTTATCTTATGCACGGGATTTTTTACACAAGGATTCCTGGTCTTGATTACAGTAAATAAAATTTGACAAATATCACACGGGCAAAAAAAACCCTGATAGTTCATCTTGTTCATGTTTATGTGACTGTTTTTCAAGTGGTGTATGTAGTCTGTTTAGAAAGTTGTTTTGTTCGGTATAATAAAACACTTAATGACTGGTTATGAGGGATATAGCAAGTTTGTTGTCCCTTTGATACTAACTATTGCCCTTGGCTTCGCCTCGAGCAATAGTTGGTATCTCAGGGTCAACAAACTTGCTATTACCCTGATAACCAGTCAATAGGTGTATAATGTTAAAATGATCGCACTGAAAGGTTAAAGGGCAATATATATGTAATTATAGAGTTGTATGTTAGAATGGTCTTACTGAAAGGTTAGAGGGCAATAAATATGTAACTATATAGTTGTATGTTAGAATGGTCACACTGAAAGGTTAAAGGGCAATATATAGGTAAATGTAAAGTTGTATGTTAGAATGGTCTTACTGAAAGGTTAAAGGGCATTATATATGTTAATATACATGTAGAATAAAGTATTAGTGTAATATTCAGAATTATTAACCAGGTAGTAGATGTAAAGTTTTCACTGAAGTTCATTGGTAGTATAAGTGTAGTGAGGCATAGACTCTGGTGATCTATAGTATAATGAACTTTAATAAAATTAAATTAAGTTTGATTCTGTAGGAGTGATGGGTGGATAGAGTTGGTGTAAGAATGGTCTTGAGAGCCAGAACATTGGTTTAAAGACTTGCAATAAGTATAATGAAAGTCCTATGAAACAAGTTTCTTGTGATAATAATGTTGAGGAAATTAGAAGACCAATGCATGAATATATACTTAATAACTATTAAGTCCTCTGTGTATAATGTTTTTTATACGACCGCAAAAATTTTTTTGGGTTCGTATAATGCTATGATGTTGTCGTCGTCGTCCGAAGACACATTTGGTTTCCGGACAATAACTTTCATTAAAGTGAATGGATCTCTATGACATTTTACAAGAATGTCCAATACCACAAAAGGAAGGTTGGGATTGATTTTGGGGGTTATGGCACCCAACAGTTTAGGAAAAAGGGGCCAAAAACAAGCATTTTTGTAGTTTCCAGACAATAACTTGTGTGTAAGTGTATGGATCTCTCTGAAATTGTACCACAAGGTTCCATATCACAAAGTGAAGGCTGGGATTGAGTATGGGGGTAATTGCCCCAAACATGCAGGAATTAGGGGCCAAAAAGGGGCCAAAAACAAGCATTTTTGTAGTTTCCAGACAATAACTTGTGTGTAAGTGTATGGATCTCTCTGAAATTGTACCACAAGGTTCCATATCACAAAGGGAAGGCTGGGATTGAGTTTGGGGTAATTACTCCAAGGGGGGTCAAAAAGATTGGGGGGGGGGGATTTTTTTCTTCAATTTTTTTGGGGGATTCATATTTTTTTTCATCCAAATTTTTGAAATTTCAAATGTTTTGAAAAGTTTCAAGCAGAAATCTTCAGTATTGCGCAATAGATTTTTTAAGATCTTTGACCTCATTTATTTTGTGTCAGAAACCTATATTATGTCAAAAATTTGATCACAATCCAAATTCAGACAGTATCAAGCTTGAATATTGTGTCCAAACTTGCCCCAACTGTTCAGGGTTCGACCTCTGCGGTCGTATCAGGCTGCGCTCAGCGAAGCATTTTATTTTTTATATATTTATTAGAAATCAGTAATGCATAATCAACACAATATTTCATTAGGCCTAAAATAAAATATTGTTTGTTTCCCCAATCCCGACCGACCCTGCAAAAATGGTCCTGCTCATAAAATTTTATTGTCAAAACTTAGTCAAATATTATTTTATTCATTTCCGATTTTCAGGCTTGCCGGATCATCCGATAATGTTCAAGCTTTTTGGAAAAATAAAATTATTTCCCTACCTACCTACCCACACCTACTTGGCAGGGTTGGGATTGGGGAAACAAACAATATATTAATTTAGGCCTTATTTGATTGTTGATAGAAAACTTTTGCTGCTAATTAACTTTTGTGTTTATGTGCCAAAGTTTACCAATTGTGACCCTGATAAAGAATATAGAATCATGAAGCATGTGAAAAATAAATGAGATGATAGAGCGATATGAATTTTTTTTTTTTTTTTTTTTTTTTGATATTGTCCATGCGCTACAATTAGTTAATTCAACTTTGTCATAACAGTTGTTAAATGATTTGATTTATTAAAATTTTTCTTTCAGAATTGATTCATACTATCTTCTTTCCACATTTGTTTACTTTTTATTTCATCATGGTTTTTCCCTTCATACTTGTGCTGTGCGGTTCATAAGGAAACGGCATACGGAAATGCTGTATGTGAATTCAATAGCAGTACATTTTTGAAGATTTGGATGATAAAAAAGATTTTTTTTAAAAAGATTATATAAAGGAACATGTGTCTTATCATGCTTATTGTAAAAATTAGCCATGCAAGTATTTAAAACATATTCAACTTTTTTGTTCAATTTGAAGTATTGTGTGACTTTTAATGGGAAGTGGATGGTATTTAAAGTTGGTCAACATGTTGTTAGAATGGTATTTGTTTATAATATGGTATAGGTTTTAAATTAAAAAATAAGTGCCTTCTTCTAGTAAAATGTTTTCTGTTTGTAGCAATAGTATAGCAGCTGAGAGTGCCCTAGATAGACTGGCATGTGCTTTAGGTGGGAAAACTATGCTGCCACATATCCTAGCAAACATACCACAGATGTTACAGAATGGTAAGTTCACAATGGGAAAACTATGCTACCACATATCCTAGCAAACAAACCTCAGATGTTACAGAATGGTAAGTTCACAACGGGAAACTATGCTACCCCATATCCTAGCAAACATACCACAGATGTTACAGAATGGTAAATTCACAATAAGAAAACTATGCTGCCACAGATGTTACAGAATGGTAAGTTCACAATGAGAAAAATATGCTGCCACTTATCCTAGCAAACATACCACATATGTTAAAGAATGGTAAGTTCACAATAAGAAAACTATGCTACCACATATCCTAGCAAACAAATCTCAGATGCTACAGAATGGTAAGTTCACAAGGGGAAACTATTCTACCCCATATCCTAGCAAACATACCACAGATGTTACAAAATGGTAAGTTCACAATGGAAAAATATGCTGCCAGATATCCCAAACAAACATACCACAGATGTTACAGAATGGTAAGTTACCACATTTCCTAGCAAAAATACCACAGATGTTACAGAATGGTAAGTTCACAACTACTGTAGAGTCATTATTCCTGCGATAACAATTTTTATGGATTGTGTAGGTATAGGTAAACCACGTATTTAATTGTCCAATGAAGTACACATTTACTATAGGTGTTTATGTATGAAGGCAAAAGCAAAAGTTCACACCATCAAAATAAGTAATTACAATATTTCCCTGCCAAACATAGTTCTGCCTTTTGTCATCAACTCCTCATGTGAGTTTTATAACCAACCAACAAATCCTGCCATAGTAAAGCATTCTGAGGTGGACAACTTTTTCATTGTACTACAAAGTGTCTACCTCTGGGAAATACACAAGGGCAGGGGGAAATATTTACATTAGCTATCAAAAGGGTGACTGGAGATGCATAGGTTAAGTACGTTAATTTTGACAGGTGACTGGAGACACATAGGTTAAAACATGTTTATTTTGACAGTTGATTGGAGATACATAGGTTATATGTTTATTTGACAGGTGACTGGAGACACATAGGTTATATGTTTATTTTGACAGGTGACTGGAGACACATAGGTTACATGTTTATTTTGACAGGTGACTGGAGACACCTAGATTTAGTACATGTTTTTTTTTGACAGGTGACTGGAGACACAAAAGTTAAGAACATGTTAATTTTGACAGGTGATTGGAGACACGTAGGTTTAGTTTATTTTGACAGGTAACTAGAGACACACAGGTTTAGTTTATTTTGACAGGTGACTAGAGACACGTAGGTTTAGTTTATTTTGACAGGTGACTAGAGACACACAGGTTTAGTATATTTTGATAGGTGACTAGAGACACATAGGTAAAGAACATGTTAATTTTGACAGGTGATACGAGCCACATAGGTTTACTTTATTTTGACAGGTGACTAGAGAAACATAGGTTTACTTTATTTTGGCATGTGATTGGAGACACATAGGTTTACCTTATTTTGACATGTGATTAGAGACACATAGGTTTAATTTATTTTGACAGGTAACTGGAGATGTATAGATTTACTTTATTTTGACAGGTGACTGGAGACACATAGGTTTACTTTATTTTGACAGGTGATTGGAGACTCATAGGTTTACTTTATTATGACAGGTGACTGGAGATATAGACCTGCTGCTTTGATGGCTATTTCTGCCTGTGCTGAAGGCTGTCACCAGAGACACATTAGGTTTACTTTATTTTGACAGGTGACTGGAGATATAGACATGCTGCTTTGATGGTTATTTATGCCTGTGCTGAAGGCTGTCACCAGAGACACATTAGGTTTACTTTATTTTGACAGGTGACTGGAGATACATATGTTTACTTTATTTTGACAGGTGACTGGAGATACAGACATGCTGCTTTGATGGCTATTTCTGCCTGTGCTGAAGGCTGTCACCAGCAGATGGAAGGAATGCTCAATAATATACTGGATGCTGTTTTACCATTCCTTAAAGATCCAGTAAGTGATATGTTTGTTACGAATTTAAATAAGGCTCAAACATTTCAAGAAAAGAGATTCTGTTCTTATAAGCAATTTTTTTTAAACTTTGAAAAAAAATATCAAAAGTTAACTAGAATTTTGAACAAAGATAATTTTAGTTGACTTCAATACCAGTCATTAGTCATTTTCTGTATAATTGTAGAGAACTTGTCTGAAATAATTTCAGCCAACAGTCTGAATATGTGAAAATTTTCAAAATTTATTTGGTTTTAACCAACAGTGAGATGGGTGGTAAAAGTGGAAACAAGACGTTTTTTTTCAAGGTTGGTCTGATCCTACTGAAATCTTCTCAACCATTTTTCTTAATTAAAAAAAAGCTACAATGCAAATAAGATCTATCAAAGGAAAACTTAACTTTTGTTTTTTAAAGGCAGTGCTTTAATGCCTTTCTAGTTGCCGGGTTAATCCTTCCTTCCGCGATATCCAACTTATCTACGTGGGGGGTCATTAGACTCCAAGTAGATCCGGAAATGTTGAATTCTCTCCTCTTCTTATTGCGATATAAAATGTTTTTTGTTTCATTTCATTTACATTGGGAAATAGAGAAACGATCATTGTGTTTTGTTAGTTTGAAAAATTTTTGATTTATTAGTATTTTGCATTATAAGCCGTCAACCGATTGACAAACTAGAATTATTGAATTCCGTGTGGAAAGAGCTCGGGTTAATTTCGAGTGTTATCTGCAATCTAGATGTTTATAAATCATTTCAGTCGTTGATATAATAATTAAAGGTCGACTGAACATGAATTATATTATACAATTTAAAGCGCATTTCTGTTTATGCACGTGAACCCGTCTAACGTTATTTTCGCAGTTATATAAAGTAGCAAATTATCGTTCCTGAATAGGTGGCGCCGTGGTAGCGGATTCTGTTCCTCTTCTTCCGGTTTCTGCACTGTGCAACTATTTCAGTTATATTTTTGATTAACGATGCCAAGTACTTGTTGTTGTGTACCTGGATGTCATTTAAGAGGAGGACATGCATTTCCAAATGACTTAAAAAGAAGGAAAAGTTGGATCAACGCCATGGCCCATACGCAGATTGGACGAGAACACGATGATATCGTGGAGTCCATCTCAATCAGCTGTTTTTTGCAAGGCACGTTTTACTGAAAAAGACTACGTGCAGGAAACTATTCATGGTAAAACTCTATTTTCTTTGTGAAATATATAGTTATATATGTAATCGCCATGCGAATAAACCAAAGTCTGTTTACAACCGCAATTATCGTTTTAGAATAAAAGGGGGTGGTTAATTCAAGACGTCGTAATTTTTTGGATTACGATTCAATGTGATCTGTTTGATTCTTCAATAATTATTCATTTTTAATCAAAAATTTACAAATGTGATCTGTTTGAGATTTTTTGGTGATTGCTACAATTAAAATGATTTCTTACGAGAGGTATATCATACTGAGAATTATTTTAGCAGTAATTATGCTAATGAAGTAATGACAGGAATGCATAAGCTATGCCTCATAGACTTTCTTGAAAAATATCAATGACAATGTTAACAGGAACAAAACAATGACATGCTCTCATCTATATTATAGTTATTTAGGTACAAACAATGTACGTTTGTTGCATAAGTCTCTCATTGTTTGTCCTTTAGATTTACATAACATACATTGAATCAGGCAAACATAGTTTTATCCGGGTACAAGTTAAATCGGCACCTGGTCAATTCGGCACCTATAGAAAAAGTCAAATCGGCACCTGGTCAAATCGGCATCGGTCAAATCAGCACCTATTTAAAGTCATTTCGGCATTTGGTTGGTCAATGTAGTTAACTTTTTCTCTTTCCTTTTTATTTGAGGTATCATATGGAGAGAATAGTTTTTCGGCTTTTTTATTATTATTTTTTTTTGAAAAACGTACGATTGCAGAGGTTAATTAAAAAGATACATTTCCTTCATCGTTAAATCAGTGCATGTAATTAAACAGTTAGAATCAACTAATTAACTAAGTTTGAATGGGTATCATTAAAAAAAATAATATGGAATAACCCGTTTGTTGTTTTAACCATTTTCAGGTTGTTCTTAAAGTTTTATAATCAAAATAACTTAGATTACCAATAAACAAAGAGGCCATTACCCAAGCTATTGTCTAATCCACATATGAGGACAAAAACAAATTTAATCATTGTAATTTAAATTGTTTTTTTTTCTGCATTTCCTGTCTACTTATACAAAATGAATAACGCTGGCACCAACTTTGTATGTTTACTAGCAATGTACAGTTGTCGTGAAATTGAAGTTCCTTTATAATATAAGTTCCAGTAGGAGCAGATAATATGGCATTGTTAATAAAGTTTCCGATGGACATCTGTTTTGCATGACAAATATACGTTGACACCTCGAGCAAAAATATCTCTAAAAATATGGAAAAACTGACTCTTCAATAGTTTACTTGCAAAACATAATAATAATAATCATGGGTGCCGAATTAACAATTTCCTGATTTGACTAGGTGCCGAATTGACTATACCGGGTGCCGATTTGACCAGGTGCCGATTTAGCCAGATGCCGAAGTGACTAGAATTCGTTTTATCCAGATTGTAATGAATAAATCTAGTTAATATTTCGCCAGGTAGTACAAAGTATACATTGCTAATGGAAGTTCATTTAATTATAAAAAAACTAATGTTTTATAACCTTTTTCAGGGCGCAAACCCACCATACAGAGACTTAAGTCTACTGCAATTCCCAGCCTATTTTCCTGGACCAAGCAAGAGACTGAATCGTCCGCAAAAAGAAAAATCAGGGCAGTTTCCTGTGAAAACAAAAGAACTAAACTTGATGAATATTGTAGTAGAAATCTAGAGGAAAGTTTTGATTGTAAAGTTGGTTTTCCTGAAGAAGTCATTCATACTGCAGAAAGGATTTATGACTGTCCACCACCAACTGCCGAGCTTATGTTGAGCTTCACAGATGGAATTACGCAAACACCATCAATGCCTATGTTTTTAACAGAGAATTTTGAAATGAAGACACGTGACACAGCCATGCATTTTTATACCGGTTTAGAGTTGTATACTAAATTTTTATTTGTTTTGACCACACTTGGTCCAGCAGCACATTGTTTGAGATACATATATTTTCAAATTGATAGGGTGTCAGTTGAAAATCAGTTTTTTTATGACTTTGATGAAATTGAGGCATCATACAACCAACTTTGAACTGTCTAGATTCTAGATTGAATCTAGTGTTAAGAATATTGTGTATACATGGATTGTTTTTATGTCTAAACAGTGGTGTGAGGCTAACACTTGGCCATCTAGTGGTTTAGTCAGGTATTTTTCACCATCCAACTTCAAATTAAAGTTTCCTACGACTTGGATTATTATTGACAGCACAGAATATCCCGTGATAAAACCTAAAGCTCCTAGAGCTCAGGCAACCTTTTCATCAAATAAAAACAGAAACACTGAAAATTCTTGAATGTTCGACACCTGGTGGTTTAGTCAACTATGTCTCTATGTCACATAGAGCAAATTATTGGACTTGGCAAAACATACAAAATTCTAATAAATCCTATGAATGGAACTGAAACAAAACTTTCATCTGAAATAACATTTAGTTGTTTTATGTTGTGTAATTTTAGAACTTGTATTGTGCCAAAGGATGCATAAATAAAAGTGACGCAATGAATTTTGTTCTGATATATATATATATTTACAATTACATGCACATGTAAATTGTAATGCATATAAAAATAAGGAGATGTGGTATGATATTCAGTGAGTTTATCAAACTAAAGTGCATAAGAAATGGGTTTAAGCAGTTACAGGTGTTACTGTCACCGTACAATCTCCAACAATGAGAAAAACTCGTACCCTGTAAAAAATTTCAGAGATCTTACAACTAAGTTTTGTTGTCTCACCTTGACTTTGGTGAATTTTTTATACCTGTTGATGTAAATATAAAAAAGGAGATGTGGTATGATTGCCAATGAGACAACTCTCCACACATGCACAAGAGACCAAATGACACAGAAATTAACAGCTATAGGTCACAGTACGGCCTTCAACAATGAGCAAAGCCCATACCGCACAGTCAGCTATAAAAGGCCCAGAAATGACAATGTAAAACAATTCAAACAAGAAAACTAACGGCCTATTTTATGTAAAAAAATGAACAAATATAACAAATATGCAACACATAAACAAACGACAACCACTGAATTACACTTTTATAGGCTCCTGACTTGGGACAGGCACATACATGTACATACAGAATGTGGCGGGCTTAAACATGTTAGCGGGATCCCAACCCTTCCCCTAACCTGGGACAGTGGTGTAACAGTACAATATAAGAAAGAACTATAAAAATCAGTTGAAAGAGGCTAAACTCATCAGATGGATAAATACAAATACAAGTGGACGTGGTCGGGTAGTTGTACATCCAAACAACAAAAAGACACTAAGTACAAATCTGAGAGTACTCGTAGTTACTGACAGCTAGTTCAAAGCCACTAACAACTGATAAAAAAATCTTGCATCTAAGACTAAATTATCAATCCGTAAGCTCCCTTTAGAATTTTATAAATTTTATATTTTACATTTCTGAGTTATGGGGTTTTATTCATTAAAAAAGGGGGGATTTTCCAGTTTTTGGACAACAACTCAAAAATGCTTTAAGCAGTTCTCATGAAACTTTGGTGAATTATTTATAGCTATTGATGTAATCTCCCTATTGATTTTCATAAATTTCAAATATGACATTGAGAAGAAATTGAACTTTATTTGTTTATAGTCTGGCAACAGATTTATTAAGTATTGCACAACAGCACAGTGTATTGCACAACAGCAAGAAATCTTTAATTGAATATAAATTCATTTCATATAACCAATTTCAAGTTCATTGACTACATTTATTCAGAAACTATAATATGTCAAATATTTAATTACAATCCAAATTCAGACCTGTATCAAGCTTGAATATTGTGTCCATTTTTGCCCCAGCTGTTCAGGGTAGTACCTCTGCGGGTGTATCCAGCTGCGCTCAGCGAATCAGTTTATTTCTTAATTAAGAACTCCTTTTTATACGACCGCAAAAAAAATTTTGTGGTCGTATATTGGTATGACGTTGGCGGCGTCGTCCGAAGACACATTAGTTTTCGCACTCTAACTTTAGTTTAAGTGTATGGATCTCAATGAAATTTTAAAATAAGGTTCAATACCACAAAAGGAAAGTGGGGATTGATTTTGGGGGTTAAGGTACCAACAGTTAAGGAATTAGGGGCCAAAAATAAGCATTTTTGTAACTTCCAGACATAACTTGTGTGTAAGTGTATGGATCTCTCTGACATTGTACCACAAGGTTCCATATCACAAAGGGAATGCTGGGATTGATTTTTGGGGTAATTGCCTCCAAATTTTAGGAATTAGGGGCCAAAAAGGGGCAAAAAACAAGCATTTTTTCTAGTTTCATGACAATAACTTGTGTGCAAGTCTATGGATCTCTCTGACATTGTATCGAAAGGTTCCATATCACAAAGGGAATGCTGGGATTGAATTTGGGGGTAATTGCCTACAAATTTTAGGAATTAGGGGCCAAAAAGGGGCAAAAAACAAGCATTTTTCTAGTTTCATGGCAATAACTTGTGTTCAAGTGTATGGATCTTTATGAAATTGTACTACAAGGTTCCATATCACAAAGGGAAAGCTGGAATTGAGTTTGGGGGTAATTGCCCAAAAAGTTTAGGAATAAGGGGCCAAAAATAAGCATTTTTCTAGTTTCCAGACAATAACTTGTGTTCAAGTGTATGGATCTCTCTGAAATTGTACTGCAAGGTACCATACCACAAAGGGAATGCTGGGATTGATTTTGGGGGTAATTGCCTCCAAATTTTAGGAATTAGGGGCCAAAAAGGGGCAAAAAACGCATTTTTCTAGTTTCATGACAATAACTTGTGTGTAAGTCTATGGATCTCTCTGACATTGTATCACATGGTTCCATATCACAAAGGGAATGCTGGGATTGATTTTGGGGGTAATTGCCTCCAAATTTTAGGAATAAGGGGCCAAAAAGGGGCAAAAAACAAGCATTTTTCTAGTTTCATGGCAATAACTTGTGTGTAAGAGTATGGATCTTTATGAAATTGTACTACAAGGTTCCATATCACAAAGGGAAAGCTGGGTTTGAGTTTGGGGGTAATTGCCCTAAATGTTTAGGAATTTGGGACCAAAAAGGGGCCAAAAAACAAGCATTTTTCTAGTTTCCAGACAATAACATGTGTTCAAGTGTATGGATCTCTCTGAAATTGTACTGCAAGGTACCATACCACAAAGGGAAGGCTGGGATTGAGTTTTGGGGTGATGAATCATAAGGGGGTTCAAAAAATTTGGGGGGATTCTTTTTCCTTTTTTTTCTTTAAAATTTCCATTTTAAATTGGTTATTTCTGATTTATATATAAAAGCAAATAATAATGATATGGTTTGAATAGGTAAATTAAATTTTTTTAAGTATATTAGACCACTTTCATTCTGTGTCAGAAACCTATGCTGTGTCAAATATTGAATTACAATCCAAATTCAGTGCTGAATCAAGCTTGAATGTTGTGTTCATACTTGCCCCAACTGTTCAGGGTTCGACCTCTGTGGTCGTATCAAGCTGCGCCCCAGCGGAGCATTTTATTTCATTCATAAATTACTTTATGCTTGGAAATATAATTTTGCTTGGAGTTGAAAGAGTTGACATGTTGCAATGTACATTTACTCTACATAGTTCTATGGTACCAAATCAAAAGTTTATATAAAGAAAGAAGTCAAAGGTTTCCCATCATAGTTTAGTTACATACATTTTTTTTGTACCTGAGGTCGTTGAATATAGATCATTATATAAATAAGGAGATGTGTTATGATTGCCAATGAAAAAACTAAGGATTTTCTTATCCAAGGAATAGATTACCTTAGCCGTATTTGGCACAACTTTTTAGAATTTTGGGTCCTTAATGCTCTTCAACTTTGTACTTGTTTGGCTTTGTTACTATTTTGATCTGAACGTCACTGATGAGTCTTATGTAGACGAAACACACGTCTGGCATATTAAATTATAATCCTGGTACCTTTGATAACTAATTTGACTATAAACATAGATAAAAAAGGTACAAACTGGACATAATGCACTAGTTCATAAACAAGTGAGAACAATCGCCTTCATATAGTGCTCAGAATATGACATTCATAAAACTTATTCAATATCATTAGAGAACTCTAAATCTTAAATACTGAAAGCCACCTCTGATAAGTACACTGTACTATGCAAGATAATTATATAACTGGACTAAAAATACACACAACCTGTAATTAACTGCCTTTACAGCGCTTTCGTGCTTTGATTCTTCCAGCACCCACGAGTAAGATATGCTGGATGTAATGCTATTGGACAGCTGTGTAGAGATTTTGGTCCCTTATTTCAAAAGAAGTACCATAACAGGGTAAGTTATTCACACTCTAAAATGACATTTATTTCAACTAATCAATTGGTCTGCAGACATTCATAACTTGTTTCTAAATATTAGTTTTGAAAGGAAGGAAAGATTTCAAAATATAAGTTGAAGAAATGAAAGATTTCAAAATATTAGTTGAAGGAATGAAAGATTTTAAATTATCAATTAAAGGAAGAAAATATTTCTAAATATTAGTTGAAGGAAGGAAAGATTTCCAAATATTAGTCGAAGGCAGGAAAGATTTCAAAATATTATTTGAAGAATGAAAAATTGCCAAATATTAGTTGAAGGAAGGAAAGATTTCAAGATATAAGTTAATGGAATGACTGATTTCCATAAAGTGATTAGTTCTGAGAGTTTTGTTACTGTGATTAAATTCTTGCGTTTTAGGTTGTACAACAGTTACTTTACATTCATGGATCACACTTAAGTTCTTAGATTTGTATGATGTGAGATATGGTGGGATTGCCAATGTGATATTTATCCATTAATACCAAAGCACTAAGATGTGAATAGTTAAAGGTCATTGTATGGCTTTCAACAATGAGCAAATCCCATAAGTATAGTAAGCCTAAGAAGGTCTGGCATGACAAAATGTGAAACAATTCAAAAGAAAAAACCATTGGCATTTATATTACATCAATAGACTAAAAAATATGGCAGACAGCAACCTGAGACAGGCTTTATTTCAGATGTGATATAAGTTAACACGTGTTTCAAGTTTTAACAGAATAATAACAATGTATACAGATATTTAAGTCTCCCAAACGAAGTTTGGGAAGACTTATTGTTTTTGCTCAGTTCTTATTATTATTATTCTTCTTCTTCTTCTTCCACCCGTTCTCCAAAACCGCTTGTCAGATTAACTTAGGGTTTCACAATATGTTAGACTAACATGTCTAGTGGTGCAATCAGGGTTTTGTTTTTGCAATGGGGTTTATAAAGGGGTACTTTGAGGGGCAAAAAGAAAAGAGGGTTTTACTATAGAACCCTATGGGATTTTATTTTTTTAAATTTTCAAATGATTATAAATTGAAAACCGTTTGTGATAGACACAATCTTTTTAATTGAAAATGTTCTAAATGATAAAGCCCATTAAATGAAATACAGGGTTAGTCCCCAGGGGTCACCCCCACCCCCTGCCATTTAAGAAAGTTCTAATACCTTGTAAGTGGTAAAGATCCCCACCCCTAAACCATATATATTCTGGTTTGTCATGCTAAGATGGTTTGAATGATATACAGGGTTAGTCCCCAGGGGTCATCCCGACCCCCTGCCATTTGAGAAAGTTCTTATATCTTGTAAATGGTCGAGATCCCCACCCCTAAACCATATATATTCTGGTTTGTCATGATAAAGCACATCAAATGTAATACAGGGTTAGTCCCCAGGGGTCACCCCCACCCCCTGCCATTTAAGAAAGTTCTAATATCTTCTAAGTGGTCAAGATCCCCACCCCTAAACCATATATATTCTGGTTTGTCATGCTAAGATGGTTTGAATGATATACAGGGTTAGTCCCCAGGGGTCATTCCGACCCCCTGCCATTTGAGAAAGTTCTAATATCTTGTAAATGGTCGAGATCCCAACCCCTAAACCATATATATTCTGGTTTGTCATGATAAAGCACATCAAATGTTATACAGGGTTAGTCCCCAGGGGTCACCCCCACCCCCTGCCATTTAAGAAAGTTTTAATATCTTGTAAGTGGTCAAGATCCCCACCCCTAAACCATATATATTCTGGTTTGTCATGCTAAGATGGTTTGAATGATATACAGGGTTAGTCCTAAAGGGGTCATCCCGACCCCCTGCCATTTGAGAAAGTTTCTAATATCTTGTAAATGGTTGAGATCCCCACCCCTAAACCATATATATTCTGGTTTGTCATGATAAAGCACATCAAATGAAATACAGGGTTAGTCCCCAGGGGTCACCCCCACCCCCTGCCATTTAAGAAAGTTTTAATATCTTGTAAGTGGTCAAGATCCCCACCCCTAAACCATATATATTCTGGTTTTTCATGCTAAGATGGTTTGAATGATATACAGGGTTAGTCCCCAGGGGTCATCCTGACCCCCTGCCATTTGAAAAAGTTCTAATATCTTGTAAATGGTTGAGATCCCCACCCCTAAACCATATATATTCCTATTTGTCATGTCTCGAACATTTGAATGACGTATACGGTCAGACCCCAGGGGTTCCCCCCACCCCCAATGTTCTAATATCTTGTAAATGGTTGAGATCCCCACCCCTAAACCATATATATTCCTGTTCGTCATGTAATGAACATTTGAATGACGTATAGGGCCAGTCCCCAGGGGTTCCTCCCAACCCCCAATGTTCTAGTATCTTGTAAATGGTCGAGATCCCCACCCCTAAACCATATATATTCTGGTTTGTCATGCCAAGATGATTTGAATGATATACAAGGTTAGTCCCCAGGCATCACTAATGCATATAACTTTACTGGACCAAACCAATTTTCACTGGACGTTGCCCAATGTCAGGCGACCCTGGGATTTACGAATTATGGGAGCTTCGTTTGGGAGACTTCGTAACAGCATCCTGTTACAATCATTTCTTGTTTTTAATGTATCAGAATTATTGAAAACATGTGCATTTCAGATTATAGCAGAATTCCCTCAAACCCAACATGTTTTTTTTTTTGGACAAGAACTATTACTATTAATGGACTACACTTTAATTGAGGGTGAACTAGAATTTCGTTGAGTTTTCATATATTTCAGGTTGTTCCAGAATTATTACAAATTATGGATGACAATGGTAATCCACGAGTACAGTCCCATGGAGCTGCAGCACTGGTAAACTTTGCTGAGGAATGTCCCAAAATTGTACTATCTCAATATTTAGATGTCATTTTAAATAAAATGGAACAAGTTCTTAGTAGTAAATTTAAAGAGGTAAGAATAAAAAAATTTTTTTTATAATATATATATCTGTCTGACCCTATGTTCGATCACAGATCCTAAACCTTTCTATTGCCTTGCAAAGATTTATTAAGAGATAGCATTTTATATCATGAGAGTAGATTATGAATCCTATTTCTACTTGTATTTTATCAAATTAAAGAGTGATAATCTGTCACAACATAGGAAATTGTAAAGGTATCATTGTACATGCTTACAGATTTGTAGTGAAAATCAGAATTGGACTTTGGGAGAACATAATATTTTTCCAGATTTAGTCTACAAAAAAATAAGTAAAAAAATACCCTGACCTGCTGACCTAGGAGTCAGTCACTATATTGTCCTCTGAAATATGAGCACACATGTCATTGCCTAAAATAAATTGTAATAGCGAGTAATTCTACATAGCAGTTAAGACATTGGGATGATTTGGAATTGTTAACGAGAGTAATTCTACATAGCAGTTAAGACATTGGAATGATTTGGAATTGTTAACGAGAGTAATTCTACATAGCAGTAAAGACATTGGAATGATTTGGAATTGTTAACGAGAGTAATTCTACATAGCAGTTAAGACATTGGAATGATTTGGAATTGTTAATGAGAGTAATTCTACATAGCAGTAAAGACATTGGAATGATTTGGAATTGTTAGCGAGAGTAATTCTACATAGCAGTTAAGACATTGGGATGATTTGGAATTGTTAACGAGAGTAATTCTACATAGCAGTAAAGACATTGGAATGATTTGGAATTGTTAACGAGAGTAATTCTACATAGCAGTAAAGACATTGGAATGATTTGGAATTGTTAACGAGAGTAATTCTACATAGCAGTAAAGACATTGGAATGATTTGGAATTGTTAACGAGAGTAATTCTACATAGCAGTAAAGACATTGGAATGATTTGGAATTGTTAACGAGAGTAATTCTACATAGCAGTTAAGACATTGGAATGATTTGGAATTGTTAGCGAGAGTAATTCTACATAGCAGTTAAGACATTGGAATGATTTGGAATTGTTAACGAGAGTAATTCTACATAGCAGTAAAGACATTGGAATGATTTGGAATTGTTAACGAGAGTAATTCTACATAGCAGTAAAGACATTGGGATGATTTGGAATTGTTAACGAGAGTAATTCTACATAGCAGTTAAGACATTGGAATGATTTGGAATTGTTAACGAGAGTAATTCTACATAACAGTAAAGACATTGGAATGATTTGGAATTGTTAACGAGAGTAATTCTACATAGCAGTTAAGACATTGGGATGATTTGGAATTGTTAACGAGAGTAATTCTACATAGCAGTTAAGACATTGGAATGATTTGGAATTGTTAACGAGAGTAATTCTACATAGCAGTAAAGACATTGGAATGATTTGGAATTGTTAACGAGAGTAATTCTACATAGCAGTTAAGACATTGGAATGATTTGGAATTGTTAACGAGAGTAATTCTACATAGCAGTAAAGACATTGGAATGATTTGGAATTGTTAACGAGAGTAATTCTACATAGCAGTTAAGACATTGGAATGATTTGGAATTGTTAACGAGAGTAATTCTACATAGCAGTAAAGACATTGGAATGATTTGGAATTGTTAGCGAGAGTAATTCTACATAGCAGTTAAGACATTGGAATGATTTGGAATTGTTAACGAGAGTAATTCTACATAGCAGTAAAGACATTGGAATGATTTGGAATTGTTAACGAGAGTAATTCTACATAGCAGTAAAGACATTGGGATGATTTGGAATTGTTAACGAGAGTAATTCTACATAGCAGTTAAGACATTGGAATGATTTGGAATTGTTAACGAGAGTAATTCTACATAACAGTAAAGACATTGGAATGATTTGGAATTGTTAACGAGAGTAATTCTACATAGCAGTTAAGACATTGGGATGATTTGGAATTGTTAACGAGAGTAATTCTACATAGCAGTTAAGACATTGGAATGATTTGGAATTGTTAACGAGAGTAATTCTACATAGCAGTAAAGACATTGGAATGATTTGGAATTGTTAACGAGAGTAATTCTACATAGCAGTTAAGACATTGGAATGATTTGGAATTGTTAACGAGAGTAATTCTACATAGCAGTAAAGACATTGGAATGATTTGGAATTGTTAACGAGAGTAATTCTACATAGCAGTTAAGACATTGGAATGATTTGGAATTGTTAACGAGAGTAATTCTACATAGCAGTTAAGACATTGGAATGATTTGGAATTGTTAACGAGAGTAATTCTACATAGCAGTTAAGACATTGGAATGATTTGGAATTGTTAACGAGAGTAATTCTACATAGCAGTAAAGACATTGGAATGATTTGGAATTGTTAACGAGAGTAATTCTACATAGCAGTTAAGACATTGGAATGATTTGGAATTGTTAATGAGAGTAATTCTACATAGCAGTTAAGACATTGGAATGATTTGGAATTGTTAACGAGAGTAATTCTACATAGCAGTTAAGACATTGGAATGATTTGGAATTGTTAACGAGAGTAATTCTACATAGCAGTAAAGACATTGGAATGATTTGGAATTGTTAACGAGAGTAATTCTACATAGCAGTAAAGACATTGGAATGATTTGGAATTGTTAATGAGAGTAATTCTACATAGCAGTTAAGATATTGGGATGATGTATAACTATTGTCCTTTGATATCTCATGAAAAAGACCTTTGCTAGATAGTATCTGACCTTTGTCTTTACTGATGATTTTCCAATATACACAAATCATTGAGAATTTAAGAAATGCTTGCGCTAGACATGACAAAGACACTTGTTAATTGATGAAGACATTATGTTGATCACTTTACGTCTTTTGTGGTTTTTTGTGTGCGTTTTGAGCAGCCTCTAAATGATGTGATTTAAGAGTGCCATCCCCTGATGCCTGATATCTTGAATAGAAAACAATTAATGTTAGAAATTCTATATATGCTAAATATTATCTCTACAAAAAACAATCAAAAGTTAAAAACAAAAACAATTTAAGGTAAGAGGCAGAAGTTACAAGCCAAATTTTCAAGCTTAAAGGTCTTTGTTGGGGATTTTTGAAAAGAAAATGAAAAACTTCCACACTACATAAGAACACATTGACTACATCCATTTTGTTATTTCTTGTGTAAATTTATATAAATTTTTTCATCATTATGTGTCTATTTGTAAATGTTTCTTCCATAGTTATTAGAGAAAGGTGTGAAGTTAGTGTTGGAACAAGTGGTAACAGCCTTAGCATCTGTAGCTGATACGGTCGAGGAGAAATTTACACAGTATTACGATAGATTCATGCCATGTCTCAAATATATCATGCAGAACGCTGTTACTAAAGAAATGAGACTGTTACGAGGGAAAACCATAGAATGTATCAGTCTTATAGGATTAGCTGTAGGGAAAGAAAAGGTATGTTCAATGACATAGTTACTGCAACCAAATTATGTGTTACATGACACATTTTTCCATTTTTTAAGTGTAGGCAGATGAAAGGTATATTGCATTGCAAAGCTGTCAAGTGTATTAATTTGTTTTTATAGATCTTCAACTAACTTTTGACACTTTGAGGGATTAAAAAATAATTCAGAATTGTGCATAGAACATAGTAATTGAAACCCTGCAGATTAAATTTAGTCACCCCTATGCATATATACAAAAATAATTTCCGCTCTCTAACTTTAAAATCTCTTGGAGTTCAGTAATGACACTTAACTTGGTTTTTATTGACTACTAGAAGGTCTGTCACCAGAAAGGAAACAAAAAGAGTGCACACGCTGAAATGTCTCGCCTGCTTTACTGACCATTGATTTTATGTTGATAGTCCTAAATATAAAGCTTTACTACAAGTATCACATTAACTTAACATGATCCAAGAAAATGAGGTCAAGGTCAGATAAACCAAACTGGAAAAACATGTACACCTTACAATCATTCCATACACCAAATATAGTTGACCTATTGCTTATAGTTTCTTAGAAAAAGAACTTAACCTGGAAAACTTAACATTGACCAATGAACCTTGAAAATGAGGTCAAGGTCAGGTGAACCATGCCAGACAGACATGTACACCTTACAATCAATCTATGCATTAAATATAGTTGACATATATTGCTTATAGTATCTAAGAAACAAACTTAAATATGAAAACTTAACATTGACCAATGAACCATGAAAATGAGCTCAAGGTCAAATAAAACCTGCCAGACTGACATGTACATAGTAAAATATTTCCATACACCAAATATAGTTGATCTATTGCATATAGTATTAGAAAAAAATACCAAAACACAAAGACTTAACTTTAACCACTGAACCATGAAAATGAGGTCAAGGTCAGATGACACCTGCCAGTTGGACATGTACACCTTACAATCATTCCATACACCAAATATAGTAGACCTATTGCTTATAGTATCTGAGATATGGACTTGAACTCGAAAACTTAACCTTTTTCACTGATCCATGGAATGAGGTCGAGGTCAGATGAAAACTGTTTGACAGGCACAAGGACCTTGCAAGGTACGCACATACTAAATATAGTTATCCTATTACTCATAATAAGAGAGAAATTAACATTACAAAAAAATCTTAACTTTTTTTCCAAGTAGTCACTGAACCATGAAAATGAGGTCAAGGACAATGGACATATGACAGACGGAAACTTCATAACATAAGGCATCTATATACAAAGTATGAAGCATCCAGGTCTTCCACCTTCTAAGATATAAAGCTTTCAAAAAGTTAGCTAACGCCGCTGTCGCCGGATCACTATCCCTATGTTGAGCTTTCTGCGACAAAATTTGCAGGCTCGACTATAAAAACTACAGAAATGTGCATTGAACAAAGTTATTAGGACCCAGCTGATTTATCTGCATAAGGTCTATAGTAATATGCTTGTATGTACATAGTTGCATTGGTCAGTCACAAATCCTTTCCACTCTCTAACTTTGTGGAAATGTAACTTGGTATGATTATTCATCACTACAGAAAGGTTTGTCACATACAAGGCATTCCCTGGCAGGTATTGACAGATGATTAGGTGAAGACATTGGAATGATGGATAACTTAAAACTTTGATATCTGATGAAAATGACCTTTGCTAGATAGTATCTGACCTTTGTCTTCACTATTATATACTTATTTCTTTTTTTACTGAACTGTTAGTGATGTGATTATATGATGTAATCATGTTTACATTTATTTTCCAGTTTTTAGAGGACTGCTGTGATGTGATTATATGATGTAATCATGTTTACATTTATTTTCCAGTTTTTAGAGGACTGCTGTGATGGGATTATATGATGTAATCATGTTTACATTTATTTTCCAATTTTTACAGGACTGCAGTGATGTGATTATATGATGTAATCATGTTTACATTTATTTTCCAGTTTTTACAGGACTGCAGTGATGTGATGCAGATGTTATTGAAGACACAAACAGACCTTAGTGAAATGGAAGATGATGATCCACAGGTATCAATTTAATCTGTAGGCAGTTACATGTAAATTTACATTTAGGAAATAGATAACAGATTGTCATGATGTAGTGAATGAATAAAATGGAGTGATGTATACATAACATTTTGATTAATGATGAAATCATTGATGTTGCTAGATAGTATCTGACCATTCTCTTCATTGATTTAAGGTTAGAAAGGTTTTAACATATGGCCATTGTGGTCTGTTGCCATCACATCTCACATGAATAATCAGAAACCACTGACCCATTTGTCATCTTGGTTTCCAGATGACCACTGACCCATCGATTAAATACTATATATCAGCCTGCTACCATACTTGAACATTTGGTCACATATAATATTCCTATTGATTTTGAGATCACTTTGAATAAAAGTTACACATTCTTAGAGTGAAATAAATAAGGAATCCAAAGATTATGATTTTCTATTCAAATGAAAGTGAATGTTTAACAATTTCGAGACAAGTACTTGGTGATAATTTCCATGCTTTCTATATGGTCTGAACTCTTGACGTCCCAAATCCCCAGCAAGTCCTAAAAAGGCTGTCAAACGTTGGGCAATTTGGGACTAACTCATCAGATACATCCACTTTTCAGTGCATTGTACTTTATTGATGAGGATAATTTAGTTTGTCCCTGCAGACTTGGCAGGTATTGGAAGAGGTGAAGACATTGGAATGATGGATAACTTTATACTTTGATATCTGATGAAAATGACCTTTGCTAGATAGTATCTGACCTTTGTCTTTACTATTATATCTTTATTTGTTGTCTTATAATGGTTGTAGACTTTCCACATGTTCAAGGGGAGTAAATTTTATGGATGGTTGGGAGAGTAAGGTAAACGACAAACTTCAACTAGTTAAGAATCAAGCTACTCTCTCATTTCAGATTTCATACATGATATCAGCATGGGCTAGAATGTGTAAGATTCTTGGTAAAGAATTCCAGCAATATTTGCCATTAGTAATGCCACCTGTGTTAAAAGCAGCCTCACTCAAGCCAGAGGTTGCATTGCTTGACAGTAAGTAACAATAATTAGACATCATATATTGCTGCATCTGAGATCAACTATTGTTAGGAAGTCACAAGACTAGTATTTTTACCTTTGTGTAACAAAAAATCTCTTAATAATGAAGTTATATCACTAATCTTGGCTTTGTCTAAAGTTTTTATTTGAAGAAAGACTGTGAGCCAATGTGGCTAAAGTGAAACTTAAGTTTTCAGACATCAATAAATTTGTCAATCCTTCATGGAATTGTATGAAACTTGGACAAAAACTGTTTCATTATGAAAAGATAATATCCAGAGAAAAATTAGAATTTTGATTTCTTTTTCCCGTATTTTACTGATAAATGGATTTTTTATGCCCTCGCCGTAGCATTAAGTTTTACCCTTGTCTGTCTGTACCTCCGTACGTCCCAAAATTGGTTTCCATTCTCGAACTTTAGTTTGCCTCAACCAAATGCTATGAAACTTGTACACAATGCCCATTACCACAAAACACAGATCAAGTTTGAATTTAGGTGGCGTCACTTTTACCGTTCTAGAGTTATGCCCTTTACAAATGGAAAAATTGCTGAATATTTTGTTTCCGTTCTCTAAGTTAAATTTGCCTCAACGAAATGTAATCAATCTTATACACAATGCTTATTACCACAAAACACAGGTCAAGTTTGAATGTTGGTGGCGTCACTTTTACCGTTCTAGAGTAATGCCCCTTTACAAATAGAAAATTTGCTGAATTTTTCGTTTCTGTACTCTAACTTAAGTTTACCTCAACCAAATGTTATGAAACTTATACACAATGCTGATTACCACAAAACTCAGATCAAGTTCAAATTTGGGTAACGTCACTTTTACTGTTCTTGAGGTTTGTCCCTTTATAACGTTATATGCAAGCTGGGGCATCATCTGTGTCCGATAGACACATTCCCCATTTATTTTTTGTAGTATTTGTAAGTTTGTTTTTTTTTGTAGTTAAAATAAAGATACAGCCTTAGTTTAAAGTTTTTCAGACATCAATATATATCTTTTTCAAAACTTCTTGGAATTTTTAATATATGGACTTTTTTTTTTGGCAGTCAACATTAAACTTTTAAGATTTAAATACTTGTTTTCTTAGGTGATGAAATAAAAGACATGCAAGGTGATACAGATTGGGAGTTTGTCAATGTAGGAGAACAGGTGCAGTATTTATTTTATCAGCAACATTTTGGATAGAAAAAAAATGCTTCAGGAAGGGAAAAGAAATTTTGCTCTTTTTTTGTGGGGACGGGTTAATAAAAATTACATATATCGTAAATTCAGTAATTATTTTTGTGATTGTTAAACAATGGACAAAAATGAGTTATGAATTATTTCTACATGTAATTCAGGAAATGCTGCATACAAATAAAATTTAAAGTCATATGCAATGATTTTCTTGAAATTGTCATGTTATGGAAATTATTGAACCAGTGCATGTATATATACTAAACTAAGTTGTCTATGTACAATTTTTTACAATTTTTACAAATCCATAACATATAATCGACAAAAAATATTTCATTCAGTAAAAACTTGCCCTGCTTATTAACTTTCGTGTTTTATTGCAAAGTTTATCGAACTTAATAAACAATCAACACAGAGTATTGGAGCACGTGAAAAATAAATGAGATAATAGACATGCAATAGTGATGTTTTTAGCTCACCTGGCCCAAAGGGCCAAGTGAGCTTTTCTCATCACTTGGCGTCCGTCGTCTTCGTCGTCAGTCGTCGTTAGCTTTTTACAAAAATCTTCTCCTCTGAAACCACTGAGCCAAATTTAACCAAACTTGGCCACAATCATCATTAGGGTATTTAGTTTAAAAAATGTGTCCGATGACCCTGCCAACCAACCAAGATGGCCGCCATGGCTAAAAATAGAACATAGGGGTAAAATGTAGATTTTGGCTTATATCTCTGAAACCAAAGCATTTAGAGTAAATCTGACATAGGGTAAAACTGATTATCAGGTCAAGATCTATCTGCCCTGAAATTTTCAGACAAATCTGACAACCTGTTGTTGGGTTGCTGCCCCTGAATTGGTAATTTTAAGGAAATTTTGCAGTTTTTGGTTATTATCTTGAATATTATTATAGATAGAGATAAACTGTAAACAGCAATAATGTTCAGCAAAGTAAGATCTACAAATAAGTTGACATGACCAAAATTGTCAGTCGATCCCTTTAGGAGTTATTGCCCTTAATAGTCAATTTTTAACAATTTTTTGTAAATTTTTGTAATCTTTTACAAAAATCTTCTCCTCTGAAACTACTGAGACAAATTTAACCATACTTGGCCATAATCATTATTAGGGTATCTAGTTTCAAAAATTTGTCCGATGACCCCGCCTTCCAACCATCATGGCCGACTTGGTTAAAAATAGAACATAGGGGTAAAATGCAGTTTTTGGTCTATATCTCTGAAACTAAAGCATTTAGAGCAAATCTGACAGGTGTCAAAAATGTTCATCAGATTAAGATTTATCTGCCCTGAAATTTCAGACGAATCCGACAACTCGTTGTTGGGTTGCTGCCCCTGAGTTAGTAATTTTTAACAAAAGTTTTGCAGTTTTTTGTTATTATCTTAGATATCATTATAATATCTAATATCAAATACTATTAATTATGATTTTAACCTTATTTTACATGATTTCCAAAGCATCAGTAAATACAGGTGAGCGACACAGGCTCTTGAGAGCCTCTAGTTTTTATGTCCCACCTACAATAGTAGAGGGGCATTATGTTTTTTGTTTTTTCAATCTGTGAGTTCGTCCGACTGTCCCTCTAAATTTTTTGGTCAAGGTAGTTTTTGATAAAGTCCAATCAACTTGAAACTTAGTACACATGTTCCCTATGATATGATCTTTCTAATTTTAATACCAAATTAGAGTTTTGACCCCAATTTCACAGTCCACTGAACATAGAAAATGATAGTGCGAGTGGGGCATCCGTGCACTATGGACACATTCTTGTTTTTAAATATAATTTCTATGTGTTTCTATTTGTTAATCGAACTTTGACATATCAGTTAAATCATTTGGTGTATTAAATTGTTCTTTCAGAATCAATTAACACTATTTACCTTCCAATGCACATTTGTATACATTCTTTTAATCACTGTTTTTCCGTTGCATTTGCGCAGTGCAGTTGCCAAAGTTCTAAAGAAAGGTTTTGTGGTTAAGGTCACTGCATATGGAAAAGCTATTGGCAAGTTAGACTATGGAAAAACAATAATTCAATAGCAGCATATTTCTGAAGATTTTGATAAGATGAAAGATTATCTTTTACATGTGTTTTATGGTAAAATTTTGCCATTCAAGTAAATAAAACATAATCAAATTTTTTTTTCAATTTGAAGTGTCTTAGTTTTGCAAAATCTATCTAATAGCATTTTTGCAGTAGTAAAATCATTGCAAAAATTTCTTATTTACTGTTATCAATTATCGTGAAATAAATAAAATTGCCAAAAATAAAATGAAATGAACAGAATTAAAAAAGGTAATCTAAGTTTGTCTGACTATTGGCATTTTCTTAAATATTGTTACATTGATTTACAGCAAAGTTTTGGTATCAGAACAGCTGGTTTAGAAGAGAAGACAACAGCCTGTCAGATGTTGGTGTGTTATGCCAGAGAACTGAAGGAAGGCTTTGCTGAGTATGCAGAGGAAGTCGTCAGAACAATGGTTCCTTTGTTGAAATTCTATTTTGAAGATGGTATCCTTACAGTGTTGACCAATGTTGTTGGGCCAATATTATTCTCAGAAATTATACAGGATAGGTCACAATACTGGCATGTAAAATCATTTCATAGTCTATTTCAATTCTTTAATCTTACATTAATAGTAAAAAATGTCTATTTTTACTAATTTGTTTTGCAGTTTATATTCTGTGAATATATATCAGTGTTTCAACTGTAATGTGACCTTAAAATTTTTTCTTAACCTTGAAAAAGACATTAGAATAGCAGCATCAGAAAGTCTACCCTTCTTAATAGACTGTGCTAAGATTCGTGGAGACCAGTATGTAGCAGAGATGTGGAATTACATCTGTCCCAGTCTGTTAAAGGCCATAGAGATTGAACCTGAACAATCAGTTCTACCTGAACATCTGTACGCCTTATCCAAGGTGAGATTAAAATACACATGTGACCTGAACATTTGTACGCCTTATCCAAGATGAGATTAAAATACACCTGTTACCTGAACATCTGTACACCTTGTTCAGGGTCAGATTAAAAATACACATGTTACCTGAACATCTGTACACCTATCCAAGGTCAGATTAAAATACACATGTTACCTGAACATCTGTACACCTTGTTCAGGGTCAGATTAAAATACACCTGTTACCTGATCATCTGTACACCTTGTTCAGGGTCAGATTAAAATACACCTGTTACCTGAACATCTGTACACCTTGTTCAGGGTCAGATTAAAATACACCTGTTACCTGATCATCTGTACACCTTGTTCAGGGTCAGATTAAAATACACCTGTTACCTGAACATCTGTACACCTTGTTCAGGGTCAGATTAAAATACACCTGTTACCTTAACATCTGTACACCTTGTTCAGGGTCAGATTAAAATACACATTACCTGAACATCTGTACACCTTGTTCAGGGTCAGATTAAAATACACATGTTACCTGAACATCTGTACACCTTGTTCAGGGTCAGATTAGAATACACATGTTACCAGAACATCTGTACACCTTGTTCAAGGTCAGATTAAAATACACATGATACCTGAACATCTGTACACCTTGTTCAAGGTCAGATTAAAATACACATGTTACCTGAACATCTGTACACCTTGTACAAGGATAAATTAAGATACACATATTATCTGAACATCTATACGCCTTGTACAAGGTCAGATTAGAATACAAATATTACCTGTAGGTCAGATTAAAATATCAATGTTACCTGAACATCTGTACACCTTGTACAAGGTGAAATTAAAATACATATTTTAGCTGTTTGTCATGAACTTGTATAAGCTTGACAGATATGGAGGATAACATAACTAATAGTAGAAAACTGACAACCCCATGGCAACAACAAAAAACTGACAACCCCATGGCAACAACAAAAAACTGACAACCCCATGGCAACAACAAAAAACTGACAACCCCATGACAACAACAAAAAATTGACAACCCCATGACAACAACAAAAAAAGACAAAAAGATTATACATTGTAAACTTAAAATTGAGCAAAACAAACCCCACCAAAAACAGGACTGATGATTACTGAAATTTGCCCAAGCAGATCTTTCAAAAATTATTTGTTTAGAGCTAATATCCTAATGCATGTAGATTACAACTTTGGTTGTCTTGCTTGCTATTTCTGTATATAGTTGAATTTGATTATTTGATAATTTCCATTGGTGATCCATTGCAAAACTATCTAAACTATCTATTGAACTCTTTCAGAATTTTCCAGATAAGAGATTGTATTCAGTTTATTGAGTTTTACTTCTTCAATTATCCTGGAAACAAATATCTTAGATCTTCCCCCCCCTTTTTTTTTTACATTCACAAATAATGAATCGCAGTTTCAAATCAATTGAAATATTTTCATTTTATAAACAGTGTATTATTGTACACAACATCGTGTAGAAAACACATGTAGATTTATGTGTTGGTGTTATTGTTGTTGTACTCAAACGTACTGTTGGTTGGTTTTTTCAGTGCATAGAAAAGTTGGGAAAAGGGTGTTTATCGCAAGAGAATATGAACTTAGTTATTTCTTTGCTGGAAAAACAACTGCAGAGTCATTTCAAAAAGCAGGAAGAAAGACACGGTGAGTTTGTTGTTTCTTCATCTTTTAAACCAGTACTGGGTGTGAGTGTTTCAAATAGAGACACAGTTGATCTTGATAAATATTTTGCTTCAGTAATTGGTTATTTAAGAATCATGCAGATTAATTGCTTAATTAGAAATTATACCAATATAAATGTCAGTAGAAAGATGCTTTTGTGATAATTATCCATCTTTAGTCCACTGATCTATGTTTTCAGAAAAGAGGAAAGATGAGGATTATGATGAAGATTTAGAGGAAGACTTGTTAGAGGAGGTAACATCACCTAAATGTGTGGTTAAGTGTTTGTAACTGTCATCACCTAGATGTGTGGTTAAGTGTTTGTAATCGTCATCACCTCAATGTGTGGTTAAGCGTTTGTAACTGTCATCACCTAAATGTGTGGTTAAGCGTTTGATCCCTGATCACTGCTAGTTGTGGGGTCAAAACAGAAGTATTTGTATTTTTTGTATGTAAATATGTGACAATTATTGGTCTACATTTATGCATTTGTACCCAAAAGTGTCAAATGTTGTTGATTTATTTTGGACAATCTTGATTTTATACAAGACAGTTCTTTCTTGCATGTTTATGTGTTTCAAAAAAAAAAATCATTTTAAATGCATGTAAAATATTTTGGGTCAAGACAAACTTTCATGGTTCAGTCAGGAGAGAACAAAGATTCAATATTTTAATGTAGGCCGCAGTCGCACAGTTATATTAGGACAAGTTCAGGAGTTTTGCATGTATAATGCAAGGGTACCCGAATTGCACCTATTTTTAAAAAAATTTCACCTACATTTATATAAGAAACACACAAGTTTCTGTTCTGTGTTTATTTCATAAATGAATCCTTATTTACTATATAGTTCAGGAAATTTGATTTTGAATCCATTAAGAATCATGAAAATATGTGTTTGAACCGACTTCCATACAAACCAAGATTCTGTAATGAAAAGTACCTTAATTGCTTAGTCCAAAAAAATGAATGTGTGTTTAAGGTTACAACCTTTAGAATAATAGGATAGGTAGGTAGGTAGTTCCATTTATTATTTGTTTTCATTTTTCTTTTTGATAAAAACTTCTAATAAACTGTTTTGTCCTTTTTAATGTTGGTTAAATGTACATGTTTGGCATAGGCAGAAAGGTTAAATGTACATGTATGGCATAGGCAGAAAGGTTAAATGTACATGTATGGCATAGGCAGAAAGGTTAAATGTACATGTATGGCATAGGCAGAAAGGTTAAATGTACATGTATGGCATAGGCAGAAAGGTTAAATGTACATGTATGGCATAGGCAGAAAGGTTAAATGTACATGTATGGCATAGGCAGAAAGGTTAAATGTACATGTATGGCATAGGCAGAAAGGTTAAATGTACATGTATGGCATAGGCAGAAATAATTTCACTATGCTGTACTGGTGTATGAACAATCAATATAAACTAGAAGACGTTAGAAAAGATGAAAGATAATAAAACCTGGACTTGTACATATGGACATACTGGACAATTGTTGCATTTCATTTCACATATAAATTCTATGTATTTAACATTAAATTGATCAACCACTTCTCCAATGGTCAACAATGAAACCTTCAGATTGTGCAATGTCAGTTTTACAGGTCACTGTATCATGTGTAACTTTGTATGATTTGGCCAACTGTTTTTCGTGGTACAACTCAAAACATCTGTTCCAATAATCAATCGATTTGGGAGCATCAAATAATTTTGAACTATCTGGTCACATTTTTTTAACTTTAAAGCAACAGCACTTGCTTCCTCAGCCTGCTGAGCCACGCAGGCTGCCATTTGGATAATAAATTAAAGTGATCTAATGACCACATGCTTACTTTCATTTTTGTATAAACCAAAAGGTGTTTCCAGCTTTAGCTTCACTTCTATTTTATTTATGGATAAACTGTCATAGGGTCGGTCTTGTAACCGTAAACAGACATAAATTTTATTAATATTTTATATATTCTTTTTGACCTATCTTCACATCCTTAAAAATTGAATAATTGAATTTTATTTATTTTTCAACATTTTTTATCCAGCCCGTGATTTGAAAGCTTATATTGTGTACTGTGATATTCACTTGTGTAAACTACATAGTTGTGTTTATAGTATCACTGTGGTCTCTGTTCCACACTTAATAATGTAGATGTCTCTGTTCCACACTTAATAATGTAGATGTCTCCATTCCACACTTAATAACGTAGATGTCTCCGTTCCACACTTAATAACGTAGATGTCTCCGTTCCACACTTAATAACGTAGATGTCTCCGTTCCACACTTGATAACGTAGATGTCTCCGTTCCACACTTGATAACGTAGATGTCTCCCACTTTATAATGTAGATGTCTCCGTTCCACACTTGATAACGTAGATGTCTCCGTTCCACACTTGATAATGTAGATGTCTCCGTTCCACACTTGATAATGTAGATGTCTCCGTTCCACACTTAATAATGTAGATGTCTGTTGATGCTTTCTGTTCCAATGACAGGTTTGAATTCTTTAAATGGCAATGTATAGTTCTGTACTTTATTTTGACAGGATGATGCAGACACCTACATACTGAGTAAAGTATCAGACATATTACATTCTATATTTGGTACTCATCATGAAGAATTCCTGCCACTGTTTGAACAACTGCTACCATTCTTTGTTAAGTTAATTGTAAGTACAAATTTGAAATGCTAGATTTCAATCATTGTTAAAAAAGAGGGACGAAAGGTACCAGAGGGACAGTCAAACTCATAGATCGAAAACAAACTGACAATGCAATGGCCATAAATAAAAAGACAAACAGACAAATAATAGTACAGATGACACAACATAGAAAACTAAAGACTAGGCAACACTAATATCTGCAAATATGACATGCTACATACTTCAGATGAAGCACATTTGGTCCAGTCTTTTTATGCCCCCACTGCTAGGTGAAGGGGGCATTAATTGTTGCCCTTGACCGTCAGTCTCATTTTCGTTTCGGCACTCTAACTAAAGTTTTCCTCATGCAAATTTTATGAAACTCATACACAATGCTAAGAACCACAACATGCAAACAGAGTTTGAATTTGGGCAGTGTGTCATTTACCTTTCTAGAGTTGTGCCGCTTTTTGATTGCAAGGCTCGAGTGGGGGCATTTGTGTCCTCGGACACATTCTTCTTTAATCCACCAGAGACAATGATACTACTTTTGGTATATCATTAAAAAAAAAAATTTTTTTTTACTTCTGAAAAAAATGAGTGGAATTATATGCATCTGTTAAGCTATTTAAGTACACACTGTGATATATGTATTTATAACTAACCTGTGGGTTATGTAATATAACATTTATAATTATAAACAACATAAAACACTTTTACGCTGACAGCAGCAATTGCAGGCGAGACACAGGGTTCTGAGGAACCTCTTACAAATTTTTATTTCAATATCCTGATCAGATCAGCCTTGGTAAGATAAACAATAGGGGCTGTGTATATTAAATAAGATATTTATTATTATTTCAGTGTCTTGATCAGGTCAGCATTGGTCAGATAAACAATAGGGGCCATGTATATTGAATAATGTAATGTTGTTATTATTATTTCAGGGCCCAGATCAGGTGTGGTCAGATAAACAGTGGGGACTATGTATATGGGATGATGTAATAGAACATTGTGGTCCAGTAAGTTACATTAGTTTTGAGGTCTAATTAACCATTGTAAGATTAATTTAAATAGAAGATACCACTTTTAAAAATGTGCATTAAAGTATTTTATTTTGTGTGGTATTTAATAAGTAATGCAACCTCCTTTTAATGCCCCCGCGGTAGGGGAGGGGGCATTAAGTGTTACCCTTGTCCGTCCCATCCGTCCTTATGTCCCCAAAATTGTTTTCCATTTTTTAACTTTAGTTTGCCTCAACCAAATGTTATGAAACTTGTACACGCTTATTACCACAAAACACAGATCAAGTTCGAAATTGGGTGGGTCACTTTTACCATTCATGAGTTATGCCCCTTTATAAATTGAAAAAATTGCTAAATCTGTCGTGTCCGTTCTCCAACTTTAGTTTGCTTCAACCAAATGTTATGAAACTTATACACAATGCTTATTTCCACAAAACACAGCTGAAGTTTGAAATTGGGAGGGGCTTCACTTTTACCGTTCATGAGTTATGCCCCTTTATAAATGGAAAAATGGCTAAATCTGTTGTTTCCGTTCTCCAACTTTAGTTTGCCTCAACCAAATGTTATGAAACTTATATTAGATTTTTGGCTGTCCCAACAGCTTGACATACATGTAGGTGTTATTTCATTATCAACACTTTATGGGATGTTATGATTATATCCATTTTAGAACTAGTTATTATGATACATTATTGAGATTTGGTTCACAGTTGCATAAGCATCCCTGCATCTCATTTGTGTGCAGTAATCGAGGCATACCCCTCAGTCCAGTGATAAACTTCCTTGTTTTTTTAACTAGCCTTCTGATTTATTCTAACTTGACAAGTTTCTACAAATACAAGAAGCAAAGGTTTTCATTATATTTTAACTGTTTCTGGACTTCTTTTCTTTTTCAATTTTACTTGTCTTGAAATCCAGTAAAACATTATTATATCAAAAAGTGTTACCTTATATTTTAACAGCACTCAGTAAAGTACACCCAGTACTTCCTTGCCCAAATGATGAGTTTTCTAAGTGACAAACAGCCAGAACTGAGACAGGCTGCAGCTTATGGTATTGGTGTTATGGCTAAGTTTGGAGGAGAAGTGTATGCTGCAACATGTGCAGGTTAAAACATATCTTCATTAGATCGGCAAAAAAATAATTTCTGACCTAAGTGTTGAAAAGTTGCACAAGCTGGCAATCATTTGTTAGATGCTAAATGGAAAGGTTTTACCCTTTCACAATACTAATTGGCACTAACTGTTTTTATATGCTGCAAATTAAATTCATCTCTTTCAAAAGGTAAAAAGTTTAACTTATTGCTAAGTGAAAGGTTGCTAGTTTAAAGCAAATGTGATGTAAGAATGATTATTCTTTGTGATTGACTTTGTGTCTTTCAAATAAGCAGGGTAAAACGAATAACAAAGGAATAACATTATATGTCAGAAATTTGATTTATTTCGAAAAAGATTTCAGTAACTTAACCTTTATTCTATTTCTTTTAAAATTGTAAAATGTTTGCCAAAGTTTGAGGTGCTCCAGATGAAACTTTGATTTGCCCAGTGTTGTTTCAAATAAATTCAGAGATTGTAATATGGGAATTAAGAATAATATTCAGCAAACCTACTGCTAAAAAGATATGGTTATCACAGTTATTATTTCATGTTTACCAACTAGGGAAGACTTATTTCAGAAAGACCTGTTTTATAATTGAAATGATGTAGTTATTTTTTTATGCCCCCGCCGTAGCCGGGGGGCATTGAGTTTTAACCTTGTCAGTCTGTACGTCCGTTCGTCAGTACGTTCCAAAATTGGTTTCCGTTCTCTAACTTTAGTTTGCCTTAACCAAATGATATGAAACTTATACACCATGCTCATTACCACAAATCACAGATCCAGTTTGATTTTTGGTGGCGTCACTTTTACCGTTCTAGAGTTATGCCCCTTTACAAATGGAAAAATTGCTGAATTTTTCATTTCTGTTCTCTAACTTTATATATATATATAATTAGTTTGCCTCAACCAAATTTTATGAAACTTATACACAATGCTTAATACAACAAAACACAGATCAAGTTTGAATTTTGGTGGTGTCACTTTTACGGTTTTAGAGTTATGCCAGTTTACAAATGGAAAAATTGCTGAATTTTTTGTTTCCGTTCTCTAACTTAAGTTTGCCTCAACTAAATGTTATGAAATGTATACACAATGCTTATTACCAGAAAACTCAGATCAAGTACAACTTTGGGTAGCCTCACTTTTACAGTTCTTGAGTTTTGTCCCTTTATAACGTTATATGCAAGGGGGGCATCATCTGTGTCCCATGGACACATTCCCCATTTATTAAACCACTAGGTTGGTAAAGAAGCTTGGGGACTACCAGTCCCTGATTGTACCATCTGCCAAGAGGCCAGCCCTTCTGTTTTACATTATTTAGATAAATACTTTGTCAGATTTCCTACTGTTTTTAGTTTTTCTGTTTAGGCTTTTGGGGTTTTATGCTCTCAAAATGTCCTACATTATTGTCCTTCCAACTCCTTTTCTGGAGTGTATCTGATAAAATTTATACCAGAAACACGTGTTTTTGCACAGTTATTGTATGCTCTTTTTAGTCTAAGTTATGATGATAACTATAGTATGTGTAGATTTGATTTGTACAGTTTGTCATCGTTACTTAAAGTTTCTGGTCAAACAGTTAGTCTATAGTCATCATAGACCAGAGTGGAATAACATGGATTATTTTGTTTTTAGAGGCCTTGCCACTGTTAGTAAAGATGATTCAGGACCCTGATTCACGGTCCCCTGAGAATGCCAACCCAACAGAAAATGCTATCTCTGCCATCGCTAAGATATGTCAACATAACAATAGTCAGATTAATGTTAATGATGTTTTACCCATGTGGCTCTCCTGGTTACCTGTCTGGGAAGATGAAGATGAAGCAGAACCAGTATACAATTATCTCTGTGACCTTATTGAAATGTAAGTTGAATAGTGATATAATATCGAATAAAAATATAGGATATATGAAAAGAATAGAAATATTAGATGATATGTTACGATAGGCCAGACTTACATATGCTTTCTATATGGTATCAAGTTTTGATAAACTTTGTATAATCTTGTAAATATTCTAATGTTCCATTCATCACAGACAATTTAGAAGTTTGTTAATGAGAGAGAGAGTCTGTTGTAAGTTACGAAAAAAAAGATCTTTAAAAAAGGGTAAGTTTAAGAACTTCCATTGGCAAAGAACAGCCAAGGATTGTGTATAAAACTTTTAAAACTTCCCAAATTAGTGTAATATGATAATTTTAGGAATCATCCATTAATACTGGGGGAGAACCACAACAACCTGCCACAGATTGTATGTATAGTGGCTGAAGCATTTACAAAGGAGGCAGTGTCACCAGAGGAAAATGTTTACACAAGAATGCTCAATATAGTACGACAAGTAGAGGTGAGTTATTGTTTACACTAGAATGCTCAATATACTACGACAAGTAGAGGTGAGTTATTGTTTACACTAGAATGCTCAATATAGTACGACAAGTAGAGGTGAGTTATTGTTTACACAAGAATGCTCAATATACTACGACAAGTAGAGGTGAGTTATTGTTTACACTAGAATGCTCAATATAGTACGACAAGTAGAGGTGAGTTATTGTTTACACAAGAATGCTCAATATACTACGACAAGTAGAGGTGAGTTATTGTTTACACAAGAATGCTCAATATTGTACGACAAGTAGAGGTGAGTTATTGTTTGCACAAGAATGCTCAATATGTACAAGTAGAGGTGAGTTATTGTTTACACAAGAATGCTCAATATAGTACGACAAGTAGAGGTGTGTTATTGTTTACACTAGAATGCTAAATATGTACAAGTAGAGGTGAGTTATTGTTTACACTAGAATGCTCAATACAGTACGACAAGTAGAGGTGAGTTATTGTTTACACTAGAATGCTCAATATAGTACAAGTAGAGGTGAGTTATTGTTTACACTAGAATGCTCAATATAGGTGACAAGTAGAGGTGAGTTATTGTTTACACAAGAATGCTCAATATTGTACGACAAGTACAGGTGAGTTATTGTTTACACTAGAATGCTCAATATAGTTCGACAAGTACAGGTGAGTTATTGTTTACACAAGAATGCTCAATATAGTACGACAAGTAGAGATGAGTTATTGTTTACACAAGAATGCTCAATATAGTACGACAAGTAGAGGTGAGTTATTGTTTACACAAGAACGCTCAATATAGTACGACAAGTAGAGGTGAGTTATTGTTTACACTAGAATGCTCAATATTGTACTACAAGTAGAGGTGAGTAATTGTTTACACAAGAATGCTCAATATAGTACAAGTAGAGGTGAGTTATTGTTTACACAAGAATGCTCAATATGTACAAGTAGAGGTGAGTTATTGTTTACACTAGAATGCTCAATATAGTACGACAAGTAGAGGTGAGTAATTGTTTAAACAAGAATGCTCAATATAGTACGACAAGTAGAGGTGAGTTATTGTTTACACTAGAATGCTCAATATTGTACGACAAGTAGAGGTGAGTAATTGTTTACACAAGAATGCTCAATATAGTACAAGAAGAGGTGAGTTATTGTTTACACTAGAATGCTCAATATAGTACAACAAGTAGAGGTGAGTTATTGTTTACACTAGAATGCTCAATATAGTACGACAAGTAGAGGTGAGTTATTGTTTACACAAGAATGCTCAATATAGTACGACAAGTAGAGGTGAGTTATTGTTTACACAAGAATGCTCAATATTGTACGACAAGTAGAGGTGAGTTATTGTTTACACTAGAATGCTCAATATAGTACGACAAGTAGAGGTGAGTTATTGCTTACACAAGAATGCTCAATATACTACGACAAGTAGAGGTGAGTTATTGTTTACACTAGAATGCTCAATATTGTACAAGTAGAGGTGAGTAATTGTTTACACAAGAATGCTCAATATAGTACGACAAGTAGAGGTGAGTTATTGTTTACACTAGAATGCTCAATATACTACGACAAGTAGAGGTGAGTTATTGTTTACACTAGAATGCTCAATATACTACGACAAGTAGAGGTGAGTTATTGTTTACACTAGAATGCTCAATATTGTACGACAAGTAGAGGTGAGTTATTGTTTACACTAGAATGCTCAATATTGTACGACAAGTAGAGGTGAGTTATTGTTTACACAAGAATGCTCAATATTGTACGACAAGTAGAGGTGAGTTATTGTTTACACAAGAATGCTCAATATAGTACGACAAGTAGAGGTGAGTCATTGTTTACACAAGAATGCTCAATATTTACAAGTAGAGGTGAGTTATTGTTTACACTAGAATTGTCAATATAGTACGACAAGTAGAGGTGAGTTATTGTTTACACAAGAATGCTCAATATGTACAAGTAGAGGTGAGTTATTGTTTACACTAGAATGGTCAATATAGTACGACAAGTAGAGGTGAGTTATTGTTTACACTAGAATGCTCAATATGTACAAGTAGAGGTGAGTTATTGTTTACACAAGAATGCTCAATATGTACAAGTAGAGGTGAGTTATTGTTTACACTAGAATGATCAATATTGTACGACAAGTAGAGGTGAGTTATTGTTTACACTAGAATGCTCAATATTGTACGACAAGTAGAGGTGAGTTATTGTTTACACAAGAATGCTCAATATTGTACGACAAGTAGAGGTGAGTTATTGTTTACACAAGAATGCTCAATATGTACAAGTAGAGGTGAGTCATTGTTTACACAAGAATGCTCAATATTGTACGACAAGTAGAGGTGAGTTATTGTTTACACAAGAATGCTCAATATGTACAAGTAGAGGTGAGATATTTTAAGTATAATAGTTAATAACCAATAGCTGTTGAAATATAAATGACAAAAATGGACTTACTATAAATTCAAATCTTGGTTGGGAGCTCAACATCTGTTTAGTTTGCTTTATATCAATGTGTTTGATGCTCCTACAGTTACAAATTAGGTCTCATACATCCTTATTTGCAATAAGAATTGTTGAAATACTGGCTTGAAATAGACATACTTGGTGCAATGAATAGGTGTAGTGCTTGTTTGAGGGAAAAAAATGCATTTAAATATTAGAATTGCTTCATGTGTGGTTAGCATATTTTAAAACTTCCTAAATTGGGTGTCACATTTGTTTAAATGGATTTGCATTCAGAAATAAATGTTCTTTGCTTATTAAAATAATTGGTCCTTGCTTAATAGTACAATATTATTTTTGCAGCAAAATCCAGCAGTATTCCAGGCCTGTATTCCTCTTCTGTCAGCAGAACAGCAACAAACATTACATCAAGCTCTCAGTAGCTAATACCACCAACAGTTGAGTTATACCATTATAAAACAACAGTCAATGAGATAATACGACCATATAACAGCAGTCTAGGAGATGGCATAATCATAAAGCACAGTCAAGGAGATGCCTTAGAATTGAGGCTTAATATTTTATTTTAGACTTCACAAAAATCTATGACGAAGACAAAATTTGTGTTTATTGGTACATTTAATTTTGGATTATGAGAAGGAAAACCTTTGGAGTACATAGAAGAATGTTTGAATAAGAACTTAGTCTCCATAGTTTAATAATAAATGTTTTGATGATATTTCATGATTTACTTCCTGTTTATCTTTGTTAGAAGTAAATAATAAGATATATATTTAAACATCTGTTTTCACTTTTAATTATGTACAGACTTTATATGTTTTATCACTTAAATAATGTAGATATTTATCCTAATGGCATCTATAGGGAATTGTAATCATTTTTATTTAACAACCATTTTAAAGTCATGTTGTATTATTTAGAGTGTATTATAAAAATTCAGATAGTGGGTTACAGAGATACTTACAAGTATTATAAAACATTTGGGGTTTACTATTGCTTTTTTTATTCTAGAACCCCTTAAATGTCAAGGCTGGAGTAAGGAGAACTGTTTATAAATATGTTTAGTAACCTACAATTTTCTTAAAAGTGAAATATTATGGCAATGTTAAAAAGTATTTAAGATAAATAAAATCATTTATAATTATATGTATGCTTGCTTGGTTTTTCTCAAATGATTCATGAATGAAATGCTTTTGTTGCAAATTTTCATTGAAGTTTTTATGCTTTATAAAAACATTAAACATTGAAATGTACAGTTAAGTGAAGATGTCAAATACTGAGGAGATTTTGGAGATTATTTTGATATGTTAATTCTCTGGAAATACGAAAAAATTGTATGATAATACTACTAATCCCATTTCTTTTTTAATTCTAAAGTAAGGATTTCATAAAATTCAAATATTGGCCAAGCCCTGATGACATTGTGTTGCAGAGTTCATTGAAATGATGTCATTATGGGATATTTCTAGTTCTAAGAAAAAGTTGGTCAATAGAAGGAACATTTTAGTTTTAATTTGATCAGATCACAAGCGTTGACAAAATTATTTCTTGACAATGAATAGAAAAACACATTATACATGTTTGTGAGGATATCTTTTTTAGGGTGACGGTTGTGTGAATATCTTTTTCCTAGGCATTTATTAGTCTAAGTCAAGATTTTACTTAATTTCATCCATTTACTACACATACTGTGGTTTTAAATTCGTATAACTCATGAAAAGGAAATATTTTAAACCAGAATTGTAATGTTTTATTAAAGTATATATATTTAACATTAGTTCAGCAAATGAGAAATATTCGGGCCAATCTGGCCATGAATCCTAAATTCTCCTTTATGAGCAGATTCTCGCATTGCTTGAGCTTGATCAATATTTTGTGCATTTTAGATAATTTGATGACTTTTCCTTATTGTTCTTGTTTGGTAGTGATGGTAACAGTTTATTAAAGGGTTATATAATGGAATAGATAACAAATTAGAAAACATTCTAAGCTTTTCAGATAAATCTAAGAATGCTGATTCAGGCTAAATTCTATAAGATTGTCAGAATTGATATGGAAAGCAAGTATTAGCAGTTTATTGCCTTTCATTTGACCAACAAAAAAAGTTAAGTTAATAGGAAAACAGTTTATATGCTGAAATTCAAGAAAGTGGGAATATTTGGCTGCATATGATATGAGTACTTATTTCATGGTAGCAAAGTTACTTTTAATGTCCTAGAACTTAAATTATAAACCACAATTAATCATTTAATATCTTCTTTAAGGATTCTTGTAGAGCATACTTTATTAGTCCTACATTGTAGATAGATGAGATATAACTTGTCAAGACTTACTTGTCCTTTGGTGTCAGTCTCTAGATCATGGTTTACATGGCTTACTTTAGTATTTCCAATACCTATCTGTCTTTCTTTATTGCAGTGATTTGTTATGCATGTTTAGTGTTTTAACTGGAGACAGAATTACTATATAATTTTTGTATTTGGATATGGGTTCATATCAATAGAACAACAAAACCAATATGTTTAGTAATGTAAATAGAAAATAAAGGATTGTTGTTTGCTTTCAAGTTCTCACAATAGTGAATCGGCTATTTCAGAAATAATGGTTTGCCAGGGTAACATTGATTGATTGATGTTTGCTACAGGCAGGGTAACATTGATTGATTGATGTTTGCTTTATCCAGGGTAACATTGATTGGTGTTTGCTACAGGCAGGGTAACATTGGTTGAATGATGATGTTTGCTATAGGCAGGGTATCATTGACTGGTGTTTGATTTAGGCAGGATAAGATGGCACTATCCATTGTTAATATATAATTGGTCTTCAGTAATGATGTGGCAACAATTGACTTTAGAAAGTGATGTAGAGTTCTTGTATGGAATGATAATAAAGGTATTTAGAAAGCAAAACTTGCCTTCTTAACGTGACTTCAATCTTTTTAAAACTTATTCGTGTTGTAACTTTCAAAGCTTTTTGGTCATTCCAGAATCCCTATCTATATTGTGTCTGTACATTGTAATAGTTGTAACATATGTATTGATGTAGAGAATATGTGCCATTGTCAACGTAGAGAATGGTCATTTATTAGATCTGAGTTCTATATTCTCAGATGATTGTACTTCTTATGTTGAAGTCAATAATTGGTTTGGATTTTAGATAAAAGTCTCAAGCCAATGTTATAATTTATCTGCTGAGTAATTTGTTCTCAACAGTGATTATTTCGTATGTGGTTATTTTTACTCCTATTTATGGAGAACCACCACAGTAATTCCTACCTCATTTTTTGTTGTATGTTTGTAGGAATTAAGCATAATACACCTATTTTGGTGATTTATAAAGAAGGAATTTATCATTCCTATTTATTAAGACTTGTAGACAGATTAAATTTTTGATCCACAGAAAAATGGATATATAGATTTTAAGAGGTGCTATTGCTAAAACAAATTGAATATACTTAAATGATTTTTAGAAAAGCAAAGGTTTTTTTTGTGAACAATAAATATTTCTGGATAATTGTATTGTGAACCTTTATCCTGTGTGTTATTATGTTGTAAAACATTTACTTATTGTTACAGTTTTATGAAACATTTTATACAATAATGTGCAATGATTAACTAGTGAAATCATTAGTTTAATTGGTTGTTGATTAATCAATCAAAACCCAAATATTGAGGTTTTAACCTCTGTCCAAAGATTGACATATTTTAGTAAGAATATTTGTTTAATCTTTTTGTAGCATGTAAATGCATTTAATGCACTTGTTATGTTTTAACATTTATTGTTAAATGAAATGTTTGGTTATTAAAAATAACCTGTACACATAATGTACATTGACTTTTTAAGTCAACTAATATGTCGGGGAGGGCATGAATTGTTGAAGTATTACTGATGATTGTACCTAATTAGACAGGTTAACCTATCAGTACTATATTTGTAACCATTTAATGTATGCAAAGAAATAAGTTGTTACATTAATGAAGGAAAGTTTCTTCACTTGTTACATTAGATTATTACAGTGTCTTTCACACCAACCATTCTGATGATAATAAACATACTGACCATTCATGTCTTGTTATAGCCTTTCTATCCAATGATGACCATTCATGTCTTGTTATAGCCTTTCTATTCAATGAATTATTTATTGGCATTCATCCTGTCCATCTGTCTATTAATAAAAGGAGATTTGGGATGTACATCAATAAGAAAGAAACCCAACAACAAAAATCAAGACATTTAAAGCGCAACATATATACAGCCTTCAACAATTGACATGTCTACATAATATATATTGAGCTTTAAATTATCCAGATTCTATAAAAGTTGTCAATGTGAATAAATTTAACAGAAACAACCAAAAAAAAAACAAATTCTCTAAATACTGGATAAAAAATATTGAGAAATTACATAGAACAATCACCAACACAGTTCCTTACTTGGGACAGACATTTGTCTGATATTTTGATGAAATAGTTGGAGAACATAACTTGGGGGATGTACATAATATAATCCTAGTATGTACAAGGATTGATGAAAGGCTGTTAAATGTCCAGTTTCAAATTAAATACATATTCAGGTTAACATCATAATGTGATTTTAACATGATAGTTCACAATCGAGAGGCGAAAGATACCAAAGGCACATTCAAACTCATTAATCCAAAACAAAATGACAACGTCATGGCAAAAAGCTAAAAACATCCAAGAGACAAGCAACAGTATACAAAACACAACATAGAAAACTAAAGGTGATCTCAGGTGCTCCAGAAGGGTGAGCAGATCCTGCCCCACATGTAGCTCAAGGTAACTATCCACAAGACGAAATGTCACCATACCCAAGCACATTATTCTTACAATGAAAGCTTTATTTTGATATCATTTAACTGTTTTATAAAGGAAAATGACCGTCTTGAACAAGTTTTTGTGTTGTGAATGGTCAGTCGTTAAAACCATCGCGTCTTGAATAATAAAAAAAAGAGAGAGTACAGAAAACAGCAGTTTTAATGGCTCTGCTTTATTGACATTAACAAGAAGTATTTATAATGGCAATAACATGCATAAGGAATCTGATGTTCAGTAGTTGTCGTTTGTTGATATGGTTCATAAGTGTTTCTCGTTTTTTATATAGATTAGACCCTTGGTTTTCCCGTTTGAATGGTTTTACACTAGTAATTTTTGGGCCCCTTTATAGCTTGCTGTTCGGTGTGAGCCAAGGCTCCGTGTTGAAGACCGTACTTTGACCTATAATGGTTTACTTTTATAAATTTTGACTTGGATGGAGAGTTGTCTCATTGGCACTCATACCACATCTTCTTATATCTATAAATCTACAATATTGGATCAATGTCAGAAAAAAATCACCTTTTTCTTTCCTGTGATGAATGGATGTCATTTTATATTCTAGATTTTCAAATACTTTACATCAGATTGCAACTTAATTTAGATAAATAAGCACAAATAATGGGAGGAAGAATCCCATTTAATTTGAGGTCACCACTTCAAAGGTCAAGGTCATAGTTACTATAGAAAAAGACTGACATTTGTGCAAAAAAAGTGGTTAAATACTAGCGGAACATGGAGTTGAAGAATAATGCTAGCTTCTTTTTTGTTCATCCTATGAAGCTCATGTGTGAAGTCTGCCTAATATGAATAAAGGAACAAGTCTAGAAGAGGAGCACAGTTGGTCCATGGAAATACCGATTGTTTGTTGAAACAAACGTCCCCCAAACATAAATATTGATCAAGAAATCTTGATAATGGTAGTTTCATGGAATTTTTTATTTGAATCAAGAGTATTTGTGGAGCACTTGGAACACCCAGCTATATAACGTTATGTGTTAGGACACTTGTGTAATTTAGATATTCAATAAAGTACATAAAGGGAGATCCAGGTCTTCACCATGGGTTGAAATTCCAAAGCAAGATATAACTGGCCTAGGATTATTAAGATTTTCTCTTTGGTAGGTGTTGTGGGGATATATGTTGAGTTTGCAAGTGAATTTTCAATATCCAATTCCTTTATCAAGCAGTTTATGCACATACACGATGTAGTTTGGGGCTTTATCTTTGAGGACAACACCATATTGGTCATGAGGTAGGACAGGTGTTTATCAACATTTGTGCCTTAACGATCGATGTAGCATGTATATTTATAGAACCATTCACTTCAAAAAAAATAATAAAAGACTTGAAGTCGTTAATATTGAGATCCTGCAACACGTGTTTGTAATTGAGAAATTTAATCGCAATTGGTTTGGTATAGGTATAAGAGAAGATAGCACAAAAGGATGTAAATTCTATTGAACTGATTTATGATGAAGGATATTGCCTAAGTTGATGGCACTGAGACCTTTTTGGCAAATTAAAGTTTTATAAAGAATGTTTTCTCCGTTTCATCGTTTTCAAGGCGAATCGGTCTGAAGAGTCTGTGACTGGCAAAATCCGAAATGATAGCAGTAAGATTGTATTTGTTTGAATGGGGATTTATAAAAAAGTTTCTAAACATAATAAGTTGTACAGATAATGAAGTTTTGAAAGGGGTAGTGAATAAAGCTTTGTGTGGATGTGATGAATACATAACAGCTTCTGTATAAATAATAGAGAAATCATGGATAATGACGACGAACATGACTGCGTCTACGTCGACGAGAAGAGTTAAAAAATATTCATCACATTCCAGAGGCGGGTTAAGGGGTGGGTGCTCCCCCCCTTTTTGAGCTTCATATATGATATATGCATAATCTTTTTACAAGTATCACTCCAAACGTTGGCCTGCTAGGGGGGCTCCCTTTTCAAAATCCTGGATACGCACCTGCATTCAAAAAGCTACAGGATGGACTAGATAGAATACCTATATCATCAATTTTGTCATTGCAAACATGCAATTTCTGTAGAATCTCATGTCGTTACTTTTTATAAGGTTGCTGGAATGGAGTAAGTGAAACAGTGTATTCATTGACAGAGATGGACAATTTGGTTTCCGTCCTGGATTTGGTACAGCCCTTTATTCCCTTATCATAAAGGTAAGCGACTGTGCTGTTGCTTTGTAGATTACATCAGAGCTTTTGATAGTATTGCACATTACAAATAATGGCAAAGGTTGGTCAGATGTGGAATAACTGGAATAAAATCGAGAATGGAAATGGGGAATATGTCAAAGAGACAACAACCCGACCAAAGAGCAGACAACAGCCGAAGGCCACCAATGGGTCTTCAATGCAGCGAGAAAATCCCGCACCCGGAGGTGGTCCTCAGCTGGCCCCTAAATAAAATTGTGTGCTAGTTCAGTGAAAATGGAAGTCACACTAAACTCCAAAACATATAAATGAACTTAAATTAAAAAACATACTAGACTAACAAAGGCCAGAGACTCCTGACTTGGGACAGGCGCAAAAATGCGGCGGGGTTAAACATGTTTTGTGAGATCTCAACCCTCCCCCTATCCCTCTAGCCAATGTAGAATAAAGAAACACATAGCAATACACACAGTAAAACTCAGTTTAAAAGAAGTCCGAGTCCGATGTCAGAATAGGTAACAAAAGAAACTAAGCAAAATGACAATGATATATAAATGAACAAAGGACTACTAGCAGTTACTGACATGCCAGCTCCAGACCTCAATTAAACTGATTGAAAGATTATGTCTTCATCATATGAAAATCAAGTACAATCCCTCCCGTTAGGGGTTTAGTATCATACCATCATAAAATATATGAGAAGAACATAACCCGTATCATGCCAACAACTGGTTTTAGAATAATGGAAAGCTATTAAATGGTAATAAATATATCTAAGGAGATTAAAAACCTGTGCAGAGCGGATTGATAAATATAAGGAATGTGAGAAGTGGAGGTAATACTTTACGAGAAGAGCAATGGTATATAAATGGTATTGATATATTTAATGAATTTATGCACCTTGGTATTTTGTTTCATTATATCAGTAATGTTGCAAATATCCAAAAGCTCCCAGAACAGGATACAAAGGACAATGACACTTTGTTGTCTCTATTGGATACTTATATTGCAAGCATATTAAATTATTGCTTGGATGTACTGTAGAATCATTATTATTCGTGGGATATCAATTTTCTTGGATTTGGATGTACTGTAGAATCAGTATTATTCGTGGGATATCAATTTTCTTGGATTTGGATGTACTGTAGAATCAGTATTATCCGTGAGATATCAGATTTCTTGGATTTCATGGGTTAAGGTGAACCACGAATTTAAATGTTCAACGAAGCACACATTTTTATAGGCTTTTAGGAACTTTGAAATAACACGTAAATTGTCTATGTGATGAGAACTGTAAGTAATATGTTTTATCGTGAATTGGATGAATTGTCAATGTAATGAGTACTGTAGGTAATGTTTTATCGTGAATTGGGTACATTGTCTATGCAATTAGTACTGTAAGTAATATATTTTATCGTGAATTGGGTAAATTGTCTACGTAAATTAGTACTGTAAGTAATATGTTTAATCGTGAATTGGGTAAATTGTCTATGTAATTAGTATTATAAGTAATGTTTTATTGTGAATTGGATAAATTGTCTATGTGATGAGTACTGTTAGTAATGTTTTATCATTAATTGGGTAAATTGTCTATGTTATGGGGACTGTTAGTAATGTTTAATCGTGAATTGGGTAAATTGTCTATGTAATGAGTACTGTAAATAATATGTTTTATCCTGAATTGGGTAAATTGTCTATGTGATGAGTACTGTTAGTAATGTTTTATCGTGAATTTGGTAACTTATCTATGTAATGCGTACATTGAGTAATGTTTTATCGTGAATTGGGTAAACTGTCTATGTTAATGAGTACTGTAAATAACGTTTTATCGTGAATTGAGTAAATTGTAAATGTAATTAGACCTGTGAATTATGTGTTTTATCGTGAATTGGGTAAATTGTCTATGTAATGAGTACTGTAAGTAATGTTTTATCGTGAATTGGGTAAATTGTATATATAATTAGTACTGTAAGTAATATGTTTTATCGTGAATTGGATAAATTGTCTATCTAATTAGTACTATTAGTAATGTGTTATTGTAAAGTGGATAAATTGTCTATGTGATGAGTACTGTAAGTACTGTTTTATCGTAAATTGGGTAAATTGTTTATGTTATGAGTACTGTAAGTAATATGTTTTATCGTGAATTGGGTAAATTGTCTATGTAATGAGTACTGTAAGTAATGTTTTATCGTGAATTGGGTAAATTGTCTATGTAATGCGTACTGTAAGTAATATATTTTATCGTGAATTGGGTAAATTGTCTATGTAATGAGTACTGTAAGTAATGTTTTATCATGAATTGGGTAAATTGTCTATGTAATGAGTACTGTAAGTAATGTGTTTTATCGTGAATTGGGTAAATCGTCTATGTAATGAGTACATCTAGTAATATTTTATCGTGAATTGGATAAATTGTCTATGTAATGAGTACTGTAAATAATGTTTTATCGTGAATTGTGTAAATTGTCTATGTAATGAATCTTGTTAGTAATATGTGTTATCGTGAATTGGATAAATTGACTATGTACATTAAAATGCTCCAATTGTTTCTTCTTTCAATGGTAATAGAAAACTATCGGTACAAACTACACTTTGGCTTAACCAAATATAATTAAATCCATATATAAACAAAATGTCTCTCACATTGCAATGCATGCACTTAATATCTATTTTTATGGTTAATGATACAACTTTAAAACTTAATAGTGCTGCTTATTATACTTCCACTCTTATTTCTGTTTTATATGCTAAGTGTTTTCATAATTTGTGATTGCCTTACTTTAGTGTTTTATGTTGCTACTTTAATGCTAATTTTAGCTTAGTATATAGTGCTCATGCATGTATTTAATATGTATCATTTAACTTAGTTCAGCCTTGACTAACTGTGCATGAAGAATATGTTTTATTGATGCTTTAATATTAGAATTGTGTATGTTTATTGTGTATATGTATGTATTTTTTGGTTATAAAAGCCCAAAGAGCTTATGTTATTGTTTTGTGAAATGTCGACTTTAAATAAACCTTTTGACTGATCTGATTTGACTTATCACCTATAAATATAAAAATAAGAATATTTGGTATGATTGCCAATGAGACAACTCTCCACCAGAGACCAAATGACGTAGATATTAACAACTATAGGTTTACTTTGTTGACCACCATTATTTTTTTTTTTTAACTCAACTTCTTTCAAATATTACATCATATAGCAGTTCTTTCAAAAACAATTTTCGGTACATACAATTTTCAACAAGTATTTCACCATTGAATATATGCAATCTTTAGTTGGCTTTGATAAGATTTTTGAGATTGTACAGCTGGTGCAATTCAGGAATATCAATAAAATGTAAACCACGCTATATATTCTCGTTTGTTCATTTTGCTGTTTTGGCTCGAAACAATTCTTGTTCATCTTCTTACTTTTGTGATTAAGCTTGAAAAGAAAACTGTGAAAATTAAGACTAATTTTTTTTCTTACTTGTCATGAATTTTTAGTTTTTGATGCTCCCATGTTCTATTAATAGAAACAGTCTTCATCTACATGAACGAATACAATTTGATTATTTACCGAGTTGTAACGACACACGGTTGTTCGTAGTGTATTCAGCTTATTTGAATCGTCATCGGACATAAGAAGATTGGGCATAGCAAGGTAACTTTTAATTCAGTTTTGTCAAAATAATTGACGTTAGAAGGAAAAAGTATAAAGATAAAATAGTACTGATGCTAGATTTCATTTTATTGCATGATTGAAAGCCTGACTTAAAGTATTTACCTTTCAAATGCGATCACCATGAATGTAAACATTAGTGTATGATTCAGCTGGTTTCATCACATTATCTTTTACTTTAATATCTTTTTCTTCATGTATAAAAGGATTTATCAAAATATCGAGGAAATACTGTTTATGTTGTCTTTACTTTTGAGTGAAACATGAAAAATTTAACAGATAACAATATATAGCTAACTTATTTTTCTAAACAACATTCTCTTTTTTTCTTTCTCTTACATGGCCCACGTGACGTATCTGTAAACTATAATTTGCATTATAATCTTTAATCGCTAACTTTTTTAACGAAATTATGTTAAAAAAACGTCTTAACGAATAATAATATTTACCGTTATTATTTAACAAAAAGTTTTCTTTTGACTGCATGCATATGCATATGGTAGCAATAGAAAGTTACGTGGTTGCTTCTATATATAAATAGATATCTACAAATTGTTGTAAGAGTTTTTCTTATTCAAACCTAAAATAATAAACTTGAAGTGTAAAATTTCACTTAAAAGTTTTTGAATGAGAGAAATGATTATCATGGTCATCTTTACGTGTACATATGGCTTAATTTAGGATCTCCACCAATGATCATCAATTCATGTGACCTTGATTATGCCTCAAGGTTAAATTTTTAGGTTGACCTTGATTTTCACCTTACAGCTTGTTATGGGATAGTCTCAGAAACCATTATACTCACAGAAGTCTTGAATAGAGGAAAATGTTTGGGTCATTAGGCGCAACTTTGTTACAGTTTGACCGAAGAGATTTGACCTTTCTGTAAGGGGCACAATCCCCGATAACGGTTTCTGAAAAGACAAAATTAGCTTTAACTCTTAGACCAAAGGTACTAGACCCATGGGGTCTTTTGCAATGACATCGGAGATTAATGACCTTGACAAAGTTCGTAAGGTAAAGGTCAAGTTCATGCCCTAGATAGCGAATTTTGTGTTTTTGACCCTATTTTAAGAATTATATATGTGTTTTAAAGCTTTCTTTTTAGGTTGATCTTGACCTTTGGCCTATCACCTTGTTATGGGATATCTCAGAAATCATTATACTTACAGAAGTCTTGAATAGTGGAAAATGTTTTGTTCATTAAGGCGCAACTTTTTAACATTTTGACCGAAGAGATTTGACCTTTCCGAAAGGGGCATGACCCCAATTTTTGGTTTCTGAAAAGACCAAATTAGCTTCATCTCTTAAAACAAATGTCCTAAACCCATGGGGTCTTTTGCAATGGCATTGGGTACCAATGACCCTGACAAAGATCATATAAGTTCAAAGGCCAAGGTCATGTCCTAGATAGCGAATAATCTGGTTTTTTTTCCATATTTTAAGGGTTCAATGTGTGTTTTAAAGCTTTTCAATGCATTCTACGTCTATTTAAATATATATCTCACATTATGAAAAAAGAAAGACATCCCTTATTGTTCACGAACAATTGACATTTAATTATTATTATTATTATTATTATTATTATTATTATTATTATTATTTGACCGTTTTTTATTGGCTCATTACTGCATAGAAACAAAAATGAGGGCTTTCAGATAAATATTACTGCATTTAAAAATTGGATGCTTCTTTTTATAACTTTATAAACGTGTAAAATTATGAAAGAAGCATTCAATTCTTATAATTACATTTGTATGCTACAACTATGAAATTACGAGTCATGTCAAGCTTTTTGTTTCTTTTTGTATACATTGTTTAAACACGGTCACGGATAGAGCGAGCAGTCATAGCTGTTGTATTTTATACGGAAATAAAATAAGATTTTAATGTGCTTCAGTCAATCAAAATTACGGATTCAAATGAAACATACAAGTAATGTAATTATTGATAGTTGAAGCCTCCTTTAATAAGCCACATGATCGTGTTGTAATTTCAAGTTAAATTTTAGGTTGGCTACTACATTAACAATTTAACTATTTTTTAGTTTTGCATGATTTTGTATTTAAGATGAAAACCTCTGGAATACTGTGTGGTTTACAATATAAGGTGGAGGATAACCCACCGTGGATAACTACCATACTTCTAGCTTTACAGGTAATGTGGACTCTTCACCGTGGATAACTACCATACTTCTAGCTTTAAAGGTAATGAAGACTCTTCACCCTGGATAACTACCATACTTCTAGCTTTACAGGTATTGTGGACTCTTCACCGTGGATAACTACCATACTACTAGTTTTACAGGTAATGTGGACTCTTCATCGTGGATAACTATAGTACTTCTAGCTTTACAGGTAATGTGGACTCTTCACCGTGGATAACTACCATACTTCTAGCTTTACAGGTAATGTGGACTCTTCACCGTGGATAACTACCATACTTCTAGCTTTACAGGTAATGTGAACTCTTCACCGTGGATAACTACCATACTACTAGCTTTACAGGTAATGTGGACTCTTCACCGTCGATAACTATCATACTTCTAGCTTTACAGGTAATGTGGACTCTTCATCGTGGAAGACTAAAGTAGTTCCAGCTTTACAGGTAATGTGGACTCTTCACCGTGGATTACTACAGTACTCCTAGCTTTACAGGTAATGTGGACTCTTCACCGTGGATTACTACAGTACTCCTAGCTTTACAGGTAATGTGGACTCTTCACCGTGGATGACTACAGTACTTCTAGCTTTCAGGTAATGTGGACTCTTCACCGTGGATTACTAAAGTACTTCTAGCTTTACAGGTATGTGGACTCCAATGGGGTCTGCTACAGGATAGTACATGTAAGATAAGTGAGCTACTGTATATACAGATAATAACTTCATAGATAGTAGATCATAAATGGCAACTACAATTCTAACGACTTTGCAGATCAAATGGACTACAAATTAACACGGTCACAACAATATAAACGACTTTACAGATATGAAATGATTCATAAACAAATGAGGAACACCAATGTACTAACGGCTATACAGAATAGTCACTATAATATTTATGGCTTTTTATGTGAAGTGAAAAAGCAAAAATAAGAAAAATATCATTAGAAGGCTATTTCTTGAATCTTTGAATCTCAAAGTAATATAAATCCTTTAGATGCTCACAATTTATCATGAAAGAGGAGATTTAGGCCTTACATGACAGTCGCAACCATATAACACGTAAGACCACAAACTACACATATAGAACACAATATAGTTACGGTCTTCAATAACAGGCAAATGTCCAACCTTTATTTGCCACAGAACATACAAGTTTTAGATATATATTTAGGTAGACTACCAAAGACCTTTCATCAACATCAAACTCCTTGAAGGAAAAAAAGCACTAGGATGCAAAACAAAAAAAACCTGTGATGAGCTTCCTCACTCAAAACAGTCACATTAACATGAAATTATATAAGCTTTTTCAAATATAGTCAGACTTTTTTATCTTTCAAGTAGCAACCACCAATCAATCAATCCAAGTAGATTTCGTTTAGCGCCGTAAACAAGATAGAAAAACACCGATCTTTTGCTAAAAATGAACTGTTGCTATGGACCGAAGTAAGGTCGGAACTCCTGGTTAAAGATCTGACTGTGACTTAGAGATGAAGCTGTACCTTGCTTTAGGTTTTGTTAAGTGTGTGTAGGGATTTTGTGTCATTAATTCATACCACATCTTCTTATTTCTATTGACTAATATGAATAGAATTTTAAATAAATAAATGAAATAAAATAAAATGAATATTTTTTTCTCACAACTATCAGTTACAATATAATATGTGTGACATGTCTTTATAAGGATTAATTTTTTTATTGTAATTCTATTCATAATGGGAAATGGTCATTGGTGCGGCGTTAGTTCATGAACCAGACACTTTAATTTTATTTGATTAATTTTAAACTGCTTGCAGCATTATCTGATGTTATTGAGTTCTAACCTTGCAACCCCTGGTCTTGTGGCAACTATAATTTGTGCCAAAGGTGACGTAGAGGTCACATCAATGATGCTGGGTAATTTGTTGTTTGCCTGCGGGATATGTACTGTTATACAAACGTTCATAGGAGTCAGGTAAATAATAATAATCCATTTACGAAATATCACACAATAAAAAAATGTCGTAATCATTATTTTCATAGATAACCTCATCCTGTAGTTCTTATGTAATTTATTTCATAAGTAACATGAACGGAACAAACAAAAAATCTTGCAGACCAAAGTCACTGGAGCGGGAGAGGGGGCTTACTCACCAGGTCATATTCTTTAAAAAAGATTGAAGTTGAAAGACTATAGACACTATATGGAACAGTAAAAACAATGCTAGCCGGCAACTGTTCTCGTTCTCAGCCAATGCAAGCTATCGTCTTTATGTTGTTGAATACTGTTAGGATGCTTATCAACTCGGATAACCTAACAGAAGTTTGTACATAAAGGATAGATAGTGTTAGTTTTCATTGTTTTATACATTATTTACAGACTTTGCTCCAATTGTTATCCTGCGACTCTTTTCACAAAAAATCTTACGATTAAAATTGATCGTAAGTTATACTGAAATGTGTATGACTTACGAGTATTTTTACTCTTAAGATTTTTTGTGAAAAGAGCTGCTGATTTGTAACATGATTCAAATGGTTCTGTTTATCCACAGTTGGAAATAATATAAAATGCAAGTGACAAAGAAAATACAGCCGTACACGAAACATGATGGCATGTTAGCTAACCGTGAAAAAGCCCAAGTTCGACAAATCACATTACCTTTAACTGTTCAATCGCTATGTCTCTTGACAATCAAACCATTTTCAAATTTAACGGTTTACAAATGATGGTGTTTGTTTGTTTGCTTGATAGAAAAAAAGGCCTTGATATCATGAGAAATAACTTATTGATAACGGCCTAGTTTAATTTTCAGTGGCGGATCCAGGATTTTAGGTTTGGGAGGGGGTTTCTGATTTTCACCAGTGTTCACCGTTCAATATCTATACGACTTGAAATGTTGAAAACTACATAAATAATTGTTTCCGAAAATAATGATTGATTTGAAGAAAAGCAATGAAAACTTTGAAAACTTTTAGCCCACACAGTACATGCATAGCTTATTTATCGGCAGCTTTTGTTCTATATAGATATATCGCGAGAAAATATTAAAATCAACAAAGTTAATGGTTTATCGAATAAACAATGAATTTAAAAACAAGTTCAAAACCTTAATTATTCCAAAACCTTAATTATTCGGGACAATATCAACAACACTTAAAAGTAAAATAACAAAAATACTGAACTCCAAGGAAAATTCAAAACGGAAAGTCCCTTATCAAATGGCAAAATCAAAAGCTCAAACACATCAAACGAATGGAAAACAACTGTCATATTCCTGACTTGCACAGGCATTTCCTTCATTTTCCATATGTAGAAAATGGTGGATTAGCTAAACCTCTCACTTGTATGACAGTCGCATAAAATTCCATTATATTGACAACAATGTGTGAACAAAACAAACAGACATAATAGGTAAGATCATTAATCATTAGAAGTTTATTTCTGCCAATCTTCTTAATATCAGGACTGCTCCCGATGCTTTTTTCTGTAAAATGTCCTGCAGATAAATGTAGTCATTTTTTTGTATATAATTTCTAACTATTGAATAATGGTATTGTACCCTGTTTGTTGCATGATAAATAAAAAAAACACGTCACATGTCCCTGTCCCTTTTGCACATGCCATATGTCTGTATAGTATCGGGATTTATATATAGTATATAGTAATAATAATTCAATAGGTCAGGTGTTTTTCAGACTACCAATAGTCCAATGTCCAGCATTTGCCTACATAGTTCCTATGTTGGCTCTGACAGACTTTGAGAAGTGGAAATGTCCAGAATTTAACACCACAACGATAAAGCCGATGAATGAAACATTAGGTAAGGTAAATAAATCAGTTCAGAATTTAACACCACAATGATAAAGCCGATGAATGAAACATTAGGTAAGGTAACTAAATCACCAGAATTTAACACCACAATGATAAAGCCGATGAATGAAACATTAGGTAAGGTAAATAAATCAGTAAGTAAATAATTCAACTTGTCGTCATAATTTGTTTACGGTTATAGACTATATAAGAATGAAGCAAAGAAAATAGTCATTTATTTTTACAAACGTGAAAGGAGGAGGGTAACTAAATTAAAAAAATTGTACGCCATATTATTTTTAGCTCACCTGGCCCAAAGGGCCAAGTGAGCTTTTCTCATCACTTGGCGTCCGTCGTCTGTTGTTTGTCGTCCGTCGTCCGTCGTCGTCCGTTAACTTTTACAAAAATCTTCTCCTCTGAAACTACTGGGCCAAATTTAACCAAACTTGGCCACAATCATCACTAGGGTATCTAGTTTACAAAATGTATCCGATGATCCCGCCTGCCAACCAAGATGGCCGATATGGCTAAAAATAGAACATAGGGGTAAAATGCCGTTTTTGGCTAATATCTCGGAAACTAAAGCATTTAGAGCAAATCTGTTACGAATAAAAATGTTTATCAGGTTAAGATCTATCTGCCCTGAAATTTTCAGATGAATCAGACAACCCGTTGTTGGGTTGCTGCCCCTGAATTAGTAATTTTAAGGAAATTTTGCAGTTTCTGGTTATTATCTTGAATATTATTATAGATAGAGATAAACTGTAAACAGCAATAATGTTCAGCAAAGTAAGATCTACAAATAAGTCAACATGACCAATATGGTCAATTGACCCCATAAGGAGATATTGCCCTTTAAAGTCAAATTTAACAATTATTCGTAAATTTTTGTAATCTTTTACAAAAATCTTCTATCCTGAAACAACTGAGACAAATTTAACCAAACTTGGCCACAATCATCACTAGGGTATCTAGTTTAAAAAATGTGTCCGATGACCCTGCCTGCCAACCAACATGTCAGACATGGCTAAAAATAGAACTTAGGGGAAAATGCAGTTTTTTACTTATATCTCTGAAACTAAAGCAAATGTATAACGGTTGCATTATTTCATGCATCTATTGTAAATAAAAATATCAGGTGAGCGACACAGGCTCCTTGGAGCCTCTAGTTTAACGATAACGACAAATTGATAGCTATCATTTATTGACAGGTAACATAACAGACCACGATGGTGAAGAACCCTATTGGAAAACACGTTTAAACATGGTTTGTATCAAAAATTAAAATCAGGATATGTGCCAATATTGTGTCAGCTACCAAAAACCTCCAATACAATTGAATATCATATATTAAGCCTTATATGCAAATGGATGACCTTAAATGTTATTCCGTATTGTAAGCGAGAAAATGCCAAGAAACAATTAAAAAACAACCACCGCTGTAATTTAAGTAAACTACATACAAACGGAAAAACAAACGACAAACAAATATGTAGACAACATTTTCCTTCAGAAGCATAATGAAGAATTGGCTAATAGAGGTCATTTGAAAGAGTGTCAATTAAGTGATTTCTCAGGAAAGAATGCACTCAATACAAAGAGCAAAGACTTGTCGGTTCAACGTCAGAAAACTGATTGAGTAGAGTTAAACAATAATGCAATCTCAAATTATCAAATGCATGTTAATGATTTTTTATATAGTCTCGAGCGCGCAAAGAAATACAGGGTCTACTGATATTTAACTATCTATTCAGCGGGGAAAAAAAGTCAAATAACTTTGCATTTTCGGGTATCTTTGCAAAATCCCGTCTCTGAAACAAACCAATTGACTGAAGATAATTAAATTATTTGTGACTTTTTCACTGAAGTTTTTGTACCAATAACAATTTTATTTAAATGAAGATAACGGGATCGATAATGGTAGCCTGTGTATTTGAGATATTTTTGGGAGCCAGTGGTATCTTGACTTTGTTGTTGAGATTTATTGGCCCTCTAACAGTTGCACCAACTATAATGATGATGGGGCTTGGTGTTGTAAAGACTGGATATGAACTTGCTGGTACTCACTGGGGGATCGCTTTTGGGTAGGTACATAATACAGGTAATGCATGTTTGTCTGTGTGTGGCTTGTGTGTGGTTTTTTTAATATAAATTTAGTCACGAAATTAAATGCTTTAGAAAAAGCTCATAGACAGCGGATACAAACGATTTATTTGGATTAATGACTGATTGTTCCACACACACACACACACACACACACATATATATATATATATACATATATATATATATATATATATATATATATACATATATATATATATATATATATATATATTCAATTTAAATGTTTAATAGTTTGAAATATCACTAAAAATATGTCTTCAGATACTCACACATGGTAAGATTAAAAAAAATTCTCCGTATTCTTGTTCATTCCTACTGATACATGTATAAGATGTGTTTCGCCTTACTCTGACTATTTCTTTTATTTGTAATAAGCAGACATTATGTGATAATGGCTTCTGAATAATAACAACAAAATGCTGGTTCGATCATTTTATGTTACGTTCTTATTTATAGAACATGTATATACGTTTAAATCATATATTTATGTACAGGTTGTATTTCTTTCGGCAACAATTGCGCCCCTTAAATAGGAAACTTGTTCCTGTATTGTTATGAATCGCAGTTTATGAGCAAACTCAGTAAAGATCCGTCTAAATTTCAATTTCAAAGAGAAAAAAAACCTTACCATTACCTTAATGATATTTTGCTTTAACTATCAAGAATTCTCTAATAATACTGAGGAAACTAACCCAAAGAAACTGACTTTAAATAAATCGGATATAAACATTAACATTTGTCCTTTTCTAGTTTTGGATATTTTAGTTTCACACGGGAAACTTTTTACATATAATTACGACAAAAGAGACAATTTTATCAAATTGGTTCCCTTTTGATAATGTTCAACGTGATCTATGTATAACTGGTAAATTACAAAGTTAGGGATTTCATTATTACAAACTAGACACAAAGACTGGGTGAGCAAATTTGGATGTACCTGTAAAAACCAGATTGCAAACGGGATATCACTTAATAACTTTTACGTGGATGTTCTTTCTTGAACCCGTCAATTTAGATACGATCCATGTAAAGTTATTAATTCTTTGAATAAACTTATTCTGAAAGGTTATCAGTTGAACATTGTGGTAAGATCTTTGAATATTGTCTTCATCGGTTCTAGCATTGATTCTGTATTTGATAAACATAACTAAATATGTATTGCTTAACATTAACACATAATACATCATGTCGATACTTATATTTTGGCATTGAACAAGATCACACTTTTGTTATACTATCAATTACGTCTTTACACTTATTCCGTTGGATATCTACTGATTGTTATTTTAATCTGGGAAAACATGGTTTATTTATTGGTTGGAATTGGCTTTAAACGAGCTTATATTAGCTGCAAATACTCTTAGATCGGTACCTAGTTTTTTTGTGCGCTCCGTGTCGATCTGATAAGCCAATCTCTTTCCAACTGAATTTTCAGGATGTTAGTATTAGGCGAGTGACATATTTCAAAAAGCCTCTTAGTTAAGGACTTTAATGCACTCATCTAACACACGGCTGTATACCATATCAATCGAAAGCTTATTATCTGAACTATCTGTTTTCCAAGTCGTAAAAAAATCGTACGGTGCAATTTCCGTTAAATCAAGGTCAAAAGGTAAAGAATAAACATTCCAAATCTTTGCTATAATTAAAACAAATGCAATGTTCTGGTTCTTGTATGATAAGATTTTCGGAAAGATCCTATGAACCTTATAGAACAGGATACAATAATTCCAAATAAAACGAAAATTAAGAGGTTAGAAGCGCAATGTTTACCGAAAATTCCAAAAGTGAGAAAAAAATGCCTTAAACGCAAAATATATGTTGGAGGATCGATATTTATATGATCAAAAAATCAAATAAATGAATTGTTTTTTAGGTCAAGGAAATTTTTGTTCATAATTTTAAAATGCAATTGATATATGTCGTTCTTGGAACAGCCTTCTATTAAAGTTTTTGGTTGCCCAAAATACTGCCATCTGCGAATAGCGATAATTTTGCTTTACTATGTTAAGCTAGCTTATTGATTCTTGTCAATATCAGTTAGAACAACGATTTTCCATAACTACAGAACGTATACTTAAAGTTCGAAAAGAAATACTAGTATACTAGCTCAATTACAGTAAACATTTATTTGAATTTTCGATATCGAACTTATTTACCTTTTGAAATCATATAAAAGTGCAAACATGACTTTACTCCTAAATCGGTTGCAACATTAAAATACGTTTGGAAGCACTTGGTTGTCTTTTGCATGATATCAACGAACTAGAATGTATGCTGCTACTTTTTTATTGCTGGATATTAACTTGTATATCGGTATAAATCGGCATATTGCCTCCAAACAAACTCTGACAGAAATAGTGTTAAAAAAGCCTCTCGTTATATATAACAAGTATATCAAATTTCTAAGTCGTTCACAACGGACGAGAAAGATGGTAATTAACCAAAGTCATTTCTTGATTTCAAACTGGTATACTTTCCATTTCAGTAGCCGCTAAAACTTCGAAGAAAGGTTGTTGTACTTTATTTGAAAACACTATAAAGATTATACAATATTTTTTTTTCACTGTATGTGAAGCATCATATTTTTGAAACTTTACATGTATTACTTTATTTTAACACTCCATATTTGTAGCACCATTGGTCTTATCATATTGCTGTCGGAATGTATACCAACATTAGAAATAGATGTCCCTTGCACTGTAAAACTTACCGGAAAAGGGAAAGGTTTTGTAAGACACGATAAACGGAAAACCCAAATAGTGTTCCATAAAATGTTTTCTGTGAGTAAAAAGAATACGTTTAGATTGTATTTTACATTTCATAAGAACTTAAGTTTTACCTTTGGCAATCTTAGCGCATCTCCTTATTTTTGTATTGAAAGCACTATGTGAATCAACTGTTTCATTACCAGGAGTTCTTACTACTTTCTTGTTATGTTGAATCATAAAAGTTTTACATATGAATGAAAGATCTGGCCTGTACGTAAATTGAACAGCAACCAAACGTTTAAAAGGTCAAAAGACATCAAGAGGTTTGCATAATGTCTTCCAACAATATACAGGCGTCTGTGCAATGTGTCAAAGTTCTAAATCTTCATTTTTCCCAGAGTCTAAATCAGAGGGAACAGTACTTCACAGATGATTAAATGCCGTATGTTCACTTAAAATACTCAAATCAAGGTAAAAAACAATAACTGAGGGAATCGCAAAAACTTCAAATGAAACAAGACCGGAGGCGTTGGCAGAGTAAGCGTTTCCTGCTATACATGCTTCACCCATTTTGTTAAAATTTCACAAAACGAATAGAGCACAATCGGTAAATGTACGACTATTCTGGTATTTTATGATCTTAAACCGCGAAAACATGTCGCTTGTGAGTTGAGACACAGACACATCGTATCAGTCAACCGATTCCTCAGTGACCGTAAAACGTATGCCTATTTCGGGCGTAATACATCGATTGAGGTATTTCAACGCCGTACAATAGGATAGATAATATGTTACAGCTACGAAATGGGAAAAGAATTTAAAAGTTGAAAATGTAAAGTTGTTCATAGATTATAGTTCGTTAAAAATTAATGTCGTCCATCTTTGTGAATATAAAAACAAATCCGGATATGAAACTGACCGACCGCTAGTTTTAGTGCAAGGACATAACACAATGGTGAAATCAAACAAATTAAATAGTTGTGAATTTTAACAGAGACTAGCAAAGATATTTTGTCAACACCAAATTCTCCAAACGATAAAACACATTCATGACAAAGGCAAACCGCTGAAGAGGTTCCAAACTTTGGCATTTACGTGTTGTTTTTTTTTGGCCGGAGACTTCTCCTTTTCAGAGTGATAACAAGATTTACGTTTAACCTCTTTATATGATATAAAGTTAAATTCATCAGTTATAGTTGATCGTATTACAAATAAACCCGTGGAGAGATTAGAAGTCTGTCACAGAAAAGACTAAGATTTTAAAAGTTCATTAAACAACTAGAAAAAAACTCCTTAAGATAAGAGTTGTGAACACAATTACATACACAGCTTCATATGTAAACAACAAACAACATTGAAAAATAAAACCAAATTGAATATGAAATATAAAGCTCAGGTGATTTGGGGTGTTTCGAAAGAGTAAGCATATCATGCTTTAATGCGGTTTCCGTCGTAGAAAGTATATTTTTGTTTGCATTTTTTCTTCTTTTTTTTCGCTTCAGGGTAGCATGCTTTTTTCTACTATCATTGAGTTTTTATGCCCCCGTCGTAGCGGAGGGGGCATTAAGTTTTACCCTTGCCCGTATGTACGTCCGTCCGTCTGTCCGTACATCCGTACGCAGAGTAAGCGTTTCCTGCTATACAAAAATTGGTTTCCGTTCTCTTACTTTAGTTTGCCTCAACCAAATTTTATGAAACTTATGCACATTGCTTATTATCACAAAACACAGATCAAGTTTGAATTTTGGTGGCGTCACTTTTACCGTTCTAGAGTTATTCCCCTTTACAAATCGAAAAATTGCTGAATTTTTCATTTCCTTTAACTTAAGTTTGCCTCAACCAAATGTTATGAAAATTATACACAATGCTTATTACCACAAAACACAGATCAAATTTGAATTTCGGTGGCGTCACTTTTATCATTCTAGAGTTATGCCCCTTTACAAATCGAAAAACTGTTGAATTTTTCGTTTCCGTTCTCCAACTTTAGTTTGCCTCAACCAAATGTTATGAATCTTATGCACAATGCTTATTACCACAAATCACAGATAAAGGGGCATAACTCTAGAATGGTAAAAGTGACGCCACCGAAATTTACATCCATGTCCAGTGCACAATGTTAAAACAATATTGTCGACATCGCGATATTTACAATGTTAACACGATATCGTGTCAACATCTTTATATTGTATGAACTCTTATATGTACTGTTTACATCGTTGACATTGTTAACATCGCGATGTATACAATGTTGTAAATATATCGTGTTTACATCGTTTACATCGCCATATCAGCAATGTTAACACGATATTGTGTCAACATCGTTCACATTGTAACAATTGTTATATGCTGTTTACATCGTTTACATCGTATACATCGCGATGTATACGATGTAGTAACGATGTAGTGTTTACATCGTTTACATTGCGATATTAACAATGTTAGCAAGATATCGTGTCAACATCGTTTACACTGTAACAACTCTTATATACTGTTAACATCGTTGACATCGTTAACATCGCGATGTAAACAATGTATTATCAATATCGTGTTTACATCGTTTGCATTGTAGTGTGCACGATATGGCGTCAACATTATTTATATTGTTTGAAATGTTATATAATGTTTACATTGTTTACCTCGATATATTACAATTTTTAAGTCTCCCAAACGAAGTTTGGGAAGACTTATTGTTTTTGCTCAGTTCTTATTATTATTATTATTCTTCTTCTTCTTCTTCTTCTTCTTCTTCTTCTTCTTCCGCCGCTTTTAAATTTGAACTTGTCCGCACCCGTTCTCCAAAACCGCTTGTCGAATTAACTTAGGGTTTCACAATATGTTAGACTAACATGTCTAGTGGTGCAATCAGGGTTTTGTTTTTGCAATGGGGTTTATAAAGGGGTACTTTGAGGGGCAAAAAGAAAAGAGGGTTTTACTATAGAACCCTATGGGATTTTATTTTTTTAAATTTTCAAATGATTATAAATTGAAAACCGTTCGTGATAGACACAAACTTTTTAATTGAAAATGTTCTAAATGATAAAGCCCATTACATGAAATACAGGGTTAGTCCCCAGGGGTCACCCCCACCCCCTGCCATTTAAGAAAGTTCTAATACCTTGTAAGTGGTCAAGATCCCCACCCCTAAACCATATATATTCTGGTTTGTCATGCTAAGATGGTTTGAATGATATACAGGGTTAGTCCCCAGGGGTCATCCCCACCCCCTGTCATTTGAGAAAGTTCTAATATCTTGTAAATGGTCGAGATCCCCACCCCTAAACCATATATATTCTGGTTTGTCATGATAAAGCACATCAAATGTAATACAGGGTTAGTCCCCAGGGGTCACCCCCACCCCCTGCCATTTAAGAAAGTTCTAATATCTTCTAAGTTGTCAAGATCCCCACCCCTAAACCATATATATTCTCGTTTGTCATGCTAAGATGGTTTGAATGATATACAGGGTTAGTCCCCAGGGGTCATCCTGATCCCCTGCCATTTGAGAAAGTTCTAATATCTTGTAAATGGTCGAGATCCCCACCCCTAAACCATATATATTCTGGTTTGTCATGATAAAGCACATCAAATGAAATACAGGGTTAGTCCCCAGGGGTTACCCCCACCCCCTGCCATTTAAGAAAGTTCTAATATCTTGAAAGTGGTCAAGATCCCCACCCCTAAACCATATATATTCTGGTTTGTTATGCTAAGATGGTTTGAATGAAATACAGGGTTAGTCCCCAGGGGTCATCCCGACCCCCTGCCATTTTAGAAAGTTCTAATATCTTGTAAATGGTTGAGATCCCCACCCCTAAACCATATATATTCTGGTTTGTCATGCCAAGATGATTTGAATGATATACAAGGTTAGTCCCCAGGCATCACTAATGCATATAACTTTACTGGACCAAACCAATTTTCAATGGACGTTGCCCAATGTCAGGCGACCCTGGGAATTACGAATTATGGGAGCTTCGTGCACTGGACATACTTCGAATTTTCGTTTCCGTTCTCTAACTTAAGTTTGCCTCAATCAAATGTTATGAAACTTGTACATAATGCTTATTACAACAAAACTCAGATCAAGTACGAATTTGGGTAACGTCACTTTTACAGTTCTTGTGTTATGTCTCTTTTTAAAGTTATATGCAAGCGGGGGCATCATCTGTGTCCCATGGACACATTACCCATTTATTTTATTTTTATTTAAATTTTCTTTCATTTTTTATATCAGGTGATTATTTCCGTCTGTTTAATGTGGCTGCTTTGTTACATATTAACAACAACCGGAGTATTTCCAAGCGACGAGCAAAGTTATGGATACCATGCTCGAACTGATCTACGGGATGAAGAATTAAAAACTGCTTCCTGGGTCTCATTTCCCTATCCTGGTAGGATTATGATCAAACTTACATGCATATGTCTATTGATATCAAATAATCGATTATATGATTTCCAGGAAATGACATATTGATATAAATGAAGTCTTTGGTGTTACTCAGGCGGAAAGCGATGCCACGACCTCCGCCACTCGGCGAACATGGTGCCACGAGAACAACGATTCGATTCTTCATTTGTCTCCAAATTCTTTACCGAACGTTGTACAATTTGGTTTATACGATAAACAGTACTATAAGAGTAACACATTATGATTGGCATATCCTGTCATTCGTCAATGTTTTGATTTATCACCTTAAGTTTTAACTACTAGTATATATCATCATTATAAGTAAAGTTTTTCTTAAAGAAGGCATTTGTTTTTCTGTATCAGATGGTTTCTCTTTCAGGTAGATTTGACATGCCAGCATTTACCTCGAGTTCAGAATTCAGTTAAAAATGATTTATTTTTCAGGTAGATATGGCATGCCAACATTTAACTCGGGTTTGTTTGTAGCATTTATAGCAGGTGTAATAACTTCTGTAATCGAGTCGATTGGTGATTATTATACGTGTGCCAGAATAGCTGGAGCTGTACCACCGCCACCTTCTGCCATAAACAGAGGTAAGAGCCAGTAGGTTTATTTGCCAGAATAGCTGGCGCTGTTTCACCACCACCTGCTTTAATAAGTAGGTTTATTTACCAGAATAACTAGAGATTTTCCCCAGATCATTCTACCATAAACAGAGGTAAAACTGAATGAGTTTATTTGCCATAATAACTGAAGCTGTTCCACCACATCCTTTCGCAATCAATAAATGCAAAAGTACAAATGTGTATATCATAGAATAGCTGATTCTGTTCCACCCCATTACCGTTTTCTGCAATATGCAGAGGCAATTGTTTGTAGGTGTATCATAGTTACAAATTCACTTTCTGTGACCGTTAAACATATGAAGTGTCGATTGCAGTCGTTCTTCCTTATAACTCTGTTCGAGCAGTTTTTGTTGAAGAAACTCATCACTTCACTGAAGTCTGCTAAGAAATGGGAAGTTGACGATTGGAAAGTTAAGGTCATCATGTTTATCATTGCTAGTTTGAAGTCGTCTCTTTCAATATTGTTGAAAATATCACGATATGAAGTAGAACTTTACAATATTTAAGAATCAAAATCTCATTGACACCAGTAGATCATAATATATCTGAAGGCCATCTTTTACTGTAGAAAGAATGGTGGCAAGAACTTTAGAAAGCTGTTTAGTCGAACATTTTGATAATACGGCTTTAAATTGTTTTTTATACATATTTTTGTGAATTTAGGTATCCAGTATAAAGACGGGAGATTTTCATTGTCTAATTCCAAAGGAGAGAAGGACTGGACATTTCTAACTGTATGGTTAACAATACATTTAGTGAAATTAGTATTATAGAGCAACGAATATTTGATAAGATAGAATGTTTGACATATTTTATGTATTTTCTAGGAATATTAATAGAAGGAATAGATTGCATATTATCAGCAGCTGTTGGTCTAGGATTTGGTGTAACATCATGTAGTCAGAATATTGGTGTCATTAGTTTGACAAAGGTACAGTTCATTTGATCCATCAGTACACCGATACTGAAGTGTAATAATATATACGATTATACAATTACCTTGGGTGAGATACTATATTTCTCCACACGAGATATACAGTTATACAATTACCTTGGGTGAGATACTATATTTCTCCACACGAGATATACAGTTATACAATTACCTTGGGTAAGATACTATATTTCTCCACACGAGATAGTATTTGGGTCCTCACACAGCTATTTACATTATGGTTATATAGTGAAAATCTATATATATTATGCTGAAATAAACCCTCCTGTTTTTCTCCATTGTAAATATGAGTAGTATGTTATAACATCTTAACTGTACCATGCATATATTTATGCTTAATCAGTATTTGTTCATTTGCATTCGTTTTAGCAACGAGTGAAAAAAATTAAAACAACACGTTATTAAATTCATGCGTCCGAAGCGATTAACTGGATTTACCTTCATCCGGAACGCTCAAAGCCGAATATTTGAAAGCCGAGGATGTATAAGAACCGAAACAGTTGAAGATCTATATAACCAAAAAGTACTTAAAAAATAGCCAAATCCATGTAAGTCAACTTTGCCTGAGGGAGTTGAAACCTTTGTTTCTTTTGTTATATATCATGTCAGTACCGAAGTAGTGACTACAAGGCTGGAAATTCAGCATTAAACAAAAGCACGGTTGCACCGAAACAAATATATAATACAAAAAACAGCGATAGAAGCAATGAAAAAGAAAAACACAAAACATCATGGTCAAGAAAATAAAATCGGTAAAACAATTAATAGTCACAAAAAACGCAAAGAAACTTAAGAATAAGCAACACTAACACTGCCAATTACTGTGTTCAAGTTTCAGTGCTGTAGTGTAGTACATCAACGGCACGAGTTCTGGTACTTACGGCTCGAGTTCTGGTACTTACGGCACGAGTTCTGGTACTTACGGCACGAGTTCTGGTACTTACGGCACGAGTTCTGGTACTTAGTGGTAAATTTATGGAAAAGAAGGACATGACCATTATACAAATATTTCATAAAGATTAACAAAGAAATAATGACAGTTAGGTAGCTTTCGTAGTTTAGAAACGTCCCTGACAGGACTTGACCATTATACAAATACTTCATAAAGATTAACAAAGAAATAATGACAGTTAGGTAGCTTTCGTAGTTTAGAAACGTCCCTGACAGAACTTGACCATTATACAAATATTTCATAAAGATTAACAAAGAAATAATGACAGTTAGGTAGCTTTCGTAGTTTAGAAACGTCCCTGACAGGACTTGACCATTATACAAATATTTCATAAAGATTAACAAAGAAATAATGACAGTTAGGTAGCTTTCGTAGTTTAGAAACGTCCCTGACAGGACTTGACCATTATACAAATACTTCATAAAGATTAACAAAGAAATAATGACAGTTAGGTAGCTTTCGTAGTTTAGAAACGTCCCTGACAGGACTTGACCATTATACAAATATTTCATAAAGATTAACAAAGAAATAATGACAGTTAGGTAGCTTTCGTAGTTTAGAAACGTCCCTGACAGGACTTGACCATTATACAAATATTTCATAAAGATTAACAAAGAAATAATGACAGTTAGGTAGCTTTCGTAGTTTAGAAACGTCCCTGACAGGACTTGACCATTATACAAATATTTCATAAAGATTAACAAAGAAATAATGACAGTTAGGTAGCTTTCGTAGTTTAGAAACGTCCCTGACAGGACTTGACCATTATACAAATACTTCATAAAGATTAACAAAGAAATAATGACAGTTAGGTAGCTTTCGTAGTTTAGAAACGTCCCTGACAGGACTTGACCATTATACAAATATTTCATAAAGATTAACAAAGAAATAATGACAGTTAGGTAGCTTTCGTAGTTTAGAAACGTCCCTGACAGGACTTGACCATTATACAAATACTTCATAAAGATTAACAAAGAAATAATGACAGTTAGGTAGCTTTCGTAGTTTAGAAACGTCCCTGACAGGACTTGACCATTATACAAATATTTCATAAAGATTAACAAAGAAATAATGACAGTTAGGTAGCTTTCGTAGTTTAGAAACGTCCCTGACAGGACTTGACCATTATACAAATATTTCATAAAGATTAACAAAGAAATAATGACAGTTAGGTAGCTTTCGTAGTTTAGAAACGTCCCTGACAGGACTTGACCATTATACAAATATTTCATAAAGATTAACAAAGAAATAATGACAGTTAGGTAGCTTTCGTAGTTTAGAAACGTCCCTGACAGGACTTGACCATTATACAAATATTTCATAAAGATTAACAAAGAAATAATGACAGTTAGGTAGCTTTCGTAGTTTAGAAACGTCCCTGACAGGACTTGACCATTATACAAATACTTCATAAAGATTAACAAAGAAATAATGACAGTTAGGTAGCTTTCGTAGTTTAGAAACGTCCCTGACAGGACTTGACCATTATACAAATATTTCATAAAGATTAACAAAGAAATAATGACAGTTAGGTAGCTTTCGTAGTTTAGAAACGTCCCTGACAGGACTTGACCATTATACAAATATTTCATAAAGATTAACAAAGAAATAATGACAGTTAGGTAGCTTTCGTAGTTTAGAAACGTCCCTGACAGGACTTGACCATTATACAAATATTTCATAAAGATTAACAAAGAAATAATGACAGTTAGGTAGCTTTCGTAGTTTAGAAACGTCCCTGACAGGACTTGACCATTATACAAATACTTCATAAAGATTAACAAAGAAATAATGACAGTTAGGTAGCTTTCGTAGTTTAGAAACGTCCCTGACAGGACTTTACCATTACACAAATATTTCATAAAGATTAACAAAGAAATAATGACAGTTAGGTAGCTTTCGTAGTTTAGAAACGTCCCTGACAGGACTTGACCATTATACAAATATTTCATAAAGATTAACAAAGAAATAATGACAGTTAGGTAGCTTTCGTAGTTTAGAAACGTCCCTGACAGGACTTGACCATTATACAAATATTTCATAAAGATTAACAAAGAAATAAAGACAGTTAGGTAGCTTTCGTAGTTTAGAAACGTCCCTGACAGGACTTGACCATTATACAAATATTTCATAAAGATTAACAAAGAAATAATGACAGTTAGGTAGCTTTCGTAGTTTAGAAACGTCCCTGACAGGACTTGACCATTATACAAATATTTCATAAAGATTAACAAAGAAATAATGACAGTTAGGTAGCTTTCGTAGTTTAGAAACGTCCCTGACAGGACTTGACCATTATACAAATACTTCATAAAGATTAACAAAGAAATAATGACAGTTAGGTAGCTTTCGTAGTTTAGAAACGTCCCTGACATGACTTGACCATTATACAAATATTTCATAAAGATTAACAAAGAAATAATGACAGTTAGGTAGCTTTCGTAGTTTAGAAACGTCCCTGACAGGACTTGACCATTATACAAATACTTCATAAAGATTAACAAAGAAATAATGACAGTTAGGTAGCTTTCGTAGTTTAGAAACGTCCCTGACAGGACTTGACCATTATACAAATACTTCATAAAGATTAACAAAGAAATAATGACAGTTAGGTAGCTTTCGTAGTTTAGAAACGTCCCTGACAGGACTTGACCATTATACAAATACTTCATAAAGATTAACAAAGAAATAATGACAGTTAGGTAGCTTTCGTAGTTTAGAAACGTCCCTGACAGGACTTGACCATTATACAAATACTTCATAAAGATTAACAAAGAAATAATGACAGTTAGGTAGCTTTCGTAGTTTAGAAACGTCCCTGACAGGACTTGACCATTATACAAATACTTCATAAAGATTAACAAAGAAATAATGACAGTTAGGTAGCTTTCGTAGTTTAGAAACGTCCCTGACAGGACTTGACCATTATACAAATACTTCATAAAGATTAACAAAGAAATAATGACAGTTAGGTAGCTTTCGTAGTTTAGAAACGTCCCTGACAGGACTTGACCATTATACAAATACTTCATAAAGATTAACAAAGAAATAATGACAGTTAGGTAGCTTTCGTAGTTTAGAAACGTCCCTGACAGGACTTGACCATTATACAAATATTTCATAAAGATTAACAAAGAAATAATGACAGTTAGGTAGCTTTCGTAGTTTAGAAACGTCCCTGACAGGACTTGACCATTATACAAATACTTCATAAAGATTAACAAAGAAATAATGACAGTTAGGTAGCTTTCGTAGTTTAGAAACGTCCCTGACAGGACTTGACCATTATACAAATATTTCATAAAGATTAACAAAGAAATAATGACAGTTAGGTAGCTTTCGTAGTTTAGAAACGTCCCTGACAGGACTTGACCATTATACAAATATTTCATAAAGATTAACAAAGAAATAATGACAGTTAGGTAGCTTTCGTAGTTTAGAAACGTCCCTGACAGGACTTGACCATTATACAAATACTTCATAAAGATTAACAAAGAAATAATGACAGTTAGGTAGCTTTCGTAGTTTAGAAACGTCCCTGACAGGACTTGACCATTATACAAGTATTTCATAAAGATTAACAAAGAAATAATGACAGTTAGGTAGCTTTCGTAGTTTAGAAACGTCCCTGACAGGACTTGCACACTTTACTGACTGTATATTCATGTGCTGCTGAACTGCTGCAACATATAATAAAATATTAACATCATATCATTCCCGTTTGACAAGTTAACTACTTTATCGAAGTGTTTTGTACTCTTATATACAGTCGGTAATGTGATATAGAATATGTAATGATATTTTAGTTAAAATTTATTGATATATGCAAAGGTTGGCAGCAGACGTGTGGTACTTGTAGCTGGTATACTGATGATAATATTTGGATGTTTTAACAAGTTTAGTGCGTTTGTTGTTACGGTTCCTGATCCAATCATCGGTGCATCATTCATTGTACTCTTTGGTGAGTTGTCAGTTTCATGGAAACAGATTTAAAATTTGTCAAAATCCGAAAAAAGGAAGATTGCTATCTAGTACGCGCATAAATATTGAAAGCTTATATTATAACACGAAATACGAAACATTAAAAAAAACAACAACAAAAAAAAAACAAAAAAAAACCAAAAACATTTAATTCCAAATTCAAGCGGATTTAAACGGGCAAACATGATTTAGATTTAGATAACCCTTTAAATGTCATTAATCATTTTATTATTATTTGAACCATACATTCAATGTTCATGTTTCATTCCACCACTTCTTCAAACCGTACGTTATCTACTGATAAATAATCTTACGTTGCAAGAACGTATATGTGACTTGTATAAACAATGCCTAGAAAGGTAATTTGAGTAAAGGTGACAATTTTGTCTCACCTTTCGTGTAATTATAATCAAACTTGATATGTGTATAGTGGTCATTGTTGAAGGCGAACATTATGCTTATCGTTGAAGGCAGTAGTACAATGCCTTATATTTGTTTATACCATCATATGTCTCTCATTGGCAATCATACCGCTTCTTATATTCTATACCTATTTGATTTTTTGTATATCAGGAGTACTAGCAGCTGTTGGCGCATCAAATCTTCAGTATGTAGACCTGAATTCACCAAGAAACATGATAGTGTTTGGTCTGTCTTTGTTCATGGGATTAACAATTCCTCCATGGACCCAGCAGAATGAAAAAATATTTGCAGATGGTAAGAAATAAACATCATTTTGGCCAGACTATGACTTCTTATAAATAACAAAATAAAGAATCAGAATATTTAACTGTATACACATTTCTCAAGTATAATAACAAATCGGATAATATGACAGAGGTATCATTCTCTATTGGTTGTTTTGGTTGTATGCTTGTTGGGTGGCTGGATTGACAAATATGATTGACGACAACTGTTGCATTATGGAAAGGCGATTAAGAATTGCCATCAATATTTTTTTTTTGGTTTCAAATACTCTCTTTTCTTTCTTCTTATGTTAATTCGTTAACGTTTTTTTTTTAAATTAATGGTATAGCAATAATAATTAAATCAGTAACACGACTTGAGAAACTACAAAACAGATAATAATAATAATGATATATTATTGAATAAAACGTCTATCAAGTTAAGAAGAAATACTAAGTAAAATTGCTGATATTAAGGTTAGATTTTATTTCAGGAAACGAAAATGCTATGCAGATGTTGTTAGCTCTTCTAGGAAACAATATGTTTATGGCTTGTTTCACAGCATTAATATTGGACAATGTTATGCCTGGTATGTAATTTTGTATTTCTGATAGTAATAAAAACAAAGCAGGTTGATCACTTACATAAGAAAAAAAAAAACAACTTGATTTTTCAAATATACTAAAAATAAATCAAAAACTATGCAAGGGAAATATTTTTTTACTATATTTAATTATGCAAAAATACAGAAATAAGAGCCTGCATTCAATTCTTTCCTTACAGTCACAAATGCCCAATCAACTTCTTGGATCAGCTAAGACATGACTACAAAAAAACAAAATATCGAAACAACATTGCATTACAACGTACCATTATGAAAGAAAAAAACCCAGAAACAGCTGAAGATTTTAAAAAACAACGCACCACAAGGGATATATCAATTAAACAGAAACAAATATTGAAGTTTCACCTTTTAAAATAAGCAATAACTGCTTGTGTTATGAGTTGAAAATGCGAATTCAAAAATCAACATTTTACAATTCAAGCTTGTAATTTCATAGTTGTAGTCTAGTGAAGAAAATGAAAAAGGAGAAGGTCCGGTAATGGTTAATTTTGGCCTAAAATTTGAAGTACATCTGATGAAAGATTTTTGACATTTTTTAAACACTCCAGTGTCTACTTCATTCGATCAAATTAGTTTGTGTAAAATATTTGAACTGGTTTGTTCATTAAAGATGCTCAAATTTAAGCTTCAATGAAAAATCTATCAAATATGCCATAAAACGTATTTTTTCAGATGGTTTTTGTATAAAATATAAGTGGCTGCATTCGTGTCCAATCTCAACCTTTATATATTTTATGTATTATCATCAAATATAACATGTACATACAAAATTTTAATACTGAACACAAGTGCGGGCACTTCTATTTTAGACAAAAACCGTCTTAATATTAATACAAATGCTTAAATTGTGATATTTCAGTAATTTCACATGCATTACTGATGCTAGTACATGATGCATGTGCATTGTATTGTCAAAAACAGACCATATTTATGTAACAAAAATATTCCAATTTCCAATAAATAGCTTAAAGTTTTCATTTTAAACAAATTGTAAAAATGATACATTTCGGGACCAAAAAGGGGTCTTGCCGAGCCAATTCCTTTCAGAATCTCTTTTGAGAGAATTGAAATGAAATACTTCTGGCAGACTAAATTATAAAAGCGAGTTGCAAGTTATTTCAAAGTAAATTTCATTTTTCTGTATCCAAAAACTAGGTACTGTTGAAGAACGTGGAATAGTGCTATGGCGAGAATTAACATCTGAACATCTAGACAACAAGAGCAGCTACTCGTTGAGAACGTACGACCTTCCATTTGGTATGTCAAAAATAAGGTCATGGCGATGGACCCAATATATTCCGTTCTCTCCAACATTTGTAAATGATCATCTTAATTGTTGTTCATCTCCTGCACGTGACCATGAAGACATAACAGGACGTGACCACGATGACGTCACTGGACATAATGATCTCAATAGAACTAATGATGATGGGTGTACAAAACTATAGAACAATATTAGCATACAACAAAATCAATATACCAGGTAGTTAATTTGAAAAAAAAAATCAAATATTGCTAAGTAAAACTCTATAAGTATCTTATTGTGTCAGATAGTTTGACATATTCCAAAGGGGAAAGAGTCCGTTTAAATTTGCATGAATCTATCTCAGAGGAGAATGATAAAATGAAATATAACAATATAATGCTTGTTGCAGAAAAGCTTTTTATTTACAGTCAAATAATGAGACGCAGTCATCAAGCAAAACTATTTTTTAAGCCACGATATGAGCTAGATAATTGTTCTGTTTATTGAAGTATCATTTCATAAAACGAAAAGGCGCCACCAATTAATCCCACTGAAATGAAACTCCGGCAGTAAAAAAAATACCCAAGACGAACGCATTTAGAAATAAACATTGTGCAAAAAAGTTTAGAAAAGAAACATTATGCAAAAAGTTTAGAAAAGAAATAGTATGCCCAAAAATTTAGAAAAGAAAACATTTTTCAACTTAGACGTTGTCATTTTTATATTTCACGCAAGCACGTACGTGCCTTTGTTGCTTCCGCTGTTTAAAAGAGCAACTTTTATTATCAAGGTTTGAGCAGTCAAAAATGAAAAATAATGCATGAAATAATTAAAAGCATCAAAGGCAGTAATATACCCTCTGTCAATACAACGTATGTTGTTAACATATTTCAATTAATACATTACGCTCGTTGATGTTCACACTATACAGATTTCATAAAAGGGGTTAATCATTATGCTCCTTACACAACAACGATTTCAACAAAGTAAGTGTAAACATATTTTATTAAAGAATTCTTTATGTATAGCTACAAGAGTAAATGAATACGAAATAAACAAGGAATTCAAAAATTAGGATTAGAAAACAAGAACAGTGCCTTATATAAATCCATTTTCAACAAAGTTACGAAGAAGAACGACCTTAATCCACACTGCACAAGTTTTTCAGTCGTCATCACAAATTGGGTGATCTACTTACAAGCGATATGTTTTTCTCTGATTTAGATTTTTAAATACCAAAATAGTCGTCATAGTTAACTGTTAGATTACATATTGTGTCCTATTCCCGATTGCGACATATTGACTGAGTGTGGATTCGCATATTTTTTGAAGCATGTATAGCTGGAGACACTAACCTTGTCGACACCACCAATCTCGGTTCTTTTTTAGTAAATGCTTTTCTCAGTTTTGTTTTTTTGTTTCTTGATTTGTATTTTCTTAATCGAGATCGGTAACTACTGTTGCATAAACTTAGCAGTAGTAATATCTAATGGGCGAAAAAAAGCTAATTTCATTATTTTTACAATTACAGATTTGTATTCGATATGGGCGTCCAACTATTTAAGCTCAAGCACCGCTGAAGAGAATTATGTATGCGATACGTGCGTCTGGCGTCCCAAATTTTAAGCCTATTATATGATGAGTTTATATAAAAAATGACAGAGCTTAGGGTAACAAATATATATGAAGTTTTATATTTATCTCTTTCTTTTTTGAGATCATGGGCACTGACTCTCATTTAATAATTGGCGCTTCTCATCAGAATTTTTTAATAAAAAGATAGATAAACAATTTCGAAAAATATGCTTTTTGTTATCTGCTCTATTTATGTTCCTCATTGTAATAAAACTATTAAAAATGTTTTGATTAACTGACTTCATAAAAAAAGCTTTACATCTGAATTTTGATTATTCAGCTTTTGGAATATTTATGAAAAACTTATGGGTGAATACCAGCATTTTATATTTTTTGTAATCATGTTTTTGTTACATCAGTAAGCCATGTTCCATAATTTTTACTCTAAATCAATTTTTCAGCCTCAATAATACAACTGAAAAATATACTTTTATGTCGATTCGTCCGAATGAATGATTTGTGTACCTATATGAAGCAGAATCGATACAAAGTTTTGTAGAGGCAAGAAGGAATAACATGTTGCAAATCCTTCAACTGTTCTTTTAAATAAACTAACAATTTGTTTTCAAAATATCAAAATTTGGCTATCATTTATTTAAGTCCTTTTTGGTGGTCATTTAGCTCTTCTATTGTTTCAGTACTTATACATCCTTTGCTTTCAAATGTTTAGCTTTTAGCGTTCTTTATAACGATTAAACCAGAAAACGCTTTGAATGCATTCATTTTTTAACCCTCTACTTTGGTTAGTACTTGTATTATATATATTCTTGTGAAACAGAAATAACCACTCATCACAGTTTATGGGGTGTATATTATATTTCAGTTGATATTGTAGACCTTGTTATCTTTATGGCTATTAGTGATCACTTTCACCGAGGTTATCACGAGCCAAGTAGTCAACACTTCTGTGTTGACATGAACTATCAATAATATGTTCATAATAATAGATAAACTGTTTACAAAACTTTGAATTGTTCGAAATATTTAGGATTTGCCAACCCAGGAATAGATTACATTAGCTGTATTTGGCAAAATCTTTCGGAATTACGGGTTCTCAATGCTCTTCAATTTCGTACTATATTTTAGCTTTACCTACTAATGCTAGTCTGTCTTACATGTTACCTAAAGACAGTCTGTTTTACATATTCCCTAATGCCAGTCTGGCTTACATGTCTCCTTATGATAGTCTGTATTATCACTGGTTTTGTCGTATTTTTGGTTTCAACACTATCTAACAGAAGTGTCTCCAATATTGTGTCAGTAGATGGGAACTCGACAACAAAGGTCAAGGACCTCTTCCACTTAGATGATTTTAATTACTTTTTCAACAAGGGCTACAGATTATAGGACCTTGTCTAGAAACATGACACCTGGGAGGACGTTTTGGCTATATCATTATTAGAATAAGGAGATGTGGTATGCTTGCCAATGAGAAAAACCCATACAGTATTGTCAGCTATACAAGGCCCGGACACGAAAATTGTGAAACAATTCAAACTTGAAAACTAACCATGAAAACGGCATAATTCATACAATAGTATTTAAGAAAAACAAACCTGACAGATATGAACCAACGACAAGCACTGGATAACAGGCTCCTTACTAACCTGAAACTGGTGTTATAGAACAACATTACAACAAACTGTAAAAAATCAGTTGCAAATGGTTTAACTCAATAGATCGGTACGAAGCAAAACAAGCTAACATAAAATAATAGACACAGTGTACCGATATGAGAGAACTCTCAGTTACTGAAAGCTAATTCAAAGCCAATTATTACTAATAAATACATAATGTTTTCCCAGACTATTTTTTCAATTTTATCTCATTTAAAATTAATTATTTTCAAGTTAAAAATCACAAATTTCCCCCAAAAATCCCTTTTGTCGATTTCAAAGAATCTAAACACCATTGGATAATGACTACATAAAGAAAAAATAATGGTTCTTTTTGTTAAGTACCAATCTATTTCATTGAAAATCAACCCGGGGTTTGGCAGACATTTATGAAATTTAGACTTAGTGTCACTGGTCAAATGAAATGACTCTCTGGTGACATATTCAGTCTTAGTTGTTCACATTTTTAAGGTCTCATTAAAAGGAACACGTCCTCCATGTCTACTATACAAATTTAAGACAATTGTTTGAATACTTATGTAATGAAAAACAATTACCTTTGCTGAGTACATGTGTAGTAGGGGTGCCAACTCTATATGAGTATCAACGAAGTTTGTCTCATTATTTTTAGGTCCATGTGAGTTCGATGTTGTTTTCACGGAGTTATCAGTCATTTGAGCTTACTTTTTACGGTGTAGCTAAAATAAAAATATCGGTGTGGTATTTAACACCATTTTTCCTACCATATAATGACCATGTATTTGTATTTATTTAAAGTCATCAGATTTTGATGTTAACTTTCGTGGACACTTAAAACTCCATACGTTAAACTATTAATGCATACTAAATAAACTCATCATAGATACCAGGATAAATTAAGGTAGATAAATTTAACCTTGAATATTATTTTTGGGAAAGGGACAATATAAAAAATATGCGTATTTGTTTGTGTTTGACAAATAAGGTCAAAGCTCATTTATCTTAATTAAGGGAAGTTAGTAGCTAAGTTTTGATGATGTCTATTGACAAGAATACGCTTGGTTAGTATCTTTATATACAATAAGCGCACTAGAGATAATTTCTTGAACTAAAATGTGGTAGAAGAATGCCGGGTAGAAGAATGCTTTTCCACTAACGTTCTCATTCTCTTGACCAATCTTTTTCTTTCGATACATTTTAATTCAAATACTTACCATTAGTACCTGAATAATTTATTTACAAATTATAACATTATAAAACTTACATAAATTTTAGTGTAAATTATTTGATACAAAACATACTTGTACAAAACGTTTTGTTGTGAAACAGAAAATTATCTGATCAAACATACTTCCAATCACGGTTCTATTGTCAAACACTAACAGAAAATTATCCTATCAACAGATGCTTGTATGAAAATAAACGGTGACAGATCCTGATATATCAAGGGTTGTTATAAAAGTAATATAATAAATACTAATTTGAATGTGAAAACGTTTAACCAATTAGTATATTCCATTTAGTATAAACAACAAAGTCTTATTCACACTTTTAGTGGTGATTTCTTGATATCTTGAATTCCCTGTAAAGAGAAAAAAATATAAACATTCAGTTCATTACAAGTGTGTTCATTTACTTCTTCCTTGTGTTGTCGTAGATATTTATGTTGTAATTTGATATATTTAAGTTTTCATTGACTTTGTTGTTTTTATCGCTAATTGTCTGTTTTAGTTCTGAACATCTCTATGTGTTTTTTTCAAACTTCAATTGTCGGGTTTTAGTTCTGAACATCTCTATGTTTATTGCATACTTCAATTGTCGGGTTTTAGTTCTGAACATCTCTATGTTTATTGCAAACTTCAATTATCGGGTTTTAGTTCTGAACATCTCTTTGGTTATTGCAAACTTCAATTGTCGGGTTTTAGTTCTGAACATCTCTATGTTTATTGCAAACTTCAATTGTCGGGTTTTAGTTCTGAACATCTCTATGTTAATTTCTAACTTCAATTGTCGGGTTTTAGTTCTGAACATCTCTATGTTTATTTCAAACTTCAATTTACGGGTTTTAGTTCTGAACATCTCTATGTTTATTGCAAACTTCAATTATCTGTTTTAGTTCTGAACATCTCTATGTGTTTTTTCAAACTTCAATTGTCGGGTTTTAGTTCTGAACATCTCTATGTTTATTGCATACTTCAATTGTCGGGTTTTAGTTCTGAACATCTCTATGTTTATTGCAAACTTCAATTATCGGGTTTTAGTTCTGAACATCTCTTTGGTTATTGCAAACTTCAATTGTCGGGTTTTAGTTCTGAACATCTCTATGTTTATTGCAAACTTCAATTGTCGGGTTTTAGTTCTGAACATCTCTATGTTAATTTCTAACTTCAATTGTCGGGTTTTAGTTCTGAACATCTCTATGTTTATTTCAAACTTCAATTTACGGGTTTTAGTTATGAACATCTCTATGTTTATTGCAAACTTCAATTGTCTGTTTTAGTTCGGCACATCTCTATGTATTCAAACTTCAATTGTCGGTCATACGTGAGTTGGAGAACTAATACTAATTGATAAATTACATGTAACGATTACATGTATTAGATAATTCTTAGTGGTAGACAAGAGACATATACCAGTCCGTTATTGTACAATACCTTTGACGCACTATTAATGAAAGAACATAATTCTTATTGGTCAATCTTCAGTTTTCTGTTCTTTTGTTTGCTCAGGACTTTATAAATATTTATTTATTGGGTTCTTGATGGCAGAGTGGTCTAAACTGTTTATATATAGTATCACTGTCAACACTTGGTTGTGAGTTCGAAATCTGCACGTGGCAGGTGCGTTTGACCCCGATCTAACTGACTAGGACTGCGTTTTTCTGCTGAAGGTCGATGGTTCTCTCCGGGCACTCGGACTTCCTTCAAGTATAAAAACTGATCGCCACTCTATAGATAATAGTGCTGAAAGTGGCGTTTACAATAGCCATCAATCAAGCAATATTCTTAGCTAATGATCGTTTTACGGTCGATTTAGTAATGAATTATCTGTAAAAGAATGACGGAAGACAAACTGACAACGTCATTTAAAAAAAAAACAAAAAAAAAAAACCCCACCAAATACGGCCAAAAGACAAACATCAGTCTACAAAACACAACAAAGAAAACCAAACACTAATCAACACAAACCCCACAAAAACCAGGGGGTATCTCAGTGCTCCGGAAGGTCATGATTCAAATGTGACTACCGTCGTGTTACACCTATAAAAGTTACAAATTTTGATGTACAAAAGGAAGCACTACTGGATGAATTTTAGTCTGAAACGATCATTTTGATCTTAACATCATCTGAAAAGTCTGTACAATAAAATATTCAGTCATGTCCAGTTTTTCAGTCAATTTTCAGTCTTATCCACTGCAGTCAATTCAGTACTGTTCAGACAATGCGGCTGCAGTCAAGTCAGTACTGTCCAGTACCTTTTCAGATAATTCAGAATGATATTGATGTGTACAGGTAAAACAACTACTGAACAGTCTGAACATAAAATGAACAGATCTTAATCAACTGCTATGGAATAGTTTATTATAAAATAAATAAGGAGATATGGTATGATTGCCAATGAGACAACTATCCACCAAAGTTCAAATGAAGTGGATGTAGGCAATTAAGGGTACCCGTACGGCCTTCAACAATGTCGGCTATAAAAGGCCCGACATGAAAAATATGAAACAATTCAATTCAGAAAACTAACGGAACAAATTACGAAAAACAAATATGACAGACATGAACCAACTTCAACCACTGAACTACAGGCTCCTGAATTGGGACAGGCACAAGCAGAATGTGGCGGGGTCAAACATGTCTGTGAGCGCTCAACCCTCACCCTAAACTGGGACAGTGGTGTTACAGCACAACATTAGAACAAACTATAAAAATCAGTTGAAATGGGCTTAACTCATAAGATCGATACAAAGCAAAAAACATCAAACAAACACAGACCGGACGTGGCATGGTATTTATACATCCCTCATCTCTAACAACAAAAAATACACAAAGTACTGATATGAGAGGACTGCCAGTTACTGACAGCTAGTTCAAAGCCAATAACAACTAATAAAAAAATCATGTATCTAAGACTAAACTATCAAACAGTACACATCCAACTTCAAGTGGATTTAGTGTAAAGACGTCATTAACAGTCAGAGAAAAACATGACCTTGTGCAATGCCGAAATATAGGTATTAGCAGATTGTAGTACCGTGAAAGTGCATATGTGTATAACAATACTATTTAGTATGGTTTTAATTTACTGATAACAAAATCAATATTCATACCAATAAAAACCATATTCATAGATCTAATTACAGTGCTGAATTGGTACCCTTTTAGAATAAGTTTATTTAAAGGATTGATAGGTATACCCAGATCGTTTCTAAATTTCCGGGCTCGGTAAACAACATCATAGGATGTGCTATTCCGTTTGAAATAAGTTTTACAGCCAAACTTGCAAACCAAATCTTTGTATCTACTGTTCAGTCATTTAAGAGATCGGTTTACTAATAAAGATCTTGTTTTCAATTTTCCCTTCCGTACTCTTCCAATAATTTCTAAAAGCCAAGCTAGCACATTTAGATTTATATATCAATGGGAGGAATTATACCCGAAGCTATTTTAACTGAGAGAGGTTTTGTATACAGTAATTAGATGTCCGTATTTCCAGAATTTATACATGTACACTATTCACGTGAACAAAAAAGCAAAGCCTTTCATATACATCAAACTGCAAACTGATTCGTAATTCTATGTATGCAAGTTATAGAATTCCCGTCCCCTATACACAATCAAACACTATTGCTTGATTAATGTATACATTTGTGTTGCTGTGTATATTTTGAAGTCTCAAATCAAATTTGAATGTACCGTTTAATTATACATTAAATGTTTATAAAACTTTGAATTTTTCGAAATACTAAGGATTTTCTACCACAGAATAAATTACCTTAGCTGTATTTGACAAAACCTTTCAGAATTTTGGGTCCTCACTGCTCTTCAGCTCCGTACTTTATTTGGCCCTTTTTAACTTTTTTGTTTCGAGCGTCACTGATGAGTCTTTTGTAGACCAAACGCGCTTCAGGTGTGCTATTTTTTTTTATCCTGGTGTCTATGATGAGTTTATTTATGTGCAACTTGTGCATTTATAGATTTGTTTTCTCCAATACGAAATAGATCTAAAAGTGTGTACAGTCAATTATAGACGAATAAAAGAAGAACTATTTAACCTAAGTATGTCTTAAACTAGCCAAACCGTCCACTAAAAGCGTAATTTAGTCTTAGATGCATGATTTTTTTTATTAGTTGTTAGTAGCTTTGAACTAGCTGTCAGTAACTGCGAGTACTCTCAGATCTGAACTTAGTGTCTTTTTGTTGTTTGGATGTACAAGTACCCGGCCACGTCCACTTGTATTTGTAGTATTTGTATTTTTATCCATCTGATGAGTTAAGCCTCTTTCAACTGATTTTGATAGTTCGTTCTTATGTTGTACTGTTACACCACTGTCCCAGGTTAGGGGGAGGGTTGGGATCCCGCTAACATGTTTAACCCCGCCACATTCTGTATGTATGTGTCTGTCCCAAGTCAGGAGCCTGTAATTCAGTGGTTGTCGTTTGTTTATGTGTTACATATTTGTTTTTCGTTCATTTTTTGTACATAAATTAGGCCGTTAGTTTTCTCGTTGAATTGTTTTACATTGTCATTTCGGGGCCTTTTATAGCTGACTGTGCGGTATGGGCTTTGCTCATTGTTGAAGGCCGTACGGTGACCTATATTTGTTAATTTCTGTGTCATTTGGTCTCTTGTAACAAAAAATAGCTGTGAATTGCATGAAATGAATGTCAATCAAAATAAGCTGTTGATTGCACGAACTGAATGTCAATGTTTGAACAATGACTTCTGGTAGATATAACTTTCAGTGACACCTACAGACAGAAATATATCAATTCATTTATTAGTTCTATCAATATTGTTTGACATTTATGAAAATTTATTAGATATATTGAATAAAAATATACCACAGATATTTCAGGCTCGTCGTAGATCTTGATTGCTTCCTTCGACTTAACAGTTATCTCTCTCTTAGCTCGGAGAGTTTCTAGATAATCCTTCCTCAATACTCGGAGGTGTGGGTTATAGTGGAGTAAGCATGCTAAGTACCAATTAATCGAAGCAACCCTGTGACGTCTAGATCTCTGCTGTTCCTTCACATGTTTTAGTTCTGCATGTTTGGTAATAAAGAAGATTAATATCTGCTTTGATAAACATAGTGCGTGTATAGAGTTGAAAATAATTGCACAATGAATATCAAACCATGATAAAAAAAAAACATGATGAAAACGAGACAAAATAAGAAGGAAACCAATTTAATCCCCGATATTTGTTAATGTACCTGTGTAAGTCAGGTTATTGTAAAAGAAATCTAGTGTTTTTATTTGTTTTAACATGCAGATTTTTAGGTAACTTTGCTATTGTATTTACAAATTGCCTGGATTCGGACACTGTAGAGATAATTGGCGTTCAATGAAGACGAAGTTTAAATATATTGCTCAATTATTTTAAAAGAACCCTTTAAAAGTAGAAAAAGGTACCAATGGAGAACGTAGAAAGGCGAATCATGAGAATACCCACATTTGTTAAAGGATACATAATGTTATTTCGTGAAAGAAGTAAGATCATATGGTAACAATTACCTCTTTCTTCGTCGTTGTCTTTTTCTGTCTTCAAGTTAACTTGTAGGAGAGACAGGAATGTGAGAATAACTGGGTTGTAATGTGCATTTTCAATATGCATAAATCCAACATAAGCATTAAACCCTAATAAAAACATATTAACTTTTAGTCATTGTTGATCTAATAAGAATACAGTCGATTTCTTTGATTACTTTTATGTTTGTAAATTCCAATTAATCAGGATTTGTCACAGATATTTTATCTGCAAATACAGAAGGTTAGGCAGTCATTAACCAATTGTTCTCATCATGTTAGTTTTATACACGGATACACAATGAATTACAGTTGGTATTTCCTCAATTTTTAACCTTTCGGAATTTTGGGTCCTCAATGCTCTTCAACTTCGTACTTTATTTGGCCTTTTTTTTTTAACTCTTTTGATTTTAGCGTCACTGGTGAGTCTTTTGTAGAAGGCACGCACGTCTGGCGTACAAACTTTTAATCCTGGTATCTATGTTGAGTTTATTTGCGGAATTTCCCCTTACTACTATCGTACGATCAATAGATTTCCTACATGACGATGTCATTCGTTTGTTTTGCATGATGTCTAAGGCATGAAAACGTTTGGGGACGTAACATTATTAATAAATACATTTGGCGTAGTTTACGGTATTTGTATATAAGTAAAAATATAACTAAATATTTTACAATATGGTCCATGTTAGATTTGCAATCCATTATTTCTAAAACAGGTATAAACAACTTAAACATTGTTCTTAATATTTTTGAACTTATATAGACATATTACTATGCATGGCAATTTCTTTTACAAAACAAACCTGGATCAAACAGTTGAAATCTCCTGGGAAGAGTACTGTGGTCTAATCGTCCAAGAAATAATATTCCTATAACTGTAGCTTTTATAATGCGCAACAGACACGATAATAAACCCAAAAATGTATTGTAGAAAAAGACAAAATAAACTGCCAGAAAGAATCCTCGTCTGTAAAACATTTTAAGTCATTTAGTTGGCAATTAGAATAAAAAAGAGTAATCATCATTACAGAGATATACATTTTTATACTTAATTTTTATATTAGAAGAAAATGGTATTAAATAAATTGTATTTTTTTCACATTTCCAGATTTGTGATAAAAAAATGTTTTTTTTTAGCCTTAAAGTTAACCGATACTGTTGGATTATTATTCCACGAGGGTAGCATGATCTGCTAATCTTTCGGAGGACACGAGATCCCCCAGATGTTTGGTTGGGTTCATGCTGCTCAGTCTTTAGTTTTCTTTCTTGTGTGTTGTATACTGTTGTTTATCTTTTGGTCGTTTTTTCGTTTAAAAAAATGTAAAAAAGCAAAAATACCGAACTCTAAGGAAAATTCAAAACGGAATGTTCTTTATCAAATGGCAAAATAAAAAGCTCAAACACTTCAAACGAATGGAAAACAACTGTCATATTCCTGACTTGGTACAGGCATTTCCTCATGTAGAAAATTATGGATTAAAATGGATTAATATTGTCAGTCCGTTTTCGACGTACACGGGTAAGTTTTATTATCCCTTTTGTTTCTTTCGCCTCACTTTTAGCGTTCATCTTATGTAGCCTATGCTTGAGTAATGGATTGATTTAAATAGTTCATATTGTAATGGTGCTAATAAAGTTAAAAGCAGAGACACCTGTTGTGATCGTTCCTGGTAAAGGTTATAGCAGAAACACCTGTTGTGATCGTTCCTGGTAAAGGTTATAGAAGAGACATATGTTGTATCGTTCCTAATAAAGTTGATAGCTGAGACTCCTGTTGTGGTCGTTCCTGATCAAGGTTATAACAGAGACACCTGTTGTGATCGTTCCTGATAAAGTTATAGCAGCAACACATGAAGTGGACACAAAAATTATCTCATTTGTAACTAATACAACCGTAAAAATCAACAAATAAAGGCTATAAAAGTTTGTCCACAATGACCATTACGTAAAGATATAAAGACACATTGATTTGAGTGATTATTCAAAGTAAAAGAAAAGTAGTATCATGTTAGAACTGCGGTAATATAATATAATACCTGTTTTCAATCGCCAAAACATTACCACTTTCTTGCAAGAATAAAAACTTGGCCATTGCAAGTTGCGATACACTTAACAGTATCGCAGTTACTGGAACTGACCTGCAAATTAATTAAAAATCTGTTTATTTCATTTCTAAAAGGAAACAAGGTTTGAAAATATAAATCGATATGGCGCGGTGTAATTACATTACCTAAGTGGTGACGCTGAACTTTTGCCAGTCAATTAAAAATATATCCACCATAGAAATATTGGGTAAACATTCATTATTACTATTAATCATTTGTTATTCACAATTATTCTAAAGGGGCCAAGGTTTTATTATTTTATCATTACAAATATCGTTAATCCTTATTCCTACCAGCTTCTTAGTCAATCCGATTAAAAAAAATCGTTACTTCTACACTTCTATAAATTATGTTTTAGAACTTAACCCCAATAAGAGTATTATTTTACCAAAATTCGCTTATAAGGTCTGTGATTGTGCCACCTAAACCGGCTCTGTATAAGGAAACTAGGATATCTACCACAAAAAACGTCAAGAAAAACAAAGCAACTTGTACAATGTACGCTGAAAGTATACAATTATATAGTTTCTACAAAAGACCGAGAAAAACACTTAATACCATTCATTGGCCTGTTAAATGATATTAAGTGTTGTGTATTGTATTTGTGCGGTTTATATTCTACCATTTATTCTGTATCTATCGCTTACGGTCTTCCTATCTTTTGTACTAAGAACAGTTAGAGAATGCATAGCTTATATGTAATGATGTTGTGTATCGTTTTATTTACTCTACAGTTTTCCATTTAGTACTATTATGTTCCTTGTGGTTGTATGACTCTGGACTAGGCTCGGTATTTGTGCATCCAGATTTCGGATTTTTGCATTGGCGTTCCTGGTGTGGGTTCGACCAGAGGTTCGATTCGGAGGCATGAGATTTTTATAATGCTGTTTTCATTTTGTATACCCTTGAAATCATGTTTGACTGCATTTGTACTTTATCGGGAAGGTAAATATGTCATTATGTTTACTGTATGAACTAATTTTTTATTGTTGGCGTCTTTGTCAGATTTATGTGTACGTCGTTTGTTAGGGGTGCATGATCGTATCAATCGGGAATCGAACTAAATGATAAAGCAAGGTTGTGCAATGTGAACTCTTAGTGACTTTGCAACAAGATAACAATTAAAATTAGCATGGGACAATTGTACATTGCTGAGATACGTGGTGCCTATTTCATTTGTTTGTTTTGATTTATCTTTTTGGCGGGGGAGGGAGAGAATGAAATACGCGTGTAAGGGCGCTCCATCATATTTTACCCTAAAATATAGAAATGTCAAGTGTATAATTCTATTATCATCGGCAATAAAATATTTTTCTTTTCAGGTAATTTTTCGTTGCGTTTTTTTCTTGAAAACATAAGATAAATAAAGAAAAAACATGTCCCATTCCCAATAACAAGTGCACGTCTGATAAGTCTGGTAATTACGTTAAAGCTATGTCACTTCTACAGCTCTACGTTTTTTATTTGATTTTCATTGTTTATCACTATATACGACATACCCAATAAAATATACGACATACCCCATAAAATATAACCTATTTGGTATCCAGTATATCGCATAGTACCAACCTAAATTAAAAAAAACCATAGGATTTAGATTTTATATAATAAATTTCTAGAAAATAAAATGATTTTAATAAATTCAAAGATTTGTTTTCCAAAACCTCTTACATCCTTTGATTTTCAAAATGCTTTTGCAGATGTGATTTGTCTGGAAAGTAGAGAAACAGTTTCAAATTGCATAAAAAAAATAATGTATCTTATATTTGTGTACAAAGCATTGATTACCATAAGACCGGCGTTGCTCATCGATGATCTAGGAGGAATATGATGTGTAGAACCTTTAAACAGGGCAAGCAGATTTTTCCTGAAACATAAATAAAATATGTATGAGATCATTTGATTAGCATGCTTGACTGAGTAAAAATATACACTTTCTCGATCCTGCTATTAATAAATGTGTGTTCCTACTTCAACAAATTACAATAAGGGAAAAGGGTATAAAAGTACACAAGAATTATCAGACTAAAATGTCTCAACTGTTTTAATGATTATTATTGACTGAATTTTATGTTGAATGTCTATGAGATAAATTTTTCATATCAGGTATACATTTCGATCAATAATCAACGGAACTTCTCATCAAATGAAATAGACATATACTTCAAGTAACCGAAAATCTGATGTAGTTAGATTTTTGAGTTTGTGTGTGTGCAGATCATGCTCTATGAAAATGAGGTCACGGTGAAGCCAACCCTATCAGACAGACATATCGTTAGTAAATAACTAAAACACACGGAATATACAAAGGACTACCCTTAGGCAAAGATTAAGATTCATTTGGCACAACTTTTCGGAATTTTCGGTTTTTAATGCTCTTCAACATTGTATTTGTTTTAACTACTGTTTTGATTCGAGCGCCATTAATAAGGCGTATGTAGTCGAAAAGCGCATCTGGCGTATCAAAGTTATCACTTGCTACTTGATTGACACAGTTAAGCCTTGATGACTGTTTCATCAGAAACGCGTAGTTTACATATAATAGCTTTTAGGTTTCACCTGCAACTAGCGATAGCTACACACGCGCGAAGAAAAACCAAACAAAATATGAAATATAATATCAAATATCAGACCACCATAACGTTATTTTTATAATTAGAAAAAGAGAGATGATACAAAATGAGGCATTAAAAAACCACAAATGAGAAATACAGAAAACAATTGCCAGAAATATAAACAGCATTCTCCAAGGTACCACACAGAAAACTATATTTGAGAAATAGAGGACGGGATCATGGTTACGTCAATTGGAAAATATCCGTCGTCATATGTGAAACATACCTTGCTTATTGATGAACACATATCTTAGACCCTCAAATATACATTTACATTACCTATATGAAGAAATCATGTGGAATATGATTAAAGCTGACAACATCACTTCAGCAGCTATAGCAAACACGAAACATACTGAAACAAACTATTTGCATTTAATATAACATTAATAACGTCATTAAGTTTTGATGTAATCAGTCAGATAGATTACGACAGCTTTAAACTGAAAATAAATGAACACAAATTGATCTATAATCACGGCGCATGTCGGGTGATGCATGAATAGCATGAGACGCTTAGGTGTTTGTTTTTATAGTAATTAAGATTATAACACAATGTTGACTGCAATACCCCAACTTTTGACATTTTTTCCTGTCTTTCATTTTTGCTTATGTGCTTTGTTTTTTCTTTGTTGACATGTTTATTTGTTTTTATAGTGATAAAGATTATAACACAATGTTGACTGCTGTACCCCTATTTTTGACATTTTTACCTATTATGTCTGTTTATTTTGCTCACACATTATTGTCAACATAATGGAATTTTATGCGACTGTCATACACGTGAGAGGTTAAGCTCGCTATAAACCCAGGTTTAATCCACCATTTTCTCGTTAGGAAGTGCTGGTACCAAGTCAGTAATTTGACAGTTGTTTTCCATTCGTTTAATGTGTTTGAGCTTTTGATTTCGCCATTTGATAAGGGACTTTTTGTTTTGAATTTTCCTTTGAGTTCGGTATTTTTGTTATTTTACTTTTTACCCATTCGATGCATCCGGTCACGCTCCTGTTGCAATTCCCTCTGATTTGTTTGTAACCTTGATTTGTCTCTTTATTCTCGATTTACGAGATTTGAACAACGGGAAACTGCTGTCGACTTAATTTATAAAATACTGCAGTAAATTGAAACATTTACGAACGACATTTAAGACAATTCCTATCATAATATGGTATCATTCACGTACCTTTACTGAATATCTTTCATTCAATGTTACAGGAGCATATTTTGAATGCAGTTTTTATCATCGGTACAACATATCATATTGACAGTTTCTAGAGCATTCGGAAAGGAATGTCATCAGAATCTGCACTAGGCTTCTGCCAAAAGAGGATGACCTGCTTCATTTGATATACCTTTCATTTAAATGACAACCGTTTATACTTTTGAGATTTTTTTCGAACAATCAATTAACAAATTGGGGGTACACAATAACTTTTTTTTTTAAATTACCTATTAAACATTTCATATCTAAAATGACATAATTTACTTACTCTGAATACCTTCTATTGTATAATAAAGAAACATGACTATTTTCCTGGCTGTCTTCACATCCTCGGAATCAAATGCGTCTTCTGCAGTGCCAATCACATCTACAACCGAGGATATAGTTTCAATCCAGCCTGCTATGGTTGGTAAGAAGAATATAATCAACTCTACCGATATCTAAAATATGCGAAAACAGTGTTTAAATGAAGTAAACCGTCAAGAAAACAGGATAAATGAGTTGATTTTTTTACATTGATTCACTTAACTGGGTAAAATTAGAAATCTATCCAGCAATACTCAGTGTGTATATGTGAGTATGTGTGTTCTACATTTCTACTATTTTTCAAATATTATATTCTGTGGTTATGTATCAACTACAACAATAAAATTGAGAATGGAAATGGGGAATGTGTCAAAGAGACAACAACCTGACCAAAGAGCAGAAAACAGCCACCAATGGGTCTTCAACACAGCGAGAAAATCCCGCACCCTTGTTTCTTTTATTTGTTACTTTTCTAAATTATTAGATTTACCATTACCGTAAGAAAAAAGACAGGCAGATTATCAGAAATCATACAACACCATGGGCAATTCCCGACAAACGAAGAAAGTATAAACACAGCCAAGAAAATGTAACTCTGAGCACACAAAAACAAATTAAAAAGCCGGGGGAGATCTCATGTGCTTCAGAAGGGTTTACGATCCTGCTCTACTATATATATATATGTGGCACTTGTCGTGTTGCTCATTGTACAAATTCGGTGATAAATCTTATTCGGAGATGTCACAATCGAAAAAAAGAGGACATGATTATAGCTAACAGTCGTCACAACATTACTGTACCGATCACATCAATAACTATAGATTAAGTCGAGTATGCGATTTACTAAGTATCTTTTATTCGTAAAATAATTTAATTGAATTTATATACAATTGTCGCTTACAATCGTTTCTCGGATATTATATCTCTAAACAACATAACGATGTGCATCCGATGTCTAATTTTAAACATGCAATGGATCTGAATTCTAGATAACCATATGTATGTCAGAGACGTAACGTCATAAAACATAAAAAAAAAAAACGGGGAAGAATACGATTTGCGTGAGCGCAACGTTACATTGGCGCAAATACACGAAAACAGTACCTACAAGTATTATATTATATATAAATGAAATAAATAAATGAATTCAGCAATAATAAATCAATAAGCCCAATAAATTGGAAACAACATTAATTTCAAATCTAACAATTGCTAAGAAAAATAAAGACCGAAGTACACGAATCCCACCAAACCAGGAATTTATCTGAAGAACTCTCGAAGGGTAGGCAGATCCCTTCTTCACAAGTGGCACCATTCGTTATGCTCATGACATGTACAAATTAGAGATTAAGTCTTGGAACAGGCACATACAGAATGTGGCGGGGTTAAACTACTTTGAAGGTGCCAACCCTGCCCTAACCTGGGACAATGGTGTAACAGTACAACATAAGAACAAACTATAAAAATCAGTTGAAAAGGGCTTAAGTCATCAGATCGATACAAAGGATCATAGTCAACGATTTCTGAAAATTATTTATCTTCCTTTTTATCTAATACTTTTGCAGAATGTTTAAATTGTGTAATAAACTTTCAAAAGTTCATCTAGGACAATAAAGAGTCAATTTTGTTTATGAAGTATAAGATATGAAATATATCAAATGACAATTCGTAGATAGATAAAATAATTATCTTTCAAATATATCTCTTTATAACGGATGGCAGTGACACAATGGGAAGGGATTTCATGACAGATCGTCGTCATCACTCCAATTGCCACCTTCTTCTTCATAATTAAAAATCTTTACTGTTGATTACATAATTCAACAAACAGATGTGTTGAAGATAGGCATTTAATCTAATACGAAGAACAGAGAATCAGAGACTTTTTAAGGCTTAAAATTAGGTAATAATGATAATGACATCAAACATTTATCGTATTCTAATGAATCATTTCAGTTTTACCTTGGCCAATGAAGTCTCACCTTGTAAACCAGGACAAAGCACACAAAGTATACTGATAGAATTCTAGCCGAGTATCTGAAATCTGAAAAAAAGTTATTATAACAAACATTTTATAACTTCATAATACCTAATCGAATGATAATGAATAAAATTGAAAATCAATTGAACAGAGAACCATTGAAGATCTTTCCATCTCAAATGTTCATAACTAAGGTTTAAATCAACTTTTATACAGATATGCAAACAAAATTGTATAACAAAAGTAGCCTTTTATTTAAAAAATAAACTATGCCAGAAGATAACTTATCTTGCACAGATTCCAAAAGTACAAAGTTTGTAGTCCTTTCCTCGAAATAAGGAATATGATGAGCTACTTCCCTTTTCTGTGTCGAGCTTACTTTTCTCTCATTCCAAATATGCATGGTTTCTCTGTATTTTCCTTTGAAATAAGGGAGATCATTTACTCTGATCGTTTACAAAATGTCACAGCCGGTTCATATGATAGCTTACTTTACACTTATTCAAAAATAAATGCTCTTCGAAATAAGGGAGATAATTTGCTACCTCCTTCAAAATGTCACGTTCCGTGTCATACGATAACGTACATTATACCGGGTTTGTACTTACATGAGAAACATGAAGGGTGCTTCTAGAAAAAGTCTATCCGTGGTAAGACATACATACATGAGTAGTATTGTTGTCTGTTAGAATGAACATACAGTGCATTATTGTTCCACGCAAAGGACAAATCGATACAAAGCAAAAAGCTCTCTTGTCACGCACACTAAAGACATTAATAAACAAAGCAATAATTTCTCATACCATGCATAGTAACCACATGGAGATTCAAATCTTTGATTTTTTGCGTGACGCTTAGAGAGGACACATGGATTCTTGGTTCGTGCATACTAGTATTAAGAACAAACAAACGTTGTTTGTGTCACGCATAGTAAGGACATATTAGAGACCAAGCAAACATTGTTTGTGTTACGTATAGTAAGGACATAGAGACCAACAAACATTGTTTGTGTTACGTATAGTAAGGAGATAGAGACCAAGCAAACATTCCTCGTGTCTCACATAGTAAGGACATAGAGACCAAGCAAACATTGTTTGTGTTACGTATAGTAAGGACATAGAGACCAAGCAAACATTGTTTGTGTTACGTACACTAAGGACATAGAGACCAACATCGTGTCACACATAGTAAGGACATATAGACCAATCAAACATGTTTTGTGTCTCGCATAGTAAGGACATAGAGACCAATCAAACATTCCTCGTGTCACACATAGTAAAGACATAGGGACCGATCAAACATTCATCGTGTCACACACAGTAAGGACATGGAGACCAATCAAACATTCCTCGTGTCACACACAGTAAGGACATAGAGACCAATCAAACATTCCTCGTGTCACGTATAGTAAGGACATAGAGACCAAGCAAACATGTTTTGTGTCACACATAGAAAGGACATAGAGACCAATCAAACATTCCTCGTGTCACACACAGTATGGACATATAGACCAATCAAACATGTTTTGTGTCACGCACAGTAAGGACATATAGACCAGTCAAACATGTTTTGTGTCACGCATAGTAAGGACATCGTGTCTCGCATAGTAAGGACATAGAGACCAATCAAACATCCCTCGTGTCACACATAGTAAAGACATAAGAGACCAACCAAACATTCCTCGTGTCTCGCATAGTAAGGACATAAGAGACCAAGCAAACATTCCTCGTGTCTCGCATAGTGAGGACATATAGACCAATCGAACATTCCTCGTGTCACACATAGTAAGGACATATAGACCAATCAAACATTCCTCGTGTCACACATAGTAAGGACATAGAGACCAATCAAACATTCCTCGTGTCACACATAGTAAGGACATAGAGACCAATCAAACATTCCTCGTGTCACACATGGTAAGGACATAGAGATCAATCAAACATTCCTCGTGTCACACATAGTAAGGACATAGAGACCAATCAAACATTCCTCGTGTCACACATAGTAAGGACATATAGACCAATCAAACATTCCTCGTGTCACACATAGTAAGGACATGGAGACCAAGCCAACATTCCTCGTGTCACACATAGTAAGGACATATAGACCAATCAAACATTCCTCGTTTCTCGCATAGTAAGGACATAGAGACCAATCAAACATTCCTCGTGTCAAACATGGTAAGGACATATAGACCAATCAAACATTCCTCGTGTCACACAAAGTAAGGACATAGAGACCAATCAAACATTCCTCGTGTCACACATAGTAAGGACATAGAGACCAATCAAACATTCCTCGTGTCAAACATGGTAAGGACATAGAGACCAATCAAACATTCCTCGTGTCACACATGGTAAGGACATAGAGACCAATCAAACATTCCTCGTGTCACACATAGTAAGGACATAGAGACCAATCAAACATTCCTCGTGTTACACATAGTAAGGACATAGAGACCAATCAAACATTCCTCGTGTCACACATAGTAAGGACATAGAGATCAATCAAACATTCCTCGTGTCACACATAGTAAGGACATAGAGACCAATCAAACATTCCTCGTGTCACACATAGTAAGGACATAGAGACCAATCAAACATTCCTCGTGTCACACATGGTAAGGACATAGAGATCAATCAAACATTCCTCGTGTCACACATAGTAAGGACATAGAGATCAATCAAACATTCCTCGTGTCACACATAGTAAGGACATAGAGACCAATCAAACATTCCTCGTGTTACACATAGTAAGAACATAGAGACTAAACAAACATTTCTCGTGTCACACATAGTAAGGACATAGAGACCAATCAAACATTCCTCGTGTCACGCACAGTAAGGACATAGAGACCAATCAAACATTCCTCGTGTCACGCACAGTAAGGACATAGAGACCAATCAAACATTCCTCGTGTCTCGCATAGTAAGGACATAGAGACCAAGCAAACATTCCTCGTGTCTCGCACAGTAAGGGCATAGAGACCAATCAAACATTCCTCGTGTCACGCACAGTAAGGACATAGAGACCAATCAAACATTCCTCGTGTCACACATAGTAAGGACATATAGACCAATCAAACATTCCTCGTGTCACACACAGTAAGGACATAGAGACCAATCAAACATTCCTCGTGTCACACAAAGTAAAGACATAGAGACCAATCAAACATTCCTCGTGTCACGCACAGTAAGGACATATAGACCAGTCAAACATGTTTTGTGTCACGCATAGTAAGGACATCGTGTCTCGCATAGTAAGGACATAGAGACCAATCAAACATCCCTCGTGTCACACATAGTAAAGACATAAGAGACCAACCAAACATTCCTCGTGTCTCGCATAGTAAGGACATAAGAGACCAAGCAAACATTCCTCGTGTCTCGCATAGTGAGGACATATAGACCAATCGAACATTCCTCGTGTCACACATAGTAAGGACATATAGACCAATCAAACATTCCTCGTGTCACACATAGTAAGGACATAGAGACCAATCAAACATTCCTCGTGTCACACATAGTAAGGACATAGAGACCAATCAAACATTCCTCGTGTCACACATGGTAAGGACATAGAGATCAATCAAACATTCCTCGTGTCACACATAGTAAGGACATAGAGACCAATCAAACATTCCTCGTGTCACACATAGTAAGGACATATAGACCAATCAAACATTCCTCGTGTCACACATAGTAAGGACATGGAGACCAAGCCAACATTCCTCGTGTCACACATAGTAAGGACATATAGACCAATCAAACATTCCTCGTTTCTCGCATAGTAAGGACATAGAGACCAATCAAACATTCCTCGTGTCAAACATGGTAAGGACATATAGACCAATCAAACATTCCTCGTGTCACACAAAGTAAGGACATAGAGACCAATCAAACATTCCTCGTGTCACACATAGTAAGGACATAGAGACCAATCAAACATTCCTCGTGTCAAACATGGTAAGGACATAGAGACCAATCAAACATTCCTCGTGTCACACATGGTAAGGACATAGAGACCAATCAAACATTCCTCGTGTCACACATAGTAAGGACATAGAGACCAATCAAACATTCCTCGTGTTACACATAGTAAGGACATAGAGACCAATCAAACATTCCTCGTGTCACACATAGTAAGGACATAGAGATCAATCAAACATTCCTCGTGTCACACATAGTAAGGACATAGAGACCAATCAAACATTCCTCGTGTTACACATAGTAAGAACATAGAGACTAAACAAACATTTCTCGTGTCACACATAGTAAGGACATAGAGACCAATCAAACATTCCTCGTGTCACGCACAGTAAGGACATAGAGACCAATCAAACATTCCTCGTGTCACGCACAGTAAGGACATAGAGACCAATCAAACATTCCTCGTGTCTCGCATAGTAAGGACATAGAGACCAAGCAAACATTCCTCGTGTCTCGCACAGTAAGGGCATAGAGACCAATCAAACATTCCTCGTGTCACGCACAGTAAGGACATAGAGACCAATCAAACATTCCTCGTGTCACACATAGTAAGGACATATAGACCAATCAAACATTCCTCGTGTCACACACAGTAAGGACATAGAGACCAATCAAACATTCCTCGTGTCACACAAAGTAAAGACATAGAGACCAATCAAACATTCCTCGTGTCACACATAGTAAGGACATATAGACCAATCAAACATTCCTCGTGTCACACATAGTACGTGTCACACATAGTAAGGACATAGATACCAATCAAACATTCCTCGTGTCACACATAGTACGTGTCACACATGGTAAGGACATAGAGACCAATCAAACATTCCTCGTGTCACGCATAGTAAGGACATATAGACCAATCAAACATTCCTCGTGTCACACATAGTAAGAACATAGAGACCAATCAAACATTGTTTGTCTCCCGCATAGTAAAGACATAGAGACCAATCAAACATCCCTCGTGTCACACATAGTAAAGACATAGAGACCAAGCAAACATTCCTCGTGTCACACATAGTACGTGTCACACATAGTAAGGACATAGAGACCAATCAAACATTCCTCGTGTCACACACAGTAAGGACATAGAGACCAATCAAACATTCCTCGTGTCACACATAGTAAAGACATATAGACCAATCAAACATTCCTCGTGTCACGCACAGTAAGGACATAGAGACCAATCAAACATTCCTCGTGTCACACATAGTAAGGACATATAGACCAATCAAACATTCCTCGTGTCACACATAGTAAAGACATATAGACCAATCAAACATTCCTCGTGTCACACACAGTAAGGACATAGAGACCAATCAAACATCCCTCGTGTCACACATAGTAAGGACATAGAGACCAATCAAACATTCCTCGTGTCACGCACAGTAAGGACAAAGAGACCAGTCAAACATTCCTCGTGTCACGCATAGTAAAGACATAGAGACCAATCAAACATTCCTCGTGTCACACATGGTAAGGACATAGAGACTAATCAAACATTCCTCGTGTCACGCATAGTAAGAACACGTAGATACCCACCAACAGTTTCGCATTTCGGACATAGAAAGGATAACAACAACCATGAACAAATTAAAAAAACATATTGACTTATTTTGTACTGTTAACATTTAATAAAACAATGATATATAACACATAGAATGAATTTCATAACAGTATGGACATGGACACACAATATTTAAATGATATCGTGTCGGTCACTGGCTGTCTGTCGACAACAAAGACTTCACGCAATTACAGTATGTCAGGGGATATACATAATTACTTTTTTACACATGTCCATTCATAAAAAATTTCTTGTGCATGAATTTATATATATATTTATATAGTCACGTTCATTTTGAAAGAATGAGTATATTCAGAGGTGATATCACCAAGTAATCGAGAGAAAAAAAGAAGAAAAATCTTTTCTGGCAATAAGTGAAACATTAAATAGTGTGTCAGTTATAGACAAGTAGTCCATCATGCATTGCAAATCATTCAGTGGATTGGTCAATCGCCAAAAAAAAAAAAAAAATGATTTATTTGTAAACAAACACTAATACATGCATTGACGGGGGCATACGTATGCTAAATAATACATGTCCGTATTAGGAAATGTGCCCGACCTATTAAATGCAGCTGTTCTGTTGATTTGAAAAACGAATGGACGGATCACAGCGATTTAATTTAGAATTGTACTTAATTTTCTTAATTCATGTTTAGTATCTATCCATGAATTAAATAAGTTCACAATACCTTTTATACTAGACAGTTTAAATGTTATTATTGCTTCGCATCACGGTGCGGAGCTATTAGTTTCAGTCGACATACACGCCATCTTGAAATAATTACTTATCACATATAGATTCCGATTGGTTGCTTTATGATGCGACTGAGATACAGCAACAGCTATTGGCTTAAATGAGATAAAGAATTAATTACAGATTTTTCTCGTCTCAGGACAAGACATCAAATGCCGGAAAATTAACTATGTGTATTTCAGTTCCGATCAACTGTTATTAATTCATGTTCGTTTTATTATGCATAATGCACACTGAAATTCAATATTGAAATGTCAATTATTAATACGTGTTTATTTGCTTTGTTAATCTTCAATATACACGATTTGTTTTGCTAAACAATGTTCCTATACAATGTTTACAAAAATGCATTATCTGTATTTTATAACTTCTGCCAACCTAGGCATACCTCCAGAGAGGCACAACTCCAGAGTCAAGTGAACAAAATTTTAAAAGCATGGGTGTATAACGCACACTCTTAAAGGAAATCCCTTTTATATCAATCAATATATAAAAATACCACATTTCCAATACTAAATCAACAACCACATGCACACATATTACCTTAAATTAGGATAGAGCGAAGCAGTCCACAGCTTTTTAGAAAGCTCAAACTTGTTACACTGTTACTGTTATGTTGACATAATAACCTGTACATTATCTCGTGTTACAGTTGACCAGTTTAGTCTTATGCACATAATTTATTATTCCAAAACAGATGTATTGTGAACATATCATTAAATTCATGGATATATATTGAAACACAGAAACCGAAAAAGAAGTGAGTACAATTCAAATTGTAAGGGGGCGACCATTCCTGATTCAGTTAAAATAAGGGAGGGCGTGGCTTTGCAAGAGGCTTTTGAAATCAGCACGAATAAAATTGCAAATAAACGTTTATACAGAATTTTCTCATCAAATATGCGTCCTCAAATAACAAAAAAAATAGTTTTAATAAGACAAAATTCATTGAAATTACTTGCTTGAATATAGATCCCGTAACTTTTGTTTTAAGTGTTCAGGTAATAACAAAATCTAAAATAAATATCAATGTTTCCACAAAAGCTACTCTGACTCCAATCAACGTAAATTTCATATGCTTCTTGATATTTTCACGAGTTATTTTGTGTTAGAATGATATTTAAATGATATTTAAATGTTCACGAAAATCTGATCGTCGGAGTCTTCGATGGGAATTCAAATATGTTCCGTGCCAAAAAATATGCAGCCCAGAGGACGAAAATGATTTTGAAGAAGGTCCGGGGGGTCTTATTACCAACAAAAATAATCTTATTATGAAAGTTGATCGTAGGTTACTGTACATCAACTAGTACCAATAAATGTTTTCTTATTTTTTAAGGAGCTGCAGAACGTTTGTGCAAGAAAAAAACAACTTTTTTTCTCTCGGTTACTTGGTGATATCGACTCTGAATATATTCATTCTGTCAAAAGAAACTTTTTGTTGTGAAAATATAAATATATTCAAAACAAATTCCTATAAACTTTCATGCAAATACTTTTATTTTATGAATGGACATGTGTAAAGATTGTAATTGTGTATATCCCCATTGAAAGGCCGCTGGCGTACTGTAATTCCGTGCAGTCTTTGTTGTCGACAGCCAGTGATACATACGATAACATTTAATTACCATGTGTCCATGTCCACGCTGTTATGAAATTCATTCTATTTTCATGTTGAAAGTTACACTATAAACACATCCTTATGTATAGTTTATAAGTTTACATACTAGGGTTATTTCTGTACAACCACGGCTTCAAACAAGAACTACAACAGCTCAGCATGTTGTCTTTACAACCCTCACCATCACTAAAGACCAGTCATAAAAAACAGCAATTAGTGTTATATTGAGAGAATGAGAAAACATCTATCGTTATAAATATATCTTAAGAAGGTAAGAAATATTTGTCTATAAGTATGAGTTATATGTAAAAAAACAAACCTTTTATTATTCGTCATCTGGTAATAGGTAAATATATATAATTGAAATACTGTTTTCTAACTCTACCCAATATGCCTCTGTTTTCAAGTAACATTTGAAATATCTTTTTCGTGGTAAGCTCATATTTAAGAATCTACCAACTAATATGTTTGGAACATGTTCTCCTCCTAAATATGACCAAATATTTATCACACGGCGTAAAACACCACAATGACAAAATGAATGAATCAATCAATAATGTTTTCTATTTATTTAAAAGAGTTTTCCCAGCATAAACTGCTCTAAATAACATAAGTAATATTTATTTTTTTTCATAATTCCTTCCACAGTAGATCAAATAAAGTTTACAAATAAATGTATGAGCTATTGGAAAGGACTTCCAGAAAAATGATTTGAATAGTCTAAACTTAATGCAAAAATTTACCCGTGATCTTCAATGATTGTCTTTGGAGGTTGGAAAGTTTTACGGACGTGTTTTCCCGCTAAAGAACCCCTTATTATTTCCATGCTATCCGTATGTGGTCCAACTGTGTTCGGTTTTGGGTTTATGAATGGTATGTGTGGTATAATATTCAGTGACAACAGAAATCTTGCTGGCAGCATAACTGCTAGATAAAACATAGATGCCAGTTTTGGCCAGTCCCGTAATACCAATAGGAACTGATTCGTCTGGAAGAGAATTAAACAAAATAAAATAAAATACAAGTTTATGAAAGCAACAATAAAACACAATATGTTACATTATTATAACCATTTATACCAGCTTTTCGCCACTCATCATATATTAGAATACAAATGCCATCCTCATTCATGTCGGTATTGGTTTCACGAATATCCCTTTTAAACTATATGGAAAATTATGTTTGTATTGTTTCCTCTAAAAATACGAAACTAGATTTGACCAACAATTGGTAAATGTATAACAGGAGGTCCGCTTCAAATGGTTTTCAACTCGGATGGATCGAATAGAAATATTGGGTTCAAAAGGCAATAATGATTGGCTGATTTTCGAGAGTATCTACATCTGAAACATAAAAGGCGAAAAGTTTTGAAATTCTAGTGGATTGATGATTTCAGACCCTCTACAAACGATCCGTATTTAATATTGATCGGGTGACAAACATGGTGGTATTGATCGCATGTAGCTTCCTTTATAACATAATGGAAATTCACAAAATCTAGTGTTCTGCTCTTTATACACTCGGCAAAATTTGTTTAAAATATCATCTACAAAAGATCTCTTGTTGGTATGGATCGAAATCAAACATGGTCGCACGAGAATCTGTTTGAATCTGATACGCTCATTTAAAAAGAACTCGTCGCAAAATGTTTTGATAAAGGAACTGTTCGGGACACAAAATCATAGCTACATGTTCAGAAGTTATCTTGAAGTTCGTTTAAAAAAAATCTAAAGGGGGAAAGGGGGAAGGGGAGGGGTCGGTGAGCTGTTCAGACTTTAGTTAACGTGTTATAAAAACTTCCCACTTCAAGTTGACCTCACCCAAAGGGTGACTGGGGAATAGAATGGACACTACAGGTCTTCTTCCGACTGGCAGTAAAACCCTTGCAAAGTGGGGCGTCCGTTAGGCTGTAAGGGATGTAAAAGTACACAGCCACGTCCGGTCAGAATGACGTTAATTCGATGCCTCGTGAGGAGAGTGCCACGCTCTCTGCACGTTAAGAACCCTTGTAACAACTATTTGAGGGATCCGCAGGTGGCCTGTCACAAGGCAAAATTTCAGTCCCTATACAATATACCCTCCCTTTTCAGTGGCAATCTAATTTCCCCGACCTTTATCCCGGACGTCCTCTATTACAGGACCTACCTATTGTATTTATTGTTAATTTGTTCTCGTCCTGAACATTCATGAAATATTTACCACTGGATGGTTAGCAAACAACAAAACTACGATTTTAGTATATCTGCTATAAAGTACCCCACTTTAAGTTGATCTTACTATACGAAAGTTACAACATGTATCGGTTTATTTTACGACTTTTATTAATCTGTTAAAAAGCTTCTCCGCGTATTTATACATCTATTGCAATCTAAAATTTTGGCTCACACTGAACAATCCTAATAAAAGATAATAAAAAAAATCGTTTTGAACGCGTCAGTGTTGTTAGTTTATGGTTTTTGCTGCTGTTTCCTTTTCTTGTTTTGATTGTTTGCTTTTGTTCCTTTCAGGTTTTCTGGTTCCAAGTTATCAAGTCGCTTATGAATTCTCGTTTCACCAACCAATACACTGCACGTTTTATATCTAATGATTGTTGACATTTCAAAAGTTGAAGAAATTAATTAAACACATATTTTTGTTCAAATAATTACCTAAACTTGATTAGACATCACTAGTAATTCTTGACTTCATATTTCAAACTTTATTGACATTTCATAAGTGTACTTACCGATGAAAGTAGATCCGAACAGCCAAACGTGATAAAGAATGCTTCGAACAAGAATACCCAAACGTGGAGAGTGCCCAAAATATATCCAATAGGTGTCCTCACAGTCAGGGCTCCAAAGACAGGGAAAAATATCAAGCCATAACATATTACTGACACAAGTATCACAAATACTGAAAGAAAACAAAATAAAACATTGACAGAAATCCAACAAGAAGAACATCTCTTGTTAGAATTACGGGATAATTGAAGAGAACTTTATATTTTGATGATATTGTTACGATTTTAAAGATTTAAAAAAAAAAATCATAAATTAACTCCAGAATACTATAGATCTTCAGGCTTCAATTTCATTACAATAAACCACTTGATTGCCAACGAAATATTGCCAGTCCTGGCATTGTACTGGTGAGCTTTGAGTATCACTATAATAAAATATAGAATTTTAAAACTTGTTCAGAAAACGTTGTGCTATAACACCGCTAGTAGTTTGTGTATCTTAAATGATTTCTCTGTACAGTGTAAGACTGATCAATATTAGAAAAAAGAAGTCGCAGTTTATTTGCCAATTATATAACTATCCATCAGAGACCAAAAGACGTGGATAAAGTTCTAGTTTTGATAACTAGAAGCTTATGATGCTTTTCCAGTATTAACTATTTTTCTTATGTTGTGTTGTTCCACCACTGTCCAAGGTTATTGTATGTATGTGTGGGTTTTTTTTTGGGGGGGGGGGGGGGGGGGTTGAGCGCTCACAAACATGTATAACCTCATCACAATTTGTATGTGCCTGTGCCTGCCCCAAGTCAGGTGCCTGTTATTTATTGGTTGTCGTTGATTGCTGTCAATTATATTTGTTTTATGTTTATTGTATTGCACATAAATCAGGCCGTTTGTTTTCTCGTTTGAATTGTGCTACATTTTATCATGTCGGTTGGTTTTATAGATGACTATACGGTATTGAAGGCCGTACGGTGACCTACAGTTGTTTACACCTATGTCATTTGGTTTCTGGTAGATAGTTACAGACTGGTGTGTCATTAGCAATCATACCACATCTTTTTTTTTACATAAGGTATCGGAAATTTTGTAGCACTTCCTTACCCACCTTGAGGAGTATCGTTTATAAAGTTTCTAGTGGTTGGAAACTCCATGAAATTTTGCTAAATTCTAATTAAAACTTTATAATGTTAGAAAACTTGGTGGATTATGTATGCAACTATTGACTGACTGTCTCATTTACATTGTTCTGTAGTTTTGTAACCTTTTCCTTTCATGTGTGCCGTACCGACACATGACTTGAACACACTTGTTATGTGCACTGGCTTTATAGATATAGGAAGATGTGGTATGAGTGCCAATGAGACAACTCTCCATCCAAGTCAAAATTTATAAAAGTAAACCATTATAGGTCAAGGTACGGCCTTCAACACGGAGCATTGGCTCACACCGAACAGCAAGCTATAAAGGGCCCCAAAAAATTACTAGTGTAAAACCATTCAAACGGAAAAACCAACGGTCTAATCTATATAAAAACGAGAAACGAGAAACACGTATGAACTACATAAACAGACGACAACTACTGTAATCAGATTCCTGACTTAGGACAGGTGCAAACATTTGCAGCGGGATTAAACGTTTTAATGGTACCAAACCTTCTCCCTTTTCTGAAACAATAGTATAACATCACAACATAGAAAAACACACTATAAAATATCAATTGGAAGGCTTAACTCAATCAAAAAACGTAAATAAACACACAATGAACGAATAAATTTGACCTGTGACACCTGAATGCAAATACACAGTTAATAAAAAATTACAAGGGATAAATAATTAAAGTCAAAAGTAAATAAACAGGTTTAAACAAAGTTAAAGTATGATATCACTGTGAAATGTCAAATAATTTTTAGAAAATCATCACTTTTGAAGAAACCTGCGTCATATTAGTACGCATTTGATTATAATCCCAAACCACAATTGATTGGGGTTATAACCAGTAGCTGATGAGCTTTATCTTACAGGACTGTTTTGCGTCAGGGGAGAAATTAACAAAGTGTAATGTTTTTCTGTGACTTCTTCAGGACTTTTATTGATTCAATTATAAACGATCAAACAAATGAACTTTTGTATATGATACTCCTACTGATTTTAGGTTAGGTTTTCTTAATGTTTGTCTGGTAAACCGGATTCATCTGTATTTTTTTTTTGTCCCACTTAGGGGCATTATGTTTTTCGGTATGTTCGTCAGTTCGTCCGTCCGTCTGTCCCTCTTCAGGTTAAAGTTTTTGGTTAAAGTTTTTGGTCAAGATAGATTTTGATGAAGTTGAAGTCCAATCAACTTGAAACTTAGTACACATGTTCCCTATGATATGGTCTTTCTAATTTTAATGCCAAATTAGAGTTTTGACCCCCAATTTCACGGTCCAGTGAACATAGAAAATGATAGTGCGAGTGGGGCATCCGTGTACTATGGACACATTCTTGTTTTAAACATATGGCTGTAATTTTATGAAGTGTTCAAACTTTAATGCGCGGAAACTTACTTCTTAATGAAAAATGTCCATTGAACTCAAATATAAATCTACCATTCAAAATAACTTCCGAACACAGATATGAGATGGCTCCAAACGCAGCAATGAACGACATCCTGTTTTTCATTTCGAAGATATTCATTGGGCTACAAGAAAAAGAAAAAGTACGTGTGATTACTATAATACAACTTGGTCTCGGTTTACTTTCTAGTTGTTAGGCTTAGGATAGCCTACTGATTCAATATACCAAACTTCTCTATTTATCAAATAAAGATTTCTAAAACATTTGAATAATATATTTTAAAATAGGGTACATTATTTTTGTATTCCTACAATTATTGCTAGTCAATTTAATGTTATTTAGCTTAAAGACAACAATCCTCAGCATGACAAATAATCAGTCTCACTATCCGGTCTTGATGCACATGTGTACTGATACTCACTACACAATACCCAGTTTTGATGTACATGTCTACTGATACTCACTACAAAATACCGGTCTTGATGCACATGTATACCGATACTCACTACACAATACCCGGTCTTGATGCACATGTGTACTGATATTCACTACACAATACCCGGTCTTAATGCACATTTATACCGATACTCACTACAAAATACCGGTCTTGATGCACATGTTTACCGATACTCACTACACAATACCCGGTCTTGATGCACATGTGTACTATACTACACTATACCTGGTCTTGATGCACATGTATGCCGATACTCACTACACAATACCCTGTCTTGATGCACATGTATGCCGATACTCACTACACAATACCCGGTCTTGATGCACATGTGTATTGATACAATATCCGGTTGTATATGCCATTTCTGTTGGACATTACGGTCCTCGAGAGTATCACCATTCCAGTAGTCAGCACTGTTGTGTTAACATGAAATATCATTGACACGACGATTTTCTTTTTGTTTTCTATGTTCTACAATTTCCTATTTGATTTGGCATTTTAACTGATTTGATTCGAGTTTTACTTTAAAGAAAGCTCATCTAGTGTACTAAAGAATAAGCCTGGTATCTTTGATGAGTTTTAACATGATACCTGGTCTTGTGTACATTTTTACGGATGCTTACTACTCAATATCCGTTCTTAGTGCACTTGTGTACACATACTCACTACACAAAACTTGGTCTTGTTGTACATTTGTACTGATACTCACTACACAATACCCGGTCTTGATGCACATTTGTCCAAGAACTTATTTTTTCTTGTCACCATAAACGAGAAAATAACAAATTCTAACACCTGAAAAAAAAAAAAAAAGAAAGACAGTAAATTTATCTTTTTCTTAATTAAAAATGTCGTTTCATCATAACTGGCTTCATTCGGTTAAATATAAGTTAAACACTTTGTGACAGAGATATAATTCAAAGTTTCAAGATGGCATTTCCTAATGAAAACGAGAATTAATAAAACGGATGATAAATATAATAATAAGTTTGTCCGTCTGCATAATTGATTGAGAGGCTTTTTATAGGCGACATGTGATTCTTCATATCACATCAAACTTTTTGTTTGTATGATACAGAAGTGGAATAAAACCAGCAAGCTAAAAAATGACTTTTGACTTTTGACTTTCATCTGTAATCTGTATATGATTTATTTTTTCGAAGCCCTATTCAAAAATAAATTATGACAAAATTTTCGTATTTGAATTTCTCTCGAGAGATGACGCAACAATCTTTTGATCGTGAATGAGCTTCATAACCAGATGATGTCCCGCCTGCAGCTCGAACAATGTGGTGAATATTTTCATCTCTGCTACTCGCCTTAGACGCACGCACGCAACCTTTTCATCGTCAAAACACCTCACCTGGTCTTCTCTATAAATGTCCTACCATTTATACAGATGAATTAAAATGAATTATCCAAAGAGAAATTCACGTGGTGAAATTCAATTTTTATTAATTTTCCCACAGTAACATTTTTTTTAGATATTCAGTTAGAAATTAAAATAACTATTTATAAAAAAAATTCGACCGAATTCGATTAGATTTGTTGATCTTTTAGGACATGTTCAATTCCAAATTAGACAGTTAACTGGGAAATAAAAACAAAATAAATGCTGCAAATTAAGAGAATAGAATAATTGTCAAGATTCCGTGAAAAATAGAAAAAATTTTTTTTTTGGAAAATCATAAGTCTTATACTTACAGACGGTATTAGCATCAGCTGGTAAAATAAGTACTGTCCTTCCTGAGTCAACTCCTGTGGATCACAGTCAATGTTACTGTAAACGAAGAAATAATCAATAAGTACCCCCATCCTGTGTCAACTCCTTTAGATCACAGTCAATGTTACTGTAAACAAACAAATAATCAATAAGTACCCCATCCTGTCAACTCCTTTGGATCACAGTCAATGATACTGTAAACAAAGAAATAATCAATAAATACCCGTGTCCTGTGTCAACTCCTTTGGATCACAGTCAATGTTACTGTAAACAAAGAAATAATCCATAAGTACCCCATCCTGTGTCAACTCCTTTGGATCACAGTCAATGTTACTGTAAACAAACAAATAATCAATAAATACCCCATCCTGTGTCAACTCCTTTTAATCAAAGTCAATGTTATTGTAACAAACAAATAATCAATAAGTACCCCATCCTGTGTCAACTCCATTGGATCACAGTCAATGATACTGTAAACAAACAAATAATCAATAAGTACCCCCATCCTGTGTTAACTCCTTTTAATCAAAGTCAATGTTACTGTAAACAAACAAATAATCAATAAGTACCCCATCCTGTGTCAACTCCTTTTAATCAAATTCAATGTTACTGTAAACAAACAAATAATCAATAAGTACCCAATCCTGTGTCATCTCCTTTTAATCAAAGTCAATTTTATTGTAAGCAAACAAATAATCAATAAGTACCCCCATCCTGTGTCAACTCCGTTGGATCACAGTCAATGTTACTGTAAACAAACAAATAATCAATAAGTACCCCCATCCTGTGTCAACTCCTTTTAATCAAAGTCAATGTTATTGTGAGCAAACAAATAATCAATAAGTACCCCATCCTGTGTCAACTCCTTTGGATCACAGTCAATATTACTGTAAACAAACAAATAATCAATAAGTACCCCATCCTGTCAACTCCTTTGGATCACAGTCAATGATACTGTAAACAAAGAAATAATCAATAAATACCCCATCCTGTGTCAACTCCTTTTAATCAAAGTCAATGTTATTGTAAGCAAACAAATAATCAATAAGTACCCCATCCTGTGTCGACTCCTTTTAATCAAAGTCAATGTTACTGTAAACAAACAAATAATCAATAAGTACCCCATCCTGTGTCAACTCCTTTAAATCAAAGTCAATGTTACTGTAAACAAACAAATAATCAATAAGTACCCAATCCTGTGTCAACTCCTTTGAATCAAAGTCAATGTTATTGTAAGCAAACAAATAATCAATAAGTACCCCATCCTGTGTCAACTTCTTTGGATCACAGTCAATGTTACTGTAAACAAACAAATAATCAATAAGTACCCCCATCCTGTGTCAACTCCTTTGGATCACAGTCAATGTTACTGTTTACAAACAAGTAATCCATAAGTACCCCCATCCTGTGTCAACTCCTTTGGATCACAGTCAATGTTACTGTTTACAAACAAGTAATCAATAAGTACCCCATCCTGTCAACTCCTTTGGACCACAGTCAATAATTACTGTAAACAAACAAATAATCAATAAGTACCCCCATCCTGTGTCAACTCCTTTGGATCACAGTCAATGTTACTGTAAACAAACAAATAATCCATAAGTACCCCATCCTGTGTCAACTCCTTTGGATCACAGTCAATGTTACTGTAAACGAAGAAATAATCAATAAGTACCCCCATCCTGTGTCAACTCCTTTGGACCACAGTCAATGATACTGTAAACAAAGAAATAATCAATAAGTACCCCCATCATGTGTCAACTCCTTTGGATCACAGTCAATGTTACTGTAAACAAACAAATAATCAATAAATACCCCATCCTGTGTCAACTCCTTTTAATCACAGTCAATGTTACTGTAAACAAAGAAATAATCAATAAATACCCCATCCTGTGTCAACTCCTTTTAATCACAGTCAATGTTACTGTAAACAAAGAAATAATCAATAAATACCCCATCCTGTGTCAACTCCTTTGGATCACAGTCAATGTTACTGTAAACAAACAACAAATAATCAATAAGTACCCCATCCTGTGTCAACTCCTTTGGATCACAGTCAATGTTACTGTTTACAAACAAGTAATCCATAAGTACCCCCATCCTGTGTCAACTCCTTTGGATCACAGTCAATGTTACTGTTTACAAACTAAGTAATCCATAAGTACCCCCATCCTCTGTCAGCTACTTTTAATCAAAGTCAATGTTATTGTAAATAAAGAAAAAATCAATAAGAACCCGCATCTTGTGTCAACTCATTTTAATCAAAGTCAAAGTTACTGTAAACAAAGAAATAAAAAGTACCCCCTCCTTTTACTGTAAACAAACAAATAATCAATAAGTACTCGGTGGATGATTGCACGAGTAAGTGGTTTAAATTTTATTTTCGATTTTAACCAAGAAGTGAATAAACTGACCCTATTAATACTCAAAACAGTATTGCTCGCTTAAATGCCGGTCATGACCTTCAAGAATTCTCCAAGAAACCACGAAGGGGGCTTCTAGTATGAGAAAGTAATTGAAATGTGTTAGTCAAAAATTGGGAATAAATATCTGCCCTTCAAATTATGATAAAATTGCATTTGAGAAAAGGGGGAAATAATTGGGCTCCCGTTCCATATACTAAAAATGGCAAGGCAAAATGGAAGTGCGACGAGAAGTAGGTCCTACCAAAATATCTTTTGACAATATGATTTGAAAAGCTGATATCATACTGTGTCTATAAATATTAAAAAGTCATATTATTAGTTGCTATATCCCTCCCTCCCCCCCTTTGAAAGGTTTAATGTTTTTCATTATGGACTCATTATTAATCGATGCAGGAATAATAAACTGTAAAAAAAATAATATACCATAAGGGACTTCTGAATTAAGTGAATAAATACTAACCTGTCTTGTGTACTTGTGTTGTACTCTGTCCAGTTTATAGCTGTATCTAATAGTACTGAGAGTATTGACAGAGACATCTACAAACAGAAATCTGTACTAACCTGTCTTGAGTACTTGTGTTGTACTCTGTCGAGTTTATAGCTGTATCTAATAGTACTGAGAGTATTGACAGAGACATCTACAAACAGAAATCTGTACTAACGTGTCTTGAGTACTCGTGTTGTACTCTGTCGAGTTTATAGCTGTATATTAATAGTACTGAGAGTATTGACAGAGACATCTACAAACAGAAATCTGTACTAACCTGTCGTCTTGAGTACTTGTGTTGTACTCTGTCCAGTTTATAGCTGTATCTAATAGTACAGAGAGTATTGACAGAGACATCTACAAACAAAAATCTGTACTAACCTGTCTTGAGTAATTGTGTTGTACTCTGTCGAGTTTATAGCTGTATCTAATAGTACAGAGAGAGAGTATTGACAGAGACATCTACAAACAGAAATCTGTACTAACCTGTCTTGAGTACTTGTGTTGTACTCTGTCGAGTTTATAGCTGTATCTAATAGTACTGAGAGTATTGACAGAGACATCTACAAACAGAAATCTGTACTAACGTGTCTTGAGTACTCGTGTTGTACTCTGTCGAGTTTATAGCTGTATATTAATAGTACTGAGAGTATTGACAGAGACATCTACAAACAGAAATCTGTACTAACCTGTCGTCTTGAGTACTTGTGTTGTACTCTGTCCAGTTTATAGCTGTATCTAATAGTACAGAGAGTATTGACAGAGACATCTACAAACAAAAATCTGTACTAACCTGTCTTGAGTAATTGTGTTGTACTCTGTCGAGTTTATAGCTGTATCTAATAGTACAGAGAGAGAGTATTGACAGAGACATCTACAAACAGAAATCTGTACTAACCTGTCTTGAGTACTTGTGTTGTACTCTGTCGAGTTTATAGCTGTATTTAATAGTACTGAGAGTATTGACAGAGGCATCTACAAACAGAAATCTGTACTAACCTGTCTTGAGTACTTGTGTTGTACTCTGTCGAGTTTATAGCTGTATCTAATAGTACTGAGAGTATTGACAGAGGCATCTACAAACAGAAATCTGTACTAACCTGTCTTGAGTACTTGTGTTGTACTCTGTCGAGTTTATAGCTGTATTTAATAGTACTGAGAGTATTGACAGAGACATCTACAAACAGAAATCTGTACTAACCTGTCTTGAGTACTTATGTTGTACTCTGTCCAGTTTATAGCTGTATCTAATAGTACTGAGAGTATTGGCAGAGACATCTACAAACAGAAATCTGTACTAACCTGTCTTGAGTACTTATGTTGTACTCTGTCGAGTTTATAGCTTTATCAAATAGTACTGAGAGTATTGGCAGAGACATCTACAAACAGAAATCTGTACTAACCTGTCTTGAGTACTTATGTTGTACTCTGTCGAGTTTATAGCTGTATCTAATAGTACTGAGAGTATTGACAGAGACATCTACAAACAGAAATCTGTACTAACCTGTCTTGAGTACTTATGTTGTACTCTGTCGAGTTTATAGCTGTATCTAATAGTACTGAGAGTATTGACAGAGACATCTACAAACAGAAATCTGTACTAACCTGTCTTGAGTACTTATGTTGTACTCTGTCGAGTTTATAGCTTTATCTAATAGTACTGAGAGTATTGGCAGAGACATCTACAAACAGAAATCTGTACTAACCTGTCTTGAGTACTTATGTTGTACTCTGTCGAGTTTATAGCTTTATCAAATAGTACTGAGAGTATTGGCAGAGACATCTACAAACAGAAATCTGTACTAACCTGTCTTGAGTACTTGTAATGTACTCTGTCGAGTTTATAGCTGTATCTAATAGTACTATGAGTATTGCCAGAGACATCTACAGACAGAAATCTGTACTAACCTGTCTTGAGTACTTATGTTGTACTCTGTCGAGTTTATAGCTGTATCTAATAGTACAGAGAGTATTGACAGAGACATCTACAAACAGAAATCTGTACTAACCTGTCTTGAGTACTTATGTTGTACTCTGTCGAGTTTATAGCTGTATCTAATAGTACAGAGAGAGAGTATTGACAGAGACATCTACAAACAGAAATCTGTACTAACCTGTCTTGAGTACTTGTGTTGTACTCTGTCGAGTTTATAGCTGTATCTAATAGTACTGAGAGTATTGCCAGAGACATCTACAAACAGAAATCTGTACTAATCTGTCTTGAGTACTCGTGTTGTACTCTGTCGAGTTTATAGCTGTATCTAATAGTACAGAGAGTATTGACAGAGACATCTGCAAACAGAAATCTGTACTAACCTGTCTTGAGTACTTGTGTTGTACTCTGTCGAGTTTATAGCTGTATCTAATAGTACTGAGAGTATTGACAGAGACATCTACAAACAGAAATCTGTACTAACCTGTCTTGAGTAATTGTGTTGTACTCTGTCGAGTTTATAGCTGTATCTAATAGTACTGAGAGTATTGCCAGAGACATCTACAAACAGAAATCTGTACTAACCTGTCTTGAGTAATTGTGTTGTACTCTGTCGAGTTTATAGCTGTATCTAATAGTACTGAGAGTATTGACAGAGGCATCTACAAACAGAAATCTGTACTTACCTGTCTTGAGTACTTGTGTTGTACTCTGTCGAGTTTATAGCTGTATCTAATAGTACTGAGAGTATTGCCAGAGACATCTACAAACAGAAATCTGTACTAACCTGTCTTGAGTACTTGTGTTGTACTCTGTCGAGTTTATATCTGTATCTTATAGTACACAGAGTATTGGCATATACATCTACAAACAGAAATCTGTACTAGTCTGTCTTGGGCACTCGTGTTGTACTCTGTCGAGTTTATGTGTGTATCTAATAGTACTGAGAGTATTGGCAGAGACATCTACAAACAGAAATCTGTACTAACCTGTCTTGAGTACTTGTGTTGTACTCTGTCGAGTTTATAGCTGTATCTAATAGTACAGAGAGTATTGCCAGAGACATCTACAAACAGAAATCTGTACTAACGTGTCTTGAGTACTTGTGTTGTACTCTGTCGAGTTTATAGCTGTATCTAACAGTACTGAGAGTATTGACAGAGACATCTACAAACAGAAATCTGTACTAACCTGTCTTGAGTACTTGTGTTGTACTCTGTCGAGTTTATAGCTGTATCTAATAATACTGAGAGTATTGACAGAGACATCTACAAACAGAAATCTGTAATAACGTGTCTTGAGTACTTGTGTTGTACTCTGTCGAGTCTATAGCTGTATCTAATAGTACTGAGAGTATTGACAGAGACATATACAAACAGAAATCTGTACTAACCTGTCTTGAGTACTTATGTTGTACTCTGTCGAGTTTATAGCTGTATCTAATAGTACAGAGAGTATTGACAGAGACATCTACAAACAGAAATCTGTACTAACGTGTCTTGAGTACTTGTGTTGTACTCTGTCGAGTTTATAGCTGTATCTAATAGTACTGAGAGAATTGACAGTGACATCTACAAACAGAAATCTGTACTAACCTGTCTTGAGTACTTGTGTTGTACTCTGTCGAGTTTATGGCTGTATCTAATAGTACTGTGAGTATTGACAGAGACATCTACAAACAGAAAACATGTCTACATCATTTGGTGTCTGATGGATCTTACCAATCATAACCTTATCTTCTTACTAGTATTTCAATATTAATTGTTATAGATATTAAACATCTTAAACAAATAAACAAGCAATTATGATATGTCGCTGAAATGTTTTTATTAATTATTGTCATTTAAAAATAAACAGTTCTGAGGGATAAAAAATTAACTGTTAAAAGAAATAATTCAACTCATCAAAACTTTTATTGATGAAGAACATCTGGAGACAATGTCTGTTGGTTCTGCTGTGTCGTTGTTTGCTGTCTCCTTAACATATACTGGCAACCCGGACAATCTCCGGGTATTCACATCTTAAATTTAATTATATAACAGTTAGTTAGATATTGACTTACCTCAAATGTTCAAGATTACGGGAAATGGTATCGTTCAAAACGAAATTAATGTTGTGAAATTCGATTTTCATTTAGTTTCCAACAGGCAATTTTACCATTATTCATAAAGACATATAGTAAGTAGAAATAGGGACAGATATATTTAAAATCAATATATAGTGTAATGGGATTTAAACTGTTAAAACGGATTAAATATTCGTAAATCATAATACATAATGACTTTTCTAGTGAAACATAATTAAAAAGGTTCTAGTTCTTGATCTTAAGTCCATAATCCATTTCATTCTAGTTACACAATATTTATATAAAACAAGTGTGGACACAGATCAGTGTGGATAGTATGTTTGGATGTTTGACAGTGTTTTCTGACAAAAAAGTTATCTGGGTTTTCACCATAGGGTTCTATGTTGTACACAGTGACAGCCAACCTGTACCAAACACTGAAAATAGCAGCGTCTTTTTATCTTGGCATTGATTGTTCCTTATTGTAACTTTTGGTTTCCAATGCTATTCAACTATATATTTGATTTGATGTTTTACCATCGGCGGATCCAGGGGGGACCCTGGGGGGCCCGGGGCCCCCCCTTTCGTGGGAAAAATTTGGTTGATTATATAGGGAATCACTGAAGCGTGACTGGAGCGGGCCCCCCCTTAGGTCAGTCAGCGGGCCCCCCCCCCCCCCCTTACAAAAAGTTCTGGATCCGCCACTGTTCACTGTAACAACTGATTGTATTGTTGCACCATTGATTAGTCAAATGGAGTCGAAACACACACTCCATTATCTAATATGATATAAGAGCTTAAACCGGAAGCACAGGGAGGCACTTTACTGTCTCCACACGGCAGTAAAGACAAACTGTAAAAAGTAAAATTGAGAATGGAAATGGGGGGTTATGTCAGGCCAAAAAAAAAAAATATGTCTGTTTAAGGTTACAAACTTTAAAAAAATAGGGTAGGTAGGTCGGTATTTCCATTTTATTTTATTTTTTCATTTTATTTTTTGTGACATGATTTTGAGTCATGCCGTTTCGACTTGTCGTGATGTGAGTTGATCATGGGCCGAGTTTACCCGTATTTTTGATGATTGGATTATTTCCCTTGAAAAAAATGGCGGCAAAGTGTTTATTTCATCACACGAGTTGCGAATTTCCTTAAAACAGCTGTCATATTCACGATTGTGAACATTTGGATGTATCAGGCAATTGATTTATATCATTTGCAACACTAACTTCGCTTTTGACACGAGTTCAGTTTATTTTTCACTTTACGACGGAAATAAAATGACTTAGGGTCGGCGCTCAAAAGTAGGGTCGGTCGGGTAACCGTAAACAGACATATATTTTTGTTTGGCCTCAAAGAGACAACACGACCAAAGAGCAGATAATTAATATTACAAAAATAGATTTACAAGAAGATAATGAAAAGGTAAGGGTAAATAATGCACAGGAAAACAATTAGAAGGGTTGAGAACCCATGGGTTTCATAGATAATTGGGTTTTCCTTAGTATGAATTGTGTTTTTGAACGTTGCAATAGTCAATTGCATTGGGTTTTCAATTGTTTTCATTGCATGATCACACAAATATGCATATTATCTAGATATGGAGTTCTGTAATATAAACTAACCAATATGTTTTTGGGGCAGGCCCCTTAATATCAAAAGAATGAGATACATGTATTCAAATGCTCCTTCAGCTGCATTATAGTACACGCATATACCATGTATCATTGACTTCCCTTAAGTGTTTCCTGTTAAAATAACCTACAGGTAAACAAACAGTAATGTGGACTTATATCATAGGTGGAGGAAGCCAGAGGGTTGGAAAACTGACAATCATAGTCAATAAAGATTATATTTGAGTCAAAATTTGTAATCATAATCTTTAACAAATTGTTAACATCATTGGTTATATAAAACAATAATAAATGCATGAATAAATGATACTAATACACTGCATACAATAATACTAGCACACTGTATAAAATGATACTAATACACTGTATAAAATAATATTAATACACTGTATAAATGATATTAATGAACTACTGTATAAAATATTACTAATATACTGTATAAATAATACTAATATACAGTATAAATAATACCAATACACTGTATAAATAATACTAATACACTGTATAAATAATATTGATACACTATATAAATAATACTAATACACAGTATAAATAATACTAATACACTGTATGAAATAATATTAATACACTGTATAAATAATACTAATATACAGTATAAATAATATTAATACACTATATAGATAATACTAATACACTGTATAAATGATATTAATGAACTACTGTATAAAATATTACTAATATACTGTATAAATAATACTAATATACAGTATAAATAATATTAATACACTATATAGATAATACTAATACACTGTATAAATGATATTAATGAACTACTGTATAAAATATTACTAATATACTGTATAAATAATACTAATATACAGTATAAATAATATTAATACACTATATAGATAATACTAATACACTGTATAAAATAATACTAATACAGTGTATAAATAATACTAATACACAGTATAAATAATACTAATACACTGTATAAATAATATTAATACACTGTATAAATAATACTAATACACTGTATAAATAATACTAATACACTATATAAATAGTCTAACACACTGTATAAATAATACTAATACACAGTATAAATAATACTAATACAATATATAAATAGTCTAACACACTGTATAAATAATACTAATACACTGTAGAAACAATACTAATAAACTGTATAAATAACACTAATACACTAATACTAGTACGACATGTATGATCAACACAACAATTATCAATACTATCAGTGGAATTTCCCGTGGACCAGCATTCGCCCTGGGTTGAATTTCCTAAGGACCAGCATTCAACCTCAGTTATTGTGGGATTTCCTAAGGACAAGCATTCATCCTCAGTTATTGTGGGATTTCCTAAGGACCAGCATTTACCCTCCAGTTGTTGGTGTGATTTCCTAAGGACTAGCATTAACCCTAAGTTATTGGTGGGATTTCTTGAGGACCAGTAATAACCCTTAGTTATTGTGGGATTTCTTAAGGACCAGCATTCACCCTCAGGTATTAATTTGATATCCTAAGGACCAGCATTCAACCTCAGTTGTTGTGGGATTTTAAAAGGACCAGCATTCAACCTCAGTTGTTGTGGGATTTTAAAAGGACCAGCATTCAACCTCAGTTGTTGTGGGATTTCAAAAGGACCAGCATTCAACCTCAGTTATTCGTGGGATTTCCTAAGGACCATGATTTCGCCCTCAGTTTTTGGTGGGACTTCCTAAGGACTGCGTTCAACCTCAGTTATTGGTGGGATTTCCTAAGGACCAGAATTCACCCTCAGTTATTGATGGGATTTCCTAAGGACCAGCATTCACCCTCAGTTATTGGTGGGATTCCCTAAGGACCAGCATTCACCCTCAGTTATTGGTGGGATTTCCTAAGGGCCAGCATTTATCTCAGTTATTGGTGAGATTTCCTAAGGACCAGCATTCACCCTCAGGTATTGGTTGGATTTCCTAATGACCAGCATTCACCCTCAGTTATTCATGGGGTTTCCTAAGGACCACACATTTACCCTCAGTTATTGGTGGAATTTCCTAAGGGCCAGCTTTCACCCTCAGGTATTGGTTGGATTTCCTCAGGACCAGCATTCAACCTCAGTTATTGGTGGGATTTCCTAAGGACCAGCATTCACCCTCAATTATTGTGGGATTCCCTAAGGACCATCATTTATCCTCAGTTATTGGTGGGATTTCCTAAGGACCAGCATTCGCCCTCAGTCATTGTTGGATTTCTCAAGAACCAACAATCAACCTGAGTTATTGTTGGATTTCCTGAGGACCAGCATTCATCCTCAGTTATTTGTGGGATTTCCTAAGGACCAGCATTCAACCTTAGTTATATGTGGGATTTCCTAAGGACCAGCATTCACCCTCAGTTATTGGTTGGATTTCTTAAAGGACCAGCATTCAACTTCAGTCATTGGTTGGATTTCCTAAGGACCACCCAACACCAACCCTACCAAAACCGGGCGGTGATCTCATGTGCTCCGGAAGGGTAAACATATCCTGTTCCACATGTGGCACCCGTCGTGTTGATCATGTAAGTACAAACCAGGTGATAAGTCTAAATCGGTAGGTCACATTTGGGAAAAAGGGGACAAGATTGTGATTACGAAAACTGGAATATATCCGTCGTCATCTGTGAAACAGATATTCCATAACGGTCAACCAACTCGTGATGGTGTCCTCTAGATTTTTCGAAGTGAGGATTTCAACTTCACTACATGGAAATCTTGGTATAATAGCTTCCTTGTGAACACCAACCCTCTTTCAAGGAAATCATGATAGGAAATGCAAACCCTGCAATATCGCATTAACTGGGAGATAAATACTCCATCAATTTCTAGATGTAAGTCAAAATATGAGGCAGACTTAACGGTATCTGTTGTATCTTTTATTTCAAGTTCGATGGGATAGATGTGTTCAAAATAGTTACCAAATGAGTGGCAACCATCTATATAGCGGAATGTGCAGTTTAATACTAGCTTCTTTTCATTTTCCTGTATGGAATCAACCTCATATGAAAAAAGGAACTAGTCGGCAAGATGAGGAGCACAGTTGCTTCCCATGGGAATTCCGATTGTTTGTTGAAAAAAAAAGTCTCCAAACGTAAAAAATATGTTGTCAATCAAAATATCACGCATCTTGATAATGTCAGTCTCAGAGAATTTTTTGTTTGGATCAGAGTGATTTTTTGCAAAGTACGATTTATCCCTCCCTAAGAAAAGATACTTGTATCTACGTTGACCATTCTTATGTATGAAACAAAGCAAGACCAATACTTTCAATTTGTCTTTTAGTTTGGAATGGGGAATACTTGTGTAAAGGGTAGAAAAGTCAAATATTTTAATACTATTGCAAGAAGAAAGAGTTTCAGATTGTATGTTCTCTAACAGAGCTTCCGAATTCTTTAGTATCCACATCTGACTCACGCCCCCTCTAGCATATGTATTTTCACTGTATCTTTGAAGCCCGGCTTTATTTGTGGATAAAATTGATGTTGACAATTTAGAATCAGATTTTTGGTAGCACTTGAAAGACCCGGCAATACACGTATAACGTTGTTTGTAAGGACACTTATGTAATTTAGGTATCCAATACAGTGAAGGGAGATCAAGTTTTTCTTTTTTGATTGAAATTCTAAAGGAACATAGAACATACCTATAATCATCTAAGTTTCCTCCTTGGTAAGTGCCGTGGGGGTATATATTGAGTTTCCAAGTGAATTGTTAATACCTAATTCATTTGGAAAGCAGCTTGTGTAATGTGATTTACACATCAAAAAACGCTGTTGTTTGGGGCTTTATCTGCGGTGACAATAATATATTTGTCATGGAGGTAGGACAGGTGCTTTGCAACATTTTGATCTTCAAAGATTGATTTAGTATGTGTATTCAAAGAACCATTCAGTGTTTTTAATTATCATTTGTATCATCGACCTCACAGCCTGCATACATTCGGAAAGAGTATCTACGTCTTCTTTCTCGCGTTAAACCAATTACCTGGTATAATCCTCGTCTGAATCCATCAGTATTTTGAAGTTGTGTTTCCAATTGATGGATTTAGGCTGATGATTTTTTGGGCCTTTTGATTACACATTTCGCAGAGAGGTGTTATTGACAATGTTAAGGTCATCAATAATAACGTGGCCGGCCGATTGAAATCAAAAGGTTTAGACTTGAAGTCGTCAATATTTAGAAACAATGCAACACGTGTTTGTTATTGAACATTTTAGTTGCAATTGGTTTGATATATAGGTACAAGAAATGATAGGTACAGACTGATCTTTAAAATATGATGGTATTTTCGAGTGAACTGATTTATGATGACGGATATTTCACAAGTTGATGGCATCGAGACCTTTGTTGGCAAAGAAAGGATCTGTTCTCCTTTTCATCTTTTCCAATGCGAACTGGTTTGAAAAGTCTGTGATAATTTAGTATTGCCATATTTAGTATTTAGTAAGAGGATATTTCCTCCTTAACTATTTCACCATATATTATAATGAAATGATTTTATTTTTTGTTTGTTTAGTTTTTGCTTTGGTTTTTGATTACCTATATGCGCTGATGATTATTTGTGCCTGTATACATACTACAAACGAAAAACATCCATGGTACAGATTTCTGGATGCTGTGACAAATGTCCTCGGTGAACACATACTATTGCCAAGAACAACAATTTTCTTTTTGCCTCTAAAATGTTTCGTCTTATATTGAAAGATATTGTGACTAAGTTTATAATGTAGTGTTGATATTTTTGAATCTATTGAAATATTTTTTTTTTTATTTCAAAAAGACTTATCGTAAGATAAAGTCATAGATGAAAAATTTCACAAATAAATTTCCTTTCTGCGACAAATTTGTTAATTGCAGTAAAAATCTAGAACAATTATTTGCATCTATTTGCAATAAAAATATCATTTAGACCCCTGATCTACCTAAAATATAAGTAGTTATACTGAGACCGCGGGCGTCCACAGGATAAGCGTCTTGTATTATTATACATTCATTACATTTAATTGAATGACCAGAAATTATCAATATATCAAAAACTGAAATAAAAAATTTACTAGATGCATTTTGTTTTTGTTTAAGAGAAGGTTCCGTGTGAAGTTTGCTTAATATGAACACATACACATTTTGACCAGTAGACTGCACAATTAGAGACTGTCTGTTGAAAAATAAATCCACAAAACTCAACAAACAAAAAGTATGAATTTATGACATAAAACAAGCAATTTGTATCTACGATTCTAATTCTCTGTTTAATGAGACGATGTATTCGATTTTTTTATTAAGCATTAGGAAAAGTTGTGAAGAGCGTAGAAAAAAAGCAAAAATTTTGATACTACTGCAAATTTGTAAATTTTTTATAGATTGTTTTGATTTGGGATTTTGGACTATATCTTTAAAATGTATAACATCACTGGTTAATCATACCTCATCACAATATTTATAAGTACCTAATTTTACTGTAGAAAGAATGGTAGTAAGAACTGTATAAACCATCGTCCTTTTTATGTTATTACCAATAAACACGTAAATGTTTTAAATGAGCAAATCAGTAATATTCCTACACAATGCATAATGTCATTACCTTTATTCAAGAACAAGTCGTCAACCTATTTCTAGGACAATATAGACCATTAGGAAATGCCGTAATCATATCATGTTTACATATTTTGTATTGAAATTAAGTAAACCTTTTATTTGATTTTTAACGATAATAATATTAAGATCATGAACACCCCCAGATACTACGGCAGATATCCGCATATCAAAACAAAATCAAGTTAATGTTGAGCCGTGTGATTTTTCGGTCTCCCAATGTTCAGCCGAGTGGTTTTTCGGTCTCCCAATATTCAGCCGTGTGATTTTCCGATCTCCCAATGTTCAGCCGTGTGATTTTTCGGTCTCCCAATGTTCAACCGTGTGATTTTTTGGTCTCCCAATGTTCAGCCGTGTGATTTTTCGTTATTCCTATGTTCAGCAGTGTGAGTTTTTCGTTATTCCAATGTTCAGCAGTGTGAGTTTTTCGTTATTCCAATGTTCAGCCGTGTGAGTTTTCGTTATTCTAATGTTCAGCAGTGTGAGTTTTCGATATCCCTACTTTGATTTTATTTAAACTGAATCAATTACAATCAATCCACACCAACAGGTTAGAGGTCAGAAAACACCCCAAAAATTGAAAGTCCATTTTACATGTACTCGACAATATAAAATCAAATGCCGATAAAAAAAATCATCCATTGATATCTGTTAAAAATATGAACACCTACCATAAATAGACATACAATGTAGGGAAAGCACGACCTTTTGTGAGCCTTATGGATAACATTAAACGTTTTCTTTTTCTATCACTAATATACATTTTTTTAATTTTTATTTTAATATGTTCAGTAATATCATACAAGTTTAAGTAAAAAAGGCTGCTGATAAAACGCATTGTTCAGGTTTCAGACTTTCATTTGCACATCTTTTTCTGGAACTGTCTGTAAATAAAATAAATTAAAGATTTAAATTTCTATACGTTCACGTTCAACACAAAGGCACACGTACTGAGAACAATATTTGGAAAGTTCAGGTTGTGACAAAACATTTAATGCGAAACCATAAATAACGCTTCAAATATTTAATTCAGTATTAACTGACTTTGAGTAGAGAGTGTTACTATTTCTTTTCACTACCTGGGACATAATACAAATATTTTAACACAAATAATTGAATATTGCATGTGGAGGCAAGCTACTGTGTTATAATATTGTTTATACACTAATTATTCTTCAAGCTGTGCACAAAAGGAACGTTTTACACCTGACTTTAATCAATTTTCTGCATTCCTAGAATTATTCCTTTCCCATCCTTTTGCATTTCAAAATGTTGTGGTGCTGACCAATATATAGTACTAATCCGGATCATGTTTTACTATGGACCTCATCATGAACCGATGACATAGCGCCCAAGATTACACACTTGTGCAGTAATATTTTTATTCGTGATCGGAAACAACGACAACGTAAAAAGTAAAATAGCAAAAATACCGATCTCCAAGGAAAATTAAAAACGGAAAGTCCCTTAACAAATGGCAAAATTAAAAGCTCAAACACATCAAAAGAATGGAAAACAGCTGTCATATTCCTTACTTGTTACGTGCATTTCCTTATGTAGAAAATGGTGGATTAAATCTGGTTTTATAACTAGCTCAACCTCTAACTTGTATGACAGGCGCATAAAATTCCATTATATTGACAAACAATACAGTTTTATATCAATTTCATGTCGTTATTTGTGTGCTTATCTAAACTGTATTTTTACTTTTTCACCGGCATAACTTCAAAACAATAAAATAATTTCAATACGCACCACTGAGACAGAAATTTTGTCTTTGTCTTCATTTTTTGATTCAACAAAACCAGCCTTGCTAGGTCGAAGTTTAGATAGATAACTTTTTCTCATTATGCGTAGTTGAGGATTATAATGCAACATACACGCAAGCTGCCATCTTCGGATAGCTGATCTATGAGGTTGACCTTTCATGGTGTATTTGATGTCATAAAGTTCTACAATAAAAATTCAAAAATTTACAAATAAGTCATAATGGGACTTCTTAAATCCCCATCCCCCCAAAAAAATTAAAATAAATAAAAACAGATCTTAAATACTAATAAAAATAAACATATCATAGATAATATGGTTAATTATATCGATGTACTTAGTGTCATTCAGTTGGGGGTTTATACACTTAAGATTTCGTTATTGACATACAGTAGCATGTTTCTCTGTTAATACCTGGACACTATTTGTCATACCTGGCCACTATCTGTCATACCTGGGCACTATTTGTCATACCTGGCCACTATTTGCCATACCTGGCCACTATCTGTCGTACCTGGCCACTATCTGTCGTACCTGGACACTATTTGTCATAACCGGAAACTATTTGTCATACCTGGCCACTATCTGTCATACCTGGACACTATGTGTCATACCTGGACACTATTTGTCATACCTGGACACTATTTGTCGTACCTGGACACTATGTGTCATACCTGGACACTATTTGTCATACCTGGACACTCTTTGTCATACCTGGACACTATGTGTCATACCTGGACACTATGTGTCATACCTGGACATTATTTGTCATACCTGGACACTCTTTGTCATACCTGGACACTCTTTGTCATACCTGGACACTATTTGTCATACCTGGACACTATTTGTTATACCTGGCCACTATTTGTCATACCCGGACACTATTTGTTATACCTGGACACTATTTGTCATACCCGGACACTATTTGTTAAACATACATCAGAACAACTGTATATGTTTTATATGTATATAAATAGTACAAATTTACCATTGTCAATGCCCTTCTTGTTTTTAGTGTCATAAGTTGTCTTCCTTTTCAACAGAGACAGAAACGTTAACACAATGGGATTGAAATGGGCGTTCTCCATATGCATGAATCCAACATAGGCATCAAATCCTGAAAAAAAAAACATCATTATTTAAATAACCGATGTACAGATTTCTTTATAACGACCCCAGTCATTCAAGAGATATTACTCAAATAACGAGTCGACTAACAAAAAAAAACAAAAAAAAAAAAACACACGCACAAATTGATAAAATTTTCAAAGACAGTGAACTGACAATTTCAACCGTTTATATATTTTGTCCTGCTGAATATCACCTATCTACTTAACTATAGTTAAAAAGAAAAAGAAACTCAAAGTTTGTATGAAAAAACCATCCTTTAAGGGCTAGAAGTTGCATGACGATTTCGCCCATTTTAACTTATTTGTAAATCTTGTCCTGGTGATCGTTTCTCTCTTACTACTTTAGTTTTCACAAAAAAAAACCCCATAAAAATGGACAAACAAAATCGTCTTTCAAGGGCAGTAACTTCTATAATGAGTCGACGACCTATATAGATATAGGAAGACGTGGTATGGGTGCCAATGAGACAACTCTCCATCCAAGTCAAAATTTATAAAAGTAAACCATGATAGGTCAAAGTACGGTCTTCAACGCGGAGCTTTGGCTCACACCGAACAGCAAGCTATAAAGTGCCCCAAAAATTACTAGTGTAAAACCATTCAAACGGGAAAACCAACGGTCTAATCTATATAAAAAACGAGAAACGAGAAACACAAGTTTTTATGAACCACATCAACAAACGACAACTACTGAACATCAGATTCCTGACTTAGGACAGGTGCAAACAATTGGAGCGAGTTTGTTTCACCGGAAAATATCGTCAATGACGCACGCCCTTATGACGTCATTTACCAGATGGAAGGCGCGCCTGTACCCTTGCACTATTAAAGTTTCAAACATTTTCAGGATCGTCGATCTGCAGGGTAGTCCAGAGGCGGATTCAGGCGAGAGCGTGGCGGGCGTGCGCCCCCCCCTAAAATTTGCAAAGCATGGGTTGTCCTCAACTTAATAAAGAATCGCTCCGCTCGCCGAAAATTTAAGTTTTCGCCCCCACCCCTAACCTAAAATCCTGGATCCGCCCCTGTAGTCTAGAAATAATTTATGGTTCGTAAGTACGTAAACTCAATTCCCGTACGACTGAAGGGAGCGTGACCAACTTATTAGATTGTTAAAATTTTCCGAATGTTTTGTGCAGTATAGCATCAAACTTTTTCACCCGTTCGCTCAACATGTGTTGGAAGTGACGATTCCTACATTTTGGTCGCGTGGAGTTTAAAGTCAAATGGTAGATTCAACTAACTACCGTATCTCGGAACTGTCGTATTTCGGCGATGTTGACTTATTTGTATAGCTTGTCCTGCTGGTCATTGATGTTTACAGTTTCACTCTATCTATTTTAGTTTTAAAGATAATAGTCAAAATTGAAATGCATTGTCATTTCAGGGCAATAACTCATATAAGTAGTCGTCGTGACAGTTTCGGTCAAAATGGACGGTAGGTAGATAATTCAGAACATTTCTGTCTTGTTAGATTTTCTATTTCTTTGACGGTTTACAACTTCCATTTCATCCCTTTATTTTATTTTTAGCATTGTTGGATATGTGCGTTAACAAGCGCGATCATCTGACATATTTGTTTTACATAGATACTCCTTAGATGATTATGATTAAGTTTCGTTCAATTCGGCTCAGTATTTTCACAGGAGATGCTTTATGTAAAAGTTAACGGACGAAGACGGTCGTCAGAAGACAGAGAAGGTGATGCAGGACGTACATCAATGAGACAACAACCTAACAATACACAAAACCTTCATTGACATCTAGTGATCAATTTACGGTCTAGCACAAACTATCAGACGTGTCTATAACTTTGTCAAGCTTTAAAGTAGTAGTGAATATCACTACAAACCAGTAAAAGTCTGAAATGGCCTATATCTGTACTCGACTATACTGATTTTTACTCGACCAGTCTGAATTGGTCTGAATTTTACTCGACATTACTCGACCCTAGTCTTAACCATACTCGACCGTACTGATTTGTACTTGACCCTTATCTTTGCCATTGAAAATAGTCTGAACTATTACTCGACCAGTCTGAAACAGTCTTAACCCATTCTCGACCTGTACTCGACCAATTTTTTCAGTTTAAACCATACTCGACCAAAGGTCTGAACAATACTTGACCAGTCTGAACCATACTTGAGCAAAACACCTATACTTTTTTTAATTTTAGCTGTTAAAATTAATTTCTTTTTTTCTGACACAACAACAGCCACAATAAAATAAAGATATATATAAAAACATATTTTTACATCCTTACATGATTCTCAGATTCATCAAATAGAGATAGTTAAATTAAATTATCTTATATAATAATTTAATTATATTAATTTAAAGTTTTAGAGTTTTGTTAAAAAAAAGATTTTCTTTAACTTAAAACCACACCTTTACTGAGGGTAATAAAACCTTATTAAGGTGCTTCTTGTTTGGCATGTGTTTTTTTTTTTTTAAACTTTATCTTCCTAAATACCTAAAGAAAAACTATATAGGTTTCATGGTTACATACTATAGTTATAAAATTATCTTTTTAATGAGGTAACATCAGCCAAAAAATCACTGAAATTGTTTAAACTTATATTAGAAATATATCTATTCTAATTATAATTTGGGATATATTATATATAATATATATCAAAAAGGGATAAAAAAATTAAAGAAATAGATAAAATTTTTCTTCTGATTAGTGGTAAAGTATAAAGTAATACCTCCTGCTTGGGGAAACTCATTAAAAAGATCACACCTGGTCAGAGAGTATTAATTGCTAATTAACATTCATTAAAAATTGCAACATCCTGTAAAACTTAAATCACAAGGCCTTTTGAATTCACTAGATAAGTAATACACGAGTTTAAGAAAAAAAGGGCTTTCTTTTTACCTGTAAAACACACATACTGAGGTAATCAAACCTTATTAAAGTGCTTCTTGTATGCCATGTCTTTAATTTTGACAAAAGTTTTTCTTGTAATAATTGAAATAAATTTTTTCTGCAACTTTGGAACACATTTCCTTTTTTAAATGGTTATCAAGGATTGCTATGGAAGTTCTATTATCATGATTATATTAAATTCTTGGTTTTACAAAACAAAGGTGTGATTTTTAAAATTTATTAAGTTGCTTTATATACTATTTTAAATATATTTTAATAAAAAAATGTTCACTGCATTATTAACTAAACTCAAATGACACCATAAATCTATACAAGGCTTAAGTAAATATTGAAAATTGTCCAGTAACCATTATAACCAGTATTTGAATAACATTGAAAATATAAGTCACAATTCGGTTTTGAGATTATTTGATCAGCTTGTTTTATTTTAATTTTAATTTTAAAGGTGATATATATATATGTAAGTGTTGAATTTATATTATCTTTATTGTGAAATTTTGGTTTCAATGTCATATTGAATACATTTTAAATTTCAAATTGTTGTTCAAATTTCTAGCCAGGGGAAATAGCTGTTAAAACAGTTCCTAAATTGATGAAATACAATAAATAGATACAAAAATTAGGTCTAGGTTGGTTAAGACTTAGTCGAGTATGGTTCAGACTAGGTCGAGTATGGTTCAGACTAGGTCGAGCATGGTTCAGACTAGGTCGAGCATGGTTCAGACGAAAATAAAATGGTTAAGTACTGGTCGAGTAAAGGTCGAGTACAAGTTCAGACTGTTAAGTATGGTTCAGACTACAGTCGAGTATTATCAAGTAAATTTCAGACCAATTCAGACTGGTTGAGTAAAAATCAGTACAGTCGAGTAAAAAAAATAGGCCATTTCAGACTTTTACTGGTTTGTAGTGTATAGATTTAACCGAGACTAGATATGCAATCAACACCGAACACCCGAAAATGAGACATAAAAAAGTAATAAAAACCATACAGATAAGACAAAAGACAACCAGTAAGATGGTTCATGACCAGGGAAAGGTATATGAAAATATGGCGTTAAATAATCAGATAATTATATTATATATAAGACACATAGATTGCTTTTTTGGAATTTTGACATACATTAACCATTTATGTTTATATACACGTCTTGCTTGAAACAGTGAGAAAATGCAATTCTATATTATATATATTTTTTTAACAACATTATATTTTTATCTATCAAATATTGCTTGTTACAAAAACCATCAATATTCCAAGCTTCTCTTGACGTACCCTGTTACACTCCACAGACTACCCAAGGTATAATCAGCTGATGAGATTTATTGACATATACATTATAAACATATAAACACTAGAATAACAATACTAGAAAATTATTCATTGCTTATGTTTCTTTTAATTGTTAGTAATATTGGATTTATTGTCTTATGTTCATTAATATTGGTGTCTACTTTCTTAGTATATTCATTCGCAAAAAATCTGTAGACATCTATGTTTTTTTTGTTTTCTGCTCAGATACATACTATGACTTATATATAGAAAACTAAGTATTGTAATTAAAAAATTTATTGAGTAATACTTGTTGTCTGTAATTTTGTATCCAAATATTAGGTGTTGTAGTTTTACTACAAAATCTATATAACTTCCTTTTAATAGCTCGTATATCGGTTGCCAAAATCTTGTCAATTAAGAACAATTCAAAAAATAATGAGCATAGTCTTCTCCTAGGTTACAAAAATTACACATATCATTGTTAGTTATTTTCCATTGTAATAAAACCTTTTTTGTTGGCACAATAAATTGTAATAATTTCCATCTGAAGATTTTTAATTTATTTTCAGTTAAATATTTTAAAATAAAGTAATAGAGTGAATTCATATTTGGAGCTTCTTGCATATGTAGAACTTTAAGCCACCTGTTTATCCCTATTGACGATTCTTTTTTATTGCTCACTAGAGAATCATATAACATTTTATTTGAAAAAAAAACATGTAGTCTCAAAATAACGATCTTTCCATGTGATCTTATTTCTCTGGACATTTACTGTACTTTTAACAGAATTTTCTTGTTTAACTATGTGAATCCAATCTTGTGGAATTGATTGTTTCAATTTATGAAATTCTGCAATTCAGTTTACCTTACTCTATATTATATTTTTACCTGGATCCATAAGTTGGAACCTTCGAGGTAGTGTACTATGATCAAGGCGTCCCAGGAATAATGCACCAATCAAAATTGCTTTGATTATCCGAAGGAGACATGATACTACCCCCAAAAAGGTGTTGTAGAAGAAAATAAAGTAGGTAACAAAGAAAAATCCTCGTCTGAAATAGAAGTGAGTTCGAACTGGTCGTTATTTCAGAATTTTAATAATTAATATTAATAAACGCTTAGTCCATTATGCTACTATTATCAATGAATTCGTTTATAGAGCATTACAGGCGTACAAAAATGCATACTGAAATGATATAATTAAACATCTGGCTTATCATTCAGATACTTAGGAACCAATATTGATGGTATTTGATTGTCTTTCTTGATCATTATTGCTAAACTACATGTTATCATCGTCATTACTTGTAACGTTTTGTACATGTATTTTCATTATCACATTTGTATGTTTAATTTTAGTTTGTCTTGTGATATTGCACTATATATTCCATTTTTACTCTCCAAACTAAAATCTTTATGCCGGTATACCAATATAATATAGTCTTCAATAATGAAGTATAACGTAGTCAGAAGAGTTTAAAATAAGATATTAGCGATATTGCAAACCAATCTTTCTTTGTCGAAAGAACAACATCTTCTTAAATAACTTTGACTTAACTTTACAAAACTCCACCCATCATTCTAAATAACAAAAGAAGCAATTGTATGTACAGGTACATCATCCTTTACCTATTATCTATCGCCAGAAGGTTTCCTCTTTCCTGTAAAAACACAAACTTCGCCAGAAGTAGCTGGATCAAGTTTAAAGCTAGAGCTGTTATTGGAGCTGGCCTAAAAATAACATAAATAAACTCATCATAGATAAAAATAACAAACAACGATATTGAGATTAACGTATGCAGTGTCAAGGAAGAGGTTCTCGTCACGGATGAATTATTTTAAGGAATTAGGTTTTCAGCAGTCTGTGTTGAATGCATTTAAAACTTGTCGAAGCTGACACTTGCCTTTAATTTATTCTACATGCGACATTTAGATGTCTACTTTTTTTTTTAATTTGTTGCGCTGGTGTCTCATTTATGTATACCCAAATATACAAAATATTGATCTGATAATTTGTATGATCGTGATAGTTTGTATGATCGTGATATTTTGTATGATCGTGATAATTTGTATGATCGTGATAACTTGTATGATCGTGATCATAGTAATTTTAATACCAGCATATGTTCTTTAAGTCTGCTTTCAATATTTACAAGCACTCATTGTATACTCAATTGTTTTTCATGCGTTTCGTTAGTTGATATAGTCGAGAGTATGGTTTTTTTCAGGTTCTATGTACTTCCCTTTTTTTAATCTACCTTAGAACTCGGTAATTTTTTACACTTTTTTATACTTTTATAGCTGTTCATAAATCACTTTACTTTCAATCCCTAAGCATATATTGCCTCATGTCATTTTTTGATATTTGGTGTCCAACTGAATGCTTGTCAACTCGTTATTGATTTGGTTCTCCAACTGATTCCAGTACCGTTGATGTACACGATGTAGACGAAACGCACGTATCGAGCGCCTTGTATCTGAATGAGGTTTTACCAATACCAGTAGAGTTGTTGTCAATTATATTTGCATTAAAGAGGTTAGTGATTTTGTAGCCTGATTTTTATCTTCTACGTTCTGCTTATTTAAAAATATTTTGTAGTTCACATGATCAAGTATAAAAGTGGAGGATCGAGTGCTAAAAAGATATTTTAACCCTGTAACAGCTGGTTACTGTTCCTGTTTTAGGAATACAGCGTTGATAGCAGGTATTTTTAAAATAGTCTATAAAATAAAATTAATCAACGTTTTTTTCTAGGTTCTGACCAATTTAGAGCTATATTGTATCGATTTTGAAAAGTCTATTGTCTTAACTACAACTAAGCAATAAATTGCTAGCAAGCACACAAATTGTCAACTTTACATCAGCTTACCATAACTGTTTTATAAGATTAGTTATGAAATCTGCAGATCCAATTCTGTATAAATTAATTATTAAGGCGATGACATTGAACACAAGAAAGAATAATGACCACTGTATAAGATATCCTACAATATAATTCATACAGGCTAAAACTTTTTGTAAAATGAATGTTCAATACTTATTTATCAAAATTGACATTTCAATTCTTAAAGAAGGATACAGTGGTGAAAGATTTTGATAACTGTCGGCTTTAGCTCGAATAATTCATCCGATTATTGTAATCTATTTCTCCTACTTGATTCATCGTAGAACAGAGAAAAATAACTTCAGAATTATTTGCGTTATGCGGGTTCGGCATATTCCATATTACCACTCTTTAAATGAATATTTACTATTTACAAGACCCATACTTACAAAACATTATATAAATAACACATAGCTGAGAGGGGGATAGAGCAGATTGTTACACCGAAAAAACATTGTCAACTGAGGCGAAGCCAATTAAGGTTGACAATGTCTTTTCGAGGGTTAAAAATCTGCTCTATCACCCTATCAGATATGTGTTATTTAATTTATTATACTTAATGTTCTGTTTTTACTGTCTATTAAATTTTCAAATTCAAAGTAATAATTAAACTATGTCGTCTTGTACATAACAATCATCCGTATTTATTAAAGTGCACACTTGAGCAAGCGTCTCCGTGAATGGTAATAGAGTATTTGCCATGGGATAGAGTAAATTGTCTCCCTCGTATTAACCAATCAAAATCTGGCATTTTGACATGAAGTATAATAAAACAAAATACCACATTTCATGTGACGCACCATATGCGCATTAGTGATGCTCAATACCAAATTATTGTAATCCAAAATAACGTTAAAGCGCGGGAGAAGAAAGCAAATCTACCATCCGGAAATATCATGGTTGTCTGAATTGTATATCAACGTATATTACCGATTACAAATGTGTAGATGGTCATCGATATTAGATAACTTCCCAGAGATGTCAGTATTGTTATATTGTGGAAACCATATTTTATTAGACAATATTAAAGTGGGTTTAATGAAACAATATATAGCAATTTAATAAAATATTCCAATTGTTGTCTACTCCTTCTCCTCATTTCTTCATAGTAGTTATTCTTATAGAAATAATAATTTGATCACATCTATTTTTTTTAAATTTTTGGTGTTTCAAAAACAAAATGTATTTCATATTTGATGTACTAACCCCACAATACATACCCAACCTGATATCCTGTATACTAACCCCACAATATATACCCAACCAGATACCCTGTATACTAACTGCACAATATATACCCAACCTGATATCCTGTATACTAACCCCACAATATATACCCAACCTGATATCCTGTATACTAACCCCACAATATATACCCAACCTGATATCCTGTTTTCTAACCCCACAATATATACCCAACCTGATATCCTGTATACTAACCCCACAATATATACCCAACCTGATATCCTGTATACTAACCCCACAATATATACCCAACCTGATATCCTGTATACTAACCCCGCAAAATATACCCAACCTGATATCCTGTATACTAACCCCACAATATATACCCAACCTGATATCCTGTATACTAACCCCACAATATATACCCAACCTGATATTCTGTATACTAACCCCACAATATATACCCAACCTGATATCCTGTATACTAACCCCACAATATATAAACAACCTGATATCCTGTATACTAACCCCACAATATATTTACCCAACCTGATATCCTGTATACTAACCCCACAATATATACCCAACCTGATATCCTGTATACCTCATTGTTCCAACCTACAAAACATCCAATGCAAAGAACAATAAGTAAATTCAAGTGAATTCACATAAGTTTTAATCTGAATGGAAGACATTTCAATGTATATTATATTTATACTAGTAACTTGAAATTCTTATGTAAAAAGGGAAAAAAATAATTCAACGGATACAAGGCGTAAAAACGGAAGTAAACAGCTTAAAAATAACAAATATAATCAATGTTACTAACTTTTTGTCTGAATGATTCTAAGGATTCGTTTATAATATAGTTTATTAAAAAGCAGACAAGCATAGCTACATGGATAAGTATTATTTAAACTAATTTCATTCTTTGTTATACTAGTAGTTTTATTTTGGTTGCCAATATAAGTTATTGAATGTCGAATTTCGAAAAGATATTGCCAAAGATACAGAAAAAAATCAATAGCTTTAGAAACCCATTCCGCCCTAAACATACATTTAGTACAGGTATTCGTACGTAACAGAGCTTGCTAACATATCCACATAATAAATGTACTTTAAAGACAGATTTTGCTGTGCGTGTGAATCAACCAAAATCTTTGTAAATTCAGTAGCTATTCCTTATATTTTGTAAATAACTATAAATCACGCATTGTATTAACTAAAATTTTACCGAATCTGACGGTAAATGATCTAAGTGGTAAAAAGCCCTTCGTTACATTGTATCAGTTATCGCAATATCTTCTAGTATACATACCAACTTTCGTAGACGGGGCAATTGAGATTTCGACATACTAGTATACAGACACCTGTCAATTGTTGAAGACTGTATGCTGAACTCTAGATGTCTATAGTATATGTTTGAAAAAAGAGTTAAAATAGAAATCCGTGCAAATCCCTCAATTCCTATAAAAGAAGGACATTGTTTTAATTTCTATAGATTCTTATATTTTACCATTATATTTGGGTTACTTTTCTCTGATCGTGGAGGTATGTGTATTTTGGATCCTTTATATAATCCTATAAGATTCTTCCTAAAGAGAACAAAATATACTAATTCAATTAATTTATTAAGGAAAACACGTAAAACCTTGCTTTACAAAAAGAATGTATAACATTGAATAACATTTCAATTTGACGGATATGTGTAAATGTATGGAAAATATTTAAAGATTTTCCTGTGAATTCTTTACTCTCAAATTTATAACGGTAAATCAAAGTTTCGAGTTTGTCATTCTGATTGAAATAAATATGAAGATAATTGGTCAAACCTCTTGTCCTTATAAAAAATACAGAATAATTGAATAGCTTTTGACACACATCCCCCATTCACGATTTTTTAATCTGTTTGCAACTAATTTTATGCAAGTATTTGTTGGTGAAGGTGCCGTAACAATTTTTGTTTAATATAAAATTGAGACTGGAAACGGGGAATGCGTCAAAGAGACAACAACCCGACCAAAGAACAGAAAACAGCCAAAGGCCATGCAACAATGGGTCTTCAACACAGCGAGAAAATCACGCACCGGAGGCGGGCTTCAGCTGGCCCCTAAACAAAAATGTGTACTAGTTCAACGAAAATGGACGTCACACTAAACTCCGAAACATAAATGAACCGAAATTTAGAAAAAAAACCATACAAGACTAACAAAGGCCAAAGGCTTCTGAATTGGGACAGACACACAAATGCGGTGGGGTTAAACATGTTTTGTGAGATCTCAACCCTCCCCTTTAACTCTAGCCAATGTAGAATAAACAAACACACAGCAATATGCACAGTAAAACTCAGTTTAAAAGCAGTCCGATTCCGATGTCAAAATAGGTAACAGAAGAAACTAAGCAAAATGACAATGATACATAAATTAACAAAGGACTACTAGCAGTTACTGACATGCCAGCTCCAGACCTTAATTTAACTGATTGAAAGATTATGTCTTCATCATATGAATATAACAGGCATACAAACACGAACAATAACAGAGTATATACAGAACTCTTGTTGGAGTATTAACTTCAACACGAACTTCAAAACACGAATTGCAATTTTTAGTATTTTGAAACAAAATCTAAAAAAATTTAAAAAAAACTCAAATGAATTTTTGAAATATTGAAATTCTTAACGTTAGACGAGCCGTACATGTTTTATTCATTATGATACGTTTTGTTTCAAACTAAGGTAAATGGCGGCTGACACTTTGAACAACAACAGGCAACACAGTAGACAAACAACACATTATCTAAGCAATAGGACAGAAAACTGTCCACATTAGAAGTCAAACCCTTTACCTGTAGGAAGATATCATGTGGAAAATTATCATACAAGACAGCAATACTTCAATGACACAGGCACAAATGAAACATACTGAAAAGATAATACAAAAGTAGATAAACTCAGCTAATATGAAGATAAATCAAATGATATTTTGAATTCGTTTTAATCAATATAAATTATAAACTAATAATAATTTGCAATCGAATTCCCTTAATTAAATATCTTAAAAATTTCTTTATAAATCAACTAATTCAGTAGTAAATTAAGTTTATTGAAACTTAGCTTGCTTTTTCAAAATATTCACTACATACAGCAAACAGATAAACCATGAACTGCGCTTTGTTATAAAGAATATGGAAATAAATCTTAATTAAAAATGACAATGACGTACTTCTCATAGAGTCAACAGAATAGTATATAATATACAGTATAGTTCTTGCTGTGACTATTTCCGGTGTGTCATAAATACTGGGGTACCATCCTATATACTCCATAATGGCTGCTAGGTACAACAACAAATACTCAAACAGGGGAACCAGAAAAAAGAGAAATTCTGCAGATATCTACAATAAATGTGTATTGTTCAGTATGATGATATCTACAATGTTTGTGTATCATAGGTTTTCAGAGGGTACCATAAAGTATGTTTAGTTTCGATGAAAATAAGTTGTTGGGATATTTAACAAATAATGCGGAGACAATCAATGGCTAAATTTGCATCAAATTTTTTTTCTAAATTTTCAATTGAGATTTTGTGATAAAAAAGATACAACTCGATAATACTGAATTAGTGGTTACATTCAGTTTCGTTGTAAATTAAATATGACAGCGGTGTAAATAAAACTTGTACGGGGTAGACAAACATGAAAGTGGAAAAAAATATTAGTGTACAGCGGCAATCTCTATATGTATAACCTGTCAGAAGTGTCACGGCCAAATAAACTTCATAACCATCACAATCACAATTTTTTACTCGTTAGTATGCGAAATTGGTTGACCACTACTGTTACAATGTTTTATGTCTCAACTTAAGTGAGACACCCTTTTGCGGCCTTATATCTTAAGATATCAGAATAATCGTCGGATTTGTAATTTTACTGATTATATTCTTTTCACTTATCGTGACACTTGTCCGAATCTGGCTGAACTGCGTATAGCGAGGGATGCATGACAAGCGAAATACGCTTTTCTTATCGACATTTTTTTTCCAATGCTACATGTTTGTATTGTTTCTGTCTATAGTTTTGTTATTTGTATGTTTTTCTTTAGTAACAATCCTATTGTTTGGATTTTAATATAATAAAATTCTTATTCTTATTCTTATTCGACACACCTCTCTCGAAGAATTTGTAATTTACTTTGTTTTTATATATTGCTTTCTATAGTGAAAATGAATCCGCGAGTTTTGAACACGTTGACACGTATATACTATGAATCCCAACACATCTCATATATGCAGCAAAATCTTACTCCCTCCAGAGTATTTAGTCGCCACGCTGTGTTCTCCGTATCCGTATAGAGTATCTAGTCGACACGCTGTGTTCTCCGTATAGTCCTCTCCTTCATATCGGCTATGAGATAGACATATACACTTAAAGTATCTAGTCGACACTCTGTGTTCTCCGTATCTAGTCGACACGCTGTATTCTCCGTATCTAGTCCATAGGCACTTGTCTCAGAAAAAAATTTCCTATATTTTTCTGAGACAAGTGCCTGTGATCTAGTCGCCACGCCGTGTTCTCCGTATAGTCCTCTCTTTCATATCGCCTATGAGATAGATATATATACTTCTCATTCAGAGATTCTCTCAATGTATTTTTTCTTAATGATGCATCTTTATCAGGACAAGCAAAAACAGTCTTTAAAAATTTTAATATCCTTTAATTTTCTTGTCTATTTGTATACATGTTACGTACCTTATAAATCAGAATAAAACATACAAAATAAACGGATAATATTCTTGCAGAGTATTTGAATTCTGAAAAATAAATAAACCAACATTATCCAAACGTTTTATCTACAATTTTGTTTTAAATGTTGTATTTTTTTTATCGCTATGTATAATAATATTTTTTTTATTAAAGATATCATTTTTATTTCACACAAAGTTGCAACAAAGTAGAAAGTTAAATGAGATGACTTTTGCAAAGATACAGATAGAAGAAAAAAAAAGAGTTTTAACATATTCTATACTCTATCTGTGATCTCAACTATCGCACCTTTTTTGTGACAATCTCTTCAGAACCAAGAGGTGATTGCAAAAATTAAATCATAAAAGCTTTATCTTTTATTCCACACAATATTTGAGAATAGAATGAAACTTACTAAATAATCTTTTAATTAGACAAATCTATTCTCTTATTGCAAATTTGAAGAGTACATAGTAGAACTGAGAATATTCAGTCATACTTTTTATTCTATGTTTATGAGATTCTTATCGTCAATTCTGAAATGTAGCATGTAATTGGTAATTAAAAAAAACAATGGTCCTCGATATTCTGACTCATATGTATTCTTTCCTTGAAACATGATTGATATATGTAAATTCAATAGACTTTCACTGATTGGATGTCATAATAAAACTCACATCTTCAAAATAACTTACCTGGATTATTTCTGTATATCCATGGCTTCAGGAGATCTTTACAGCAACTAATCAACTTACCTCTACAGCCTTCAATAACTCTAGAATAAAATTTTCTTTGTTAACTAATTATTAAATCATTTTTTTTTTCAAATTTTATTGTTTATTTTAATCAAGTTTTATTGGAATCCCTCCCTGACGTTAACTATATATCGACTTTTGTCATCAACGAGGAATTGTTTTTCTTTTAGAGTATTTCTTTGTATGTCATACTATTGATAGTCTCTGTTATATTAATTGTTCTAGACTTAGGACGATAAGAGGTTGACATTGTATATACACTTGTTGAAGATCGAACATGTATGCTGACTACTATGTACGTTTGTAGTCGTTGGATTGCTGCCTCATTGGCGTACAATCCCATGCCTTCTTTTATTAATGCCACACTTTCAGATAGTGCATATATTTTAATAGCATAACACATTTTCTATTTTATACCATATCGGTTACGATTCTTTACCCAACGTGACTAATTAATTGTACCATTCATAGTCGCATACGTCAGTTAGATGTCAATGTAAGAAAACTTGTTTCCAAAACTCACACCGACATGTGGAATACTAAAGACACATTAGAAAGTTTTTTTTAATTACTTAAAATTGTTCTAGTTTTCATTTCAAAGCAAAAAATAACTCACTTTTCTTCTTCGACAATTTCTACAGGTGGATCTAATATTTTACGAACATGTCTGCCTTGAAATGAACAACGAATTTTCTCCAATTCATCTTTCAGAGGTCCAACTGTATTTTCTCTTGGATTTATCATTGGTATGTGTGGGAACAATTTCAAAGAAATTAAAAATCGAACGGGCATTGCGATTGCTAGATATGATATTGCAAGAAGTTTAGGCCAGTCTCTTAACACAACCAAAAACTGGTCCAACTGAAAAAAGCAAATTTCTAATTAATTCTTAAAATTAGATGATTATGAGACCGATCACTGTTGTTTCTTGTCAATGTGTAATAAGTATTAGGCCGTATGTTTTTATGTTACCGCCAACGTAATAAGTATTAGGCCGTATGTTTTTATGTTACCGCCAACGTAATAAGTATTAATTTAGGCCGTATGTTTTTATGTTACCGCCAACGTAATAAGTATTAGGCCGTATGTTTTTATGTAACCGCCAACTTCGTCTCTTGTTAGTTGCTCGACTCTAGTACTAGATGTCATGCAACTATCTTATATCATCTTATGTCTAGTCAAAGACGCTCAAATTGTTAAGTTCCACTTGTCATTTAGTCAGTTTAGTGTTGTATATCTGTGATGTATGTTTACACAGTTTTGGCTGCTGGATCCCAATTATTGTTCATTAACCTATTATGGCTGTTTTGTTTGCTCACCCAATTTTGTCAATATAAGGGAATTATAAACTGTCATACAAGTGGGAGGTTTAGCTATCAAACCAGGTTTAACCCACCATTTCATTTTATCATTAAACATAACAATTACAATTCTTTTCGTTTGATTTGAACGATATCAATTCTTACTTACACTGTTAATTTCGGAAGCACAACCAAATGTATCATCATAAGCTTTATAAGTAAAGACCCAAACATGTAATGATCCTATGGCGTATCCAACGGGTGATTTCAAGGTCAAGGCGGCAAATATTGGGAAATAGATGAACCCATAGCACACTACTGAGAATAATATCACAAAAACTAAAAATACATAATAAAATTATATGTTATGCATTAATATACTTTATGAAATAATTGCTTGACAGTATTTATAAATATTAATACAAGAATGCTAAAAAAACATACAAAAAAAAATATATAAAATGCACATGCAGAGATTTAAGTTATACTATATGAGGAAGTTTCCAACGACAAACACGCACACATACTAAAACACACAAAATCTGGAGTTCCAAATGTCGACATGCGGTCTTCGATAACTGGCATGTTCAACGCATTTATACCACAGGATACAACCGATACAGTTAAGTCTGCCTCATATCGTAACTTGCATCTATACATTGACAAGAAGGGTCAGTTGAGAACCAAACAGAATTAAAGGCATACAAAACGCTCGTCAACAGTTACAGTAGTTACAAAGAATTATAGGCATGAAACATAACGCTCGTCAACAGTTACAGTAAAAAGAATTAAAGACATACATAGCGCTCGTCAACAGTTACAGTAGAATTAAAGGCATACATCTGTCTTCAACACCACATTCCCTTAAGGACAAAGACAGTATCAAAGATAACCACTTTCAATGTTTCTTATTTGGAACATGAACATGGAGCCTGATTGTAGGGCATTTTAAAGAAGCAGGTTGGATCATTTTACGGCACCACATAGGTTATGAATTTGCAAGGGCATATTCGACTGGAGAGGGGCAGTAATCGCTCCGTACACTACCTGTTTGATATTCTTATACCAGACGAGATTTTTTGAAAATAATTTAATCTCAAGGATTGAGATGGGTTCTT